TTTTTTTTTTTTTTTGCTTTTTGGGTCAAACCTGGTGTTGCACAGGGGTTACTCCTGGCTCATGCACTCAGGAATTACTCCCGGCGGTGCTCAGGGGACCATATGGGATGCTGGGAATCGAACCCGGGTCGGCCGTGTGCAAGGCAAATGCCCTACCTGCTGTGCTATCGCTCCAGCCCCTAGCTGCGTCCTGCTTGCGTCCAGCACTCCAGCTCCTCCAGGATCACCACTGCCGGGGGCACCTGACTGGTGACCTGCCACGTGCCTGCAGTTGGCCTGGGCATTGGGGAGATCAGCTCCACCCGGGCCCCTCGGAGTTCAGCCCCAGGACAGCCTGGCCGAGGACTGTGGGCAGTGGGTCCAGGAGGCCTGAGCTGAGGATGCTGGGGTGACAGGAGGGCCAGTAGAAATCCTGAGGCCACGGCGCCTGCTCCCTGCCTCTGACATGCCTGCTCAGGCCTCAGCTCAGACGTGCTGCTGTCCTACACCGCATTGCCGAGGTCTGTCTCACACACTGACCCCCACCATCACACACACGTACATCAGGACATACATCCCTTGTGGAGGGCCACCATCCTTCTGCCTGCCTGTAGCAGTGCCTCCCTCACCAGGACAGGGGATGGTGAGGGCCCAGGGCCCCTCTGGAGCTGCAGAAGCATCTCAGGAACGGACCCTCTACCCTCCTGCCTCAGCACTCTCTGCGTGGGTTGCCGGCTGCTCAGTTTCAGCCCTGGGCTGTGACTCCAGAGGCCTGTGCCAGGTGTGAAGGAAGAGAGAAGGGGCAACAGAGGGTATAGTGATGAGGACAACAAGAGGCACAGTCCCCATCACAGCATCCAGATAGAAGAGGTTGAACTACCGTTACTTGCAGATGACATAAGATATATCGAAGATCCGAGAGACTCAAAGCTTCCAGAGCCGAAGAGATAGTGCAGGGGGTAGGCACTGCCTTGCATGAGGCCAAGCCTGGTTGGATCCTTGGCACTGTCAATGGTCTCCAATCACTGCCAGGAGTGACCCTGACACCGCCAGGCATGACTGCCCCCCTCCCATGGAAAACCGATGATTTCTCATTTCACAGCAATGAGAATGGCACATATTTTAAAAAACCTGGAAGCACCCTATATTGACAAGGAATGTGGTGAAAAAGGTGTCTGATTCACTGCTAGTAAGGATGTCTGGTTTGACCTTTATGGAAAACAGCATGGAGAGCCCTTAAAAAACAGAGACTGGAGCTTCTAAACAACCCAGCAATCCTGCTTCTTGGCATCTACCACACACCACAAATTAGTTTTGAAAAGATACATGTATCAGTACATGGAAACAACCCAAATGTCCAATGACATACCAATGAAGAAGCTGTGGTACATGTACCCAACAGAATACCATGCAACTGTAAGAAAGTGATGAGATCTTCAGCCCCATGCAGCTCGGAGGAAACTAAAGGCCGTCCTGCTACATGGCAAGTCAGAGGGAGAAGGACAAGTACAGGACGATCTCACTCACTGGGTCTAGAGAGGCAAACCAAGGCCAGGTTTTTGGGTTTTGTTTTGTTTTTCCTTCTTCAGACCCATGCTATATATTTTTTTTTTCATGAATCACCATGAGATACAGTTACACATACACACTTTTGTGCTTAAGTTTTAGTCATACAGTGATCGAGTACCCATCCCTCCACCAGTGCCCATTCTCCACCACCAATGTTCCCAGTAGCCCTCCCGCCACCCCCACCCCACCCCTGGTTCTGTGGCAGTCACATTCCCTTTACTCTCTCTTCTATTGTGTGTTATGGTTTGCAATAGAGTTATTAATTGGCCATCATGTTCGGTCTATAATCTACTTTCAGCACACATCCTGAGTGGGTCTTCCAAGCCCAAGGCCAGGTCTGTATCCAGGAATGACCACTATCCCACTGTCCAGCACTGGGGAGAGGGGGCGGGGCAAGAGCAAGAGCTGCCGAGGAGTGACTTAAGGACAGCGGTGGAAGGTCATGGAAGATACATCAATAGCGTTCAGTACGTTACCACTGCTTAAGGGACAATACCGAAGGGACAAGTCAGTCAGTCAAGAGGAACGCACTGGCAGGAAAACCTGAGCATGGGAACCCCAGCCCCTGTTGGTCCCATCCCTCCAAGACGGCCCCCAGTCCTCTGACCCGTATTGACCCCTCGCACAACGGGCATTGGCCTGTCCCTGTGGCTCCCTCCCCTCATACACACCGCCCTCTCGCCCGCCCCCCCTCCACGCCCCCGCGCTGGCCCCACGCTGGCCCTGGCCCGTGCTGGCTCAGACCGAGTAAGCCCCCGCCCAAGTAAACCCCGGCTCGGCCCTGCCCGCGCTGGCCCCGCCCCAGGTAGGCCCCGCCCCAGACCCGGTAGGCCCCGCCCCACGCTGCCCCGCCCCGAGTAGGTCCTGCCCCCTTCGTGCTGGTCCCGCCCCCGACTCGGCCCGCCCCTCCCACGCTGGCCCCACCCGGGTCGGCCCCGCCCCCGATGCGGCCCCGCCCCCACGCTGGCCCCGCCCCTGGCTGGGGTCGGTCCCGAGTCCCGAGTCCAGAGCAGCGGCCGTGGTGAGTGCTGTGCGGGTCCCGGTCCCCGATCACCTCCGGGGTCGTTCCCCTCTGGCGCCCTGCCGCCGCCCTGGGAGCCTTCCCAGCCCACACTCCGTCCCCCGGCGCGCGCCGGCCTCGGACCCGGGTGTGCGCAGGAGGAAGCCGCAGCGGCTCCGCGACTTCGCTGGTGGGTGCCGACGACCCCCGGGCCGGAGCGCGGGAGGGCTGAGACCCGATGGGTGCGGGGCGCACGTGGGGGAGCTGCCGGGGCCGGAAGGCTGGGAGGAGACGGTGGTGGTCTGGCTGAGTGGTCTGGCTCTGGGGTCTGGCTGCCCGTGCCTCCTGCGAAGGGACCTCTGACAAAGGGGCACCCACCTGCTGGGTCTCTCCGGGGGCACGTGGATCCCTCCGAAGATGACGCAGAGGGTGGAAGGTGGCCTGTCCTCTCAGCCTGCTGCCCTCGCGGTGGCCCCTGCAGAGGGCACCGGTGACTCTCCTGCCCCTAGGTGATGCCTGAGCCCCCTTGGGTGAGGCTCTTATGTCTGCTGGGAGATGGGTGCGCTGGGTGGGTGAGTGGGTGTAGGAAGGAGCCAAAGCTGGACACACGTCGCCCGCCACTGCAGCCATGGGTGACAATCTGGGGAGCACGGCTGGGGGGAGGGGCACAGGCCTCTCCCATCCGCTTCCTGGTGGGCAGGGGGCATGTGGCTGAGCCTCCCTTCCCGAAACATGGCTCTGGGCCAACGAGCCCCCCACGGCTGACTGAGGGACACACACCCAGCACCCCCTCCCAAGTGTTGCTTCTGAAGAGGGGACATCACGGTGGATTAAAGGGGATCCAAGGGGGTGTGGCAGTGATTCTGGCTGTGCTCCTCACTGCTCTGAAGTCTCAGGAGTAGGGGTTTCATGGAGGCAGAGGTCAGGGGCGCCTGGGAGAAGCCTGCATGGAGCCCCCAACCGGCCGACAATGGGTGCACTCGAGCCTCTGCACAAGCGGGGAGGGGCATGTGGGGGGGCTGCTCCTCAGCCCCTGCCCTGCACCTTTCTGGCCTGGTCCCTTCTGGGCCCACCCTCCAGCCATGCCCAGGAAAGTTGAAATAAGGCTAAAACTTTTTACAGGTTTTCAAGTCATGGGGGTGTGGGCAGCCAGGCCCTGGGGCCCCTTCTGCATGGGGGTGCGCTGCAGGTGCTCCTCTCTGAATGTGAGTGGGGGAGGCCTACAGGACCTCTGACAGACAACGTGCCCCTGTGACCGGGGAGCAACGTCCGTCCCTTACTGGCCCATGGGCTGTGCACGCTGCCCTGGGCTCTCTCCTGCCGCCCGACTCACCAGAGTGTCACTGCTCAGATGGCTCCTGCTCCTGTGCTCTGGCTGCCTGTGATTTTCCACACCCAGCTGTCGTGTTCGGCAGACATGTGGCTCGTTCTCTTGGGTGGAGACCATGCCACAGGGCATTTCCCGCACGCGCATGCCTCCTGCTGGCTCCCCCACTGGGGGCTGGAGCTGAAGGCCTGGGAGTGTCCCGCCCACGCTGCCCTCTGCCCTCTGATGCTGAGTTTGGGTCACAACTCCACGGGCAGGAAACAGGCCATTCTGTTCCTTCATCCTCCCTGCCAGCTTCTTCTGTCCCTGTCCCCAGCCAGGACAGGGTGTCCTGTGGGGCGCACAGGCTCCAGGGCCCTTGTCTGGATCCCAGGGGGCGCTCACTTCCCCGGCACAGCGGGTGGCTCAGTGCCCACGCACCCCCCAGTCACGAGCTGTTTGCTCCCTAGCGTCATGCTTATGAATTACCTCCGACTCAGAGAAGCACAAAAACAGGGTGACGGGCACAGGCGAGCGCCTGCTCTTCCTCCACAGACCCAGTACACACAGCTACACACATGCCGGTGCACAGGTGTGCACATGTGTGCTGTGCTGTACGCGGGAAAACGTGTGTGCTACGGCGACTGCAGACACAGTACATATGTGTCATGCACACACACTTACGTGCATGTTTCCTCCCGGGTGGCTCTGCCCTGCCCCCCCACCCTCGTGTTCTCCACACTCACCATGGCACTGCCCTGGGGCAGCCCTGCGCAGGTCCTCTCCCTGAGCCAGGGCAGGCCCACGAGACTGCTACCAGAGCCAGGGACACCACGGAAGGCCAACCCCTCCTGGGCACTCCCAGGCACCACCCTCGGGCCAGGGGATGGCAGAGAGGGTGGTGCCACTGCTGTGCCGAGTTGGGGAATTGGCTCACCCCCTCCCTCTTCCTGGGGTCTCTGCTTTCCAGGTTGGCACAGCCACAGCCCGAGGGCTCCATGGAGCTGCAGAGCCAGGACAGGGGCAGGATGAGTGGGGAGGAGGGCAGGTGAGGACCCTGGGGCACTGGGCGGGCCAGCACAGCACAGCTGCAGGCAGCTCGGGGTTCCCTGCCCGCCGCCCGCCGTGCCAGTCCTTGGCTCCTTCCTCCCCAGGATGGTCTTCCGGGCCATTTGCTTAACGCGATTCCCGCCAGTGGAGTGGGCCCTGAGTCACTGTGTTTACCTGCCGCCGCCAGGCTGTGGGGTAATCCCGTGCCTCCTGGGCGGGGAGGGAGCGCCTGGTGTCCCTGGCCAGCACAGCCGCTCCTCCCTTCTCTTGCAGAGGGGACGTGGGCGCTGCCCTCTGCCACGGCTGCTGCGATGGAACCTCTGTTGCCAGGGGCCTGGAACGTGACCCAGGCAGCCCCCACTGACAGTGGCAGGGACAACGGCAGCCTGGCTGGGATGTCGGCGCCCCCCGTGGCCCCCGGCGTGGTCCTGCTCTACCTGCTGGTTTGCGCCCTGGGGTTGGGCGGCAACACGCTGGTCATCTACGTGGTGCTGCGCCACGCCAAGATGAAGACAGTCACCAACATCTACATCCTCAACCTGGCCGTGGCCGACGTGCTTTTCATGCTGGGCCTGCCCTTCCTGGCTACACAGTACATGGTGTCCTCCTGGCCCTTTGGACCCGTCTTGTGCCGCCTGGTCACCACGCTGGATGGCATCAACCAATTCACTAGCATCTTCTGCCTGACGGTCATGAGTGTGGATCGGTACCTGGCGGTGGTGCACCCAGTCCGCTCTGCCCGGTGGCGGCGCCCGCGGGTGGCCAAGCTGGCCAGCGCCACTGTCTGGGTCTTCTCGCTGCTCATGTCGCTGCCCCTGGTCATCTTCGCCGACGTGCAGGAGGGACTGGGCATCTGCAACGTGTGCTGGCCGGAGCCCGTGGGACTGTGGAGTGCCCTGTTTATCGTCTACACCTCGGTGCTCGGCTTCTTCGGGCCGCTGCTGGTCATCTGCCTGTGCTACCTGCTCATCGTGGTCAAGGTGAAGGCCTCGGGCGTGCGCGTGGGTGCCCCACGCCGGCGCTCTGAGCGCAAGGTGACACGCATGGTGCTGGTGGTGGTGCTGGTGTTCGCCGGCTGCTGGCTGCCCTTCTTTGTGGTCAACATCGTCAACCTGGCTGTGGTGCTGCCTGAGGAGCCCGTCTCCACCGGCGCCTACTTCTTCGTGGTCATCCTGTCCTATGCCAACAGCTGTGCCAACCCCGTGCTCTATGGCTTCCTCTCCGACAACTTCCGCCAGAGCTTCCGGAAGGTTCTGTGCCGGCTCCAGGGCTACGGTAGCGAGGATGCAGACCCCACAGAGCCACGTGCCGACAAGAGCAGCCGGCTGCAGGGACCCTCGCAGCCTGCGCGTCCCTCTGAGGCCAGCGGGCTCATGGTGACCAGCCAGGTGTGAGGCTTTGGGCAGACAGGGGTACCCTCTGTGCCTCCTTCCCTCAGGGGCTGCCCCAGACTGGGGTGGTCTGGGCACTGGTGGTCCTGTGCTGCCAGCCTCTGGCCACCCGGCTTCCCCTGCTCCTGGGCAGCATCAGGCATGTTCCCGGAATGGAAGATGCCACATGAGCAGCCTGAGGGGGACAGAGCACTGGGTTCCCCAGGGCGGCGGCCTGCATGTCCCTCCCTGGGCCAGCATCCCGGGTGAGTAGTGTGGCCAGGGCAACACTTGAGGGGTGGAAGTCAGCCAGCCTGGGTGTGACCACCGGACAGTCCATCTCTCTGACTGTGGCCAGGGTTTGCCTGCAGGGTTCCAAGCAGGCAGCCAGGATCTGTCCCCACCTGCCACCCCCACAGTGCAGGCCAGGACAGAGGCCCTCCTTGGGCCAGCCTGAGAGTGGTACCCTGGCCTCGCACTGAGCAGTCCTCCAGCCCTGTCCCCCACCTGCCTCCTTAGCCCTCGGGACAACACAGGGTCCGTGGCACTGACCCCCACAGGCCCTGGAAGCGCTGCCGTGAAGGTGCTGTGGGTGACAGCACTCTTCTGCATCAATTAGAAAATAAACGTTTGACTCTCTTCCAAAGCGAACACCGTCCCGGGGCCGATGGAAGCCAGAGTGAGCACAGGGCAGGACGGGAGGGCAGCGGGAGGCTGTGTCCCCGGGGTCCTGCCCTGTGCTCTTCCCAGGAGGGGGCAGGGGTCCCTGCAGGACGTGCCAGCACCCCTCCCCCGCCAGGGCCAGAGCAGATGGCTTGCTTGGAGTCTCCCCATTGATTTCTGCCCAAGTCAATGCTCACCACCTCCTGCACGCGCCCAGGTACTTGGGCGCCGAGGACACAGCCCCAGTGGACCCTGTCCCACAGGAGCATGTCACATATGAGCATAGGCATGTCCATGTGGTACATGTGTGTTGTTGGTACATGTTGGTACATGTTGGTACATGCTTGTTGCATATGTCTGCTGTGCATGCACATGTGTGTCTGTGTCTTGCTTGTGTATCATGTGTGGGTCATGTTTTTACATGTGTGTACTTCCTCTGTCATGTGTGTCTGTGCTGTGTACCCATGTATGGCACTGTCCATGAAGGGCAGCCCAAACGCTGCTTATGGGGCGGAGATAGAGTGGGCTGTGGAGCAGCTAAGTGATGTTTGCACAGGTCCTTGGTGGATATCTCACTGCTTCTAGAAGTTTCCAGAACCTTCAGGAGAAAGGTGGCGGGTGGTCTGGCCGCCCTCTCAATCCCTGCCCAGCTCCCACAGAGCTTGGAAGGGGGAGAGTGTGAGGGAGCAGAGGGTGAGAGAGTCCTGCGGTGGGGACAGCTGTGGCCAAGGAAGGACGGCATCCCCTCACAACGTGTGGAGAGGACAGAGCCCAGCCAGAGGGTTCCAGGAGATTCCAGGTTGCCCATGGGGCCAGACTCGGCCAGTGCTGACGCCCCAAAGGCCTGGTGTGTGGGAGCTGCAGCCTGGCTGCCCCCGGTGAGCAGCGGGTGGGGCGGGGGCAAAGCAAACACGCGGCCTGCTCTGTTCTCTCCGCATCAATGGGTTTTATTGGCCCAAGGCTCAGTCAGGAAATCCGCCCTGCTGGGCTGCAGCACTGGGCAGGCCAGGACAGAGGGTCTGTTTGCCTGGGTGGGGACAGGAACCCCCCAGCACAGCCCCCGGGAGCAGGAGTCCTGGGGGGAAGGGGCACCCCACAGAGGATCCCTGAGCTGGGGGCCCAGGAGCCGGCTTCAGGGTGCTGTGAAGACTGACCGCAGACCACAGGTAGCTGTCCTCCCTCTCGGCAAGGCTGCTGCCCCCAGCCCTGCCCTCAGCTGCCCTCCCCCGGCCAAGGCCCAGGGCACGAGGTGGCCCTGTGATGCTCAGGAACCCACTCTGGGTGCAGCAGGGTGGGGTGCCGGGGTCCCTCCTCTCCCACACTGCCCAATTCCACCCAGCCCCAGCCCCCATAACATCCTGTTACAGGGGGCACCTTTGCCCAGAGATCCCGCCAGCAGCACTGAGGCACCCAGGGTGCATCCAGCGATTCCAGGAGAGGGGTGCTCAAGGTCAAAATGCAGGGGTCACCTGGGCAGCTCAGGCAGGGGAGTGCCCGGTGGCCCGAGGCCCCTCACTGGGCGTCCGTGTTGCTGTGAAATGGCTTCCCAGGGCCCAGAGTCACTGCTCAGAGCCTGGGAGGTCAGGGAGTCCAGCAGCTCCTGCTCAGACCCGCTGTTGGGCACAAAGGGTCACCCAGGCTGTCCCTTCCAAGCCCTGTGTGGGCCAGCTTGCAGCGACAGGCTGGCGGGTCAGCCTCAGTTTCCCCACAAGTGGAGACATAGGAGACCTGGTCCATGGGTCCGGGAGGGCCTGCCTGCCTCCTGTCCCTGGCCTTTGTGGTCAGCACAGCCCCTGGCCACAGCTCCTGCTCCGCCTCTGTGCCGGGGACTGCCTGTGAGACCCCCAGGAGACCCACCAGCACTGTCCTCCAGGCCTGCTGGGCTGTGGGCTCTCTAGGGCCCAGAGTTTTGCTTATGATGGGGGCTGGGCAGCCTGGCCAGCAGCCAACACCTCTGCTGTAACCACCCACAGTCTGGGGAGAGTCCCGCATGCAGCAGTAGGCTCCCATCTCCTCTGGGGCCCCGTGCTCAGCACCCACTTGCTCTACTGACTCCCACCTCAGCTGCCAGCAGCCCATGTCTGTGGAACTGGACCCCGTCCCTGATGCAGGTCTGGGGGGCTGCCACAAGCGCCTCCTGGGGCCACCTGCCTCACAGCGGACACAGTGTGCGCTTCGCAGGGGACATTAATGAACACCCCGCAGCCCTTCGGTGCCCCCCTCACCTCACTCTGCCAGCAGCCGGCTCTGGAGACAGCACGGGCGGCGGGGGTGGGGACGGTCACTCTGAACCAGTAATGGGGGCTGAGTAGTGGCACCATGGTACTGATTACCTCCTGCCTCTTAATGGACACGGCTGAGAGGCTGGTGGAAGGGGTGTCACGTGGTGTGGGGGGCACAGACAGGGCTGGAGCGTGTGTGGGGGCAGGGCGGCTGGCGGTCCTGCCGCTGGCTCCCATGGGGATCAGTGAGATACCTGGGGATACTTCTGTCCAGGGTGCTGGACACAGGACTCAGGACACAGGACTCAGACTGGTCATGTGGAGAGAGAGGTGGAGGTTCTGTGGCCACAGCCCCAGGCCGGGCCTGCTGCCCTGACACTGTGTAGATGCTGGGCAGTGGGGACACAGTGGCTGGCACAGATGGCCAGTGCATGGCCACAGGGGAGGCACAGGCCCAAAGCGGGGTGTGGGAGGGAAGTGGGCTTTATTGGGCGTGGGCTCACTCATAGCCAGAGAGCTGCAGCACGGTGGGATAGTGCGCACGGTGCGCCAGGCACTGCTGCCGGTCAATGGCCAGGCTGTTGATCTTGACGGCCACGTCCTTCTCCAGGGCCATGCGTGTGTGTTCCAGGTCACGGAGGCACTGCTCTGCCTCCAGGAGCTTCTCCTTCAGGGCTGCTAAGGACACGTTCAGCTCCTCCACCTCGCTTGTCAGCCTGGGGTGGGGATGGACAGGAGGGAGCAGGGGCCATGCCCCACCCAAAGGGCCATCCACTGGGGTCCACGGAGGGTGCCGCGACCTTGGCCCCTGGGGGGGGGGCTCATAACCTTGGCCCGAGATGGCGGGAGTGACCCATTTTGTCCTGGCCTTGCAAGCAGGACAGGCCCGCTGGACAGTGAGGAGGGACTGGCAGGGGCCAGGGTGGGTATGCTGGGAAGGCCCTGGGCACAGGACCCCTCTGCTGTTTTTTTAATTACTTTGCGAGCCACACCCATCAATGCTAAGGGCTTACTCCTGGCTCTGTGCTCAGTGGCCGCCAGGGTAACACATAGCGTGCTGGTCAGGACAGAAGGGTTGGCCTTGTGCCAGGCATACCTTCCCGCTGAACCATCTCTCCAGCCCCCGCACAGAAATCCCTCAGGACAAGGACAGGTCTCCTAGTCAGGAGCATGAAGTCAGGAGGTGGGTGCAGGGCGCTGTGGCCTGGGGAGCTCAAAACTTCATCACCTGCGGGGCCACGGTGTCCGGGGTGGGTGTGGGTGTGGGGGGGAGGTGCGGGCGCACCTGGACTGGGCGATGTCTCGGCACAGCTCCACGTTGGGCCGCTGGGAGCGCTGGTACAGGCGGGTCTGGGCCACCTTCAGCGGCGCCTCCTTGTCCTTGATGGCCTGCTTCAGCAGCGCCACGTTGTGCTCCTGCTCTGTGATCTCCCGCAGCGTCTAGGGGGCGTCAAGGGGGCGTCCGGGGTCCCTCTGGGCTATGGACACCCCGCCCCGCCGCTCGGGTGCGGCCGCGGCCACCCGCGGGGCACGCCGGGCAGGCGAGGCCTGTGGAAGGCGGGGACGTGTGGGCGTGGTCTCTGCGGTGGGTGTGGCCTTGATTGGTGGGCGTGGTCTAAGATCGTGTGTGGCCTTAGCTGGTGGTGTGGGCGTGGTCGTTGGGGCGTGGTCCAGGCTGTTGGGTGTGGCCTTAGCTGGTGGTGTGGCATTGTGTGGGCGTGGTCTGGGCGGCCCGGGTCAGGCCCCACCTTGTGCAGGTGAAACTCCAGCTTGTGACGCGCGTCCTCCAGCTCCTCGCAGCGGCGCTCGAAGGCCAGGTTCACGGCGTCGCACTGCAGCCGCAGGTCCTCGGCCGTGTCCTTCAGGATGTTGTCGATGAGCGCCCGCAGGCTGACCGTGGCCAGACGCTCGCGGTCGGCGCGTTGCAGGATTTCCCGGTTGAATCTGTCCCAAGTCTCGGGCGTGGAGGCGCTGCGGGCGGAAAGAGGGCGGGTGAGGAGGGTCGCGGCCCCTCCGAGACCCGGTGCCTGTCTGCACTGCGCCCGCCCGGCACGTCAGTCTCCGCCCTGCGCCGCCCGTGCAGCGCGTCCAGGGGCAGCAGGCCGGAGTCACAGCCGCGCGGTACCCCGCGCCCCCGCGCCCCCAGCGCCCCCGCCGTCTCAGCGCTCCTCGCCGTCCCCGCGGCCCCGCGCCCCCGCCGTCCCCGCGCCCCCGCGACCTCGCCACGCGGTGACCCGCCCCTGCCGCCCCCGCGCCCCGCGTCCCTACCCCGCGCCCCCGCCGTCCCGGCGCCCTCCCGCCGCCCCAGCCACCACTGTCGCCCCGGCGCCCCCCCCCCCGCCGCCTCCACCGTCCCCGTCCCCTGTCCCTACTGCCCTGCAGGCCCAGTGCCCCTCAGGGATGTGATGATCATCACCCACCAAACCCAGAAGACCCCTGCCAACAAAAAGACCCTTGGGGCAGTGGGGGCCGTGTCCAACGAAGCCCGCCCACCTCTCCTCGTAGGCCAGCGAGTGCGGGTGGAACTGGATGTCGATGCTGTCATTGTGATAGCGAGAGCACTTGTCGTCGATATTGTAGGACTCCACCTTGTCCGACCAGTTGATCTCACAGGTCTCTTTCTGCTGCCGGTTCTCCCTGGAGTGCAGGTGACCCCCAGGCACAGGGAGGCAGAGTGCACACCCTTTCACAGACCAGCTGGACCACCCCCATCCCCAGACCCTTGCCCCCCCACCACGCGGGAGCCAGCTGCAGGTAGGGTCCCATCACCCTGCTGTGCTGCCCAGGCTGGCTCTCCGTGGGTATGAGTCCTTCCTCGGCCTGGCCACACACCGGATCTGGTTCACCGCCTGCACAATGGTCCTCTTCAGGAGCTCCTGGACGTTCCGGATAAGCTCGGCCTCCTGGGGGGAACCCAAGCTGTGAGGGGTCCCCCCTCTCCCTTTAGCCCTCGGCCTGAGAAGAGCCCACGGCAATGTCCTGGCCACAGGTGGATGTGGAGGCCGCTTACTGGTGGCTGTGGAAAGTCCTCCTGTGGCCCTGGGCTTTCCCCATCCCTCAGAGCACACCTCACCATGGGGCCTCCCTCCCTGCTGTGGTGTCTGGGCCCTGGGGGAGGGGCCATTCCAGGACACAGAGCTGCCTCATGGTGGTCCTCGTCTCCCCTTCCTGTGAGTCTGGTACCAACAGCAGGTGACTCGGCTGCACGGCAAACAGGTGCCAGCAAGATCTGCCCCAACAGGGCCCTGGGGCCCCCAGCACCCTAGGCAGCCCTCTGCGAGGGGACCTGTTGGGCCTCTCCCTGCTTCAGAGGCTCTGATCACCCCCTCCTCAGCAGATGTCCTTGGTGTCACTCCCGCTGTGGGCCCAGAGGTGGCACTTTGTTGCCCTGGACATGGGCCTGTCATAGTCCATGGACTTGGGGCAGGTCCAGGCCCTCACAGCACTCAATCCCGCATTCTGGGCCACACCCTGCTCAGGGAACACCTGAGCCCATGGCTGGTGGCAGGTTAGAAGCACCACACCACATAAGAACTGCAGCTGCCCTGAGGCCGAACTCTGCTGGACCCCTGACACACAGACAAGACACTGGACCCCTGCGGCAGGACCTGGAGGGCACATCCTGGCACCCCTGAGCAGGACGGGGGATGCCCAGGGCCCTGAGCAGGACAGGGGGGGCACCCGGGGCCCTGAACAGGACAGGGGTCTTCCAGGAACCCTGAGCAGGACGGGGAATGCCTGGGACCCTGGGCAGGACGGGGGACACTGAGGCCTTGAGCTGGACAGGGGTTGCCCAGGACTCTGGGCAGGATGGGGGGGTGCCCGGGGCCCTGCGGCACCTTCAGCAGCTCCATCTCCACGGAATCGCGCACCAGGTCAGGGTGCTGGCGGCGCTCACGTCGCTGCAAGTTGTCGGTGGCAATGGAGAAGGGCACAGCCGAGGTGTCCAGCGCCCGCTCCAGCCGCCGCTTCTGGGCCAGCAGCAGGCGGGTCTCGGACACCAACTCGTCCACCTGCCGTTGCAGCTCCGACTTCCAGCTGTGCATGTCCTGCAGGCGGGCGCCCACCTTGCGCGTGGAGTCGTCCTGTGTGCGTCGTGCCAGCGCCTCCGTCTCGGATGCCAACTGGCGGCTCTCGTGGCGCTGCCGCTCCGACCCATCACGGTCGGCAAAGGCCTGGTAGAAGCGGGCATAGGTGTTCTGGTACCACTCGTCCATCAGGTACTTGGCGGTGCGGAAGCCGGCGGTGGCCAGGCCCGAGGATGTGTGGGCGCCCGTGTTGAGGGCCATGTCGTAGACCTTGGGGGGCAGCTCGCAGGCGGGAACTGTCTGAGGGGCCCTCTGCCTGGTCAGGAGCATGTCTGACTCCCCCACCAGGCAGAGCGAGGGCAGGCCAGAGGGCGTCAGGGAAGACTGGGGGGCCTCTGGGGCCACTGGGTGCCCAGAGCAGGCCATGGCTCATTCCTGACTCCCAGAGACTGTATTCAGGTAGAGGAGACTGTTGCTAGGCAACAGGGTTCCACCCTCCCCCAGTTCTCTTAAAGGGCCAGGCGAGCCCCAACGCAGGCCCCCACCCGCTCCCCAGAGCCACCATCCCGGGTCACAGCCTGGCTGCTGGGACAGCCAGATGCAGGCACCTGTGATCACGGAGGCTGGTCACTGCCCTGGCATCACAGTGTCCACTCTTGGTGTCTCTGCTGGGCTCACTAGAGGCTGAAGCGCCCGGCCAGCTCACCCTGAGGCCTGCTGCATGGGGAGTGTGGGGGTGGACGATTGGATGGGCCTCCTAGGAGTGCAGGGGTCCTTCCCTGCAGCTCACAGTGGACTTGAAGGCTGCCCGGGCCCCACCTCGCAGGAGCCTCGCTCGGCACTACCCAATCCGGCCGGTAGAGGATGCCATCAGCCGTAAAATGCGGCAGACGCCCGGGGGGCCGCGGCCTGAGTGGGCAGGAAACCCCAGAGCTCAGCCTCTCCCCTGCTCTGTCCCCCACGCCCGCACCCTGGGGCCCTCAGGCTTCTCCTGCACATGCTGCTGGGCCTACCCCTCCTACTGTACGAGCAGTGCTGAGGTCAGGCTCACAATAGGCCTCAGATGCTGGGCTTGGGGTCAGCCCCACAATTCCCCCACCTGGGGCGGAAGCCCCTCCAGCCTCGCAGCCTCTCCAGTTCCTCCACCCCCCCACAGCAGGGACCCCAGGGGGGATTCAAGAGCACATGTGCCCCCAACCAGGGGTGACTTCACAGACTCAATTCCCATCCCTGGGCACCCCTACCTGGAGAGGGTTTCACAGCCATGATGGGGTTGCCCCCCAGGCCCCCTCAGGCATCTGCCTAGGCTCCCCAGGATCCACAGGCCAACAGGCTGTCCTTGGGCTGGACCTCACTGCACTGCTGGGCTCGACCCAGCCAGCAGGTCATGCTCCTTTGGGGTAAACTGAGGCAGGGGCAGTTTCTGTGCCCCATGAAGCTGCCTTAAGGTTCCCGGCTGGCAGCCCACAGGGAGGGCAGGTGCCAAGGTTGTGCCAGCAACCATGCCTCGGGGGCCGCAGTCATCGTGTGCTGACTGGGTCCCGCCCAGTGTTGTCTGGGGCCCTGCTGCTCTGGCTGTGGGTGCTCTCCTAACAGTGCCTCTGGCGCTGACCCCGAGGTTGCCCTGCTCGGTCCTGCCTCCTGCATCACTGGAGCCTCAGTCCTGCGTGTGAGGCGCTCCAGGCCTGCTGGGGCCCCTGCGGGGAGGCCGTGGGGTGTGTTCAAAGCTCAGCACCACAAATCCTCCCTTATCAGCACCGCTTTATTTTCCAAGTCTTCATTTTCCCAGAAAGTAAAATTCAATATGGGCTTAGAGATTGCCACAGGCCGAGCCGGCTGCTGTCAGACTCACACGCACAGGCTAAAGATGGGGTCAGCCCCCGCTCCCCCCTCCAGGAAGAGCTCCTGGTCCACCCTCTGGCCCTGGTGAGTGACAAGGCTGACCGCCCCACACCCATCCCGACAGACATCATTGCTGCTCTGTGCTTGGTTTGTGGTCAGTGCCGCTGGGAGGGGGTCACTGGACGGCCTGCTGGGACCCTGCTTTTCTCCTGAGGGGTCCAGGCTGTGCCAAGGCCATTGCCCCTAAGGCTGCAGGCCCTGGCGTGGGTGTCCTGCCACCCTGCACAGAGGAAGACTGTTATCTGAGGCAGGACCCTCCCTGTGACCTGGCCGGCACTGTGGTGGGGAACCCCCGGGCTCTTCTGTAACGCCCCGGCCCGCCTTCCTACGTGGTGAGTGGGTGTGTGGGCAGTGCGAGGCCGCGGGAGACACAGCTGCACAGCTGGCTGCCAGGGGCTCTACTGTAGCCATGTCCCTTCTGGCCTGTACATGCTGGGGCCATGGCTGCCAGTCCGGGAGGAGTCAGTCCTGGCCTGGCAGCTCCTGTCCTCTGCCATGGCCGTCAGTGCCAGGGCTGCTGGGGGCAGGGGAGTGAAGCAGATCCCTAAAGAGAGACAGGTCTGGGCATTTCAGGGGTCACCGCAGAGGTGTCCCCAGCGATGACCCTGGATGGGGGCACAACTGCTCTTGTACGGGTTCGAGAAAGGGTCCTGCACAGGAGGTTGTCCCCAGTTCCCACCTAAGGGCACCCCAAGAATGAGCTGGAGCGATAGCACAGCAGGGAGGGCATTTGCCTTGCATGTGGCCGACCCAGGTTTGATCCCCAGCATCCCATATGGTCCCCTGAGCACTGCCAGGAGTAATTCCTGAGAGCAGAGCCAGGAGTAACCCTTGTGCATTGCTGGGTGTGACCCAAACAGCAAAAAAAAAACAAAAACAAAAACAAAAAAACATAAAAAAGAATGACTGGGAGTTCTCCAGCCTGGGACACCTCACCTGGGGAGCCCTGGAGGGAGCACTGAGCAGCTGGCCCAACTGAGGCTGCCAGGCTACTGATGGAGACTCAGCACCCAGGGCATCTGGGAGTCTGGGGAGATGGGGTCCCGAACCCTTCGGCTCTGGCACCAACTGATATTGGGGGTCCAGCTCAAAGGCTGCGGGGAAGCGGGCAGAGCGCGTGCCTGGGCGGGTCAGCCCAGACCTTTCTCAAGGCCTCCCAGCCGCTGCTGTGGGCAGCTGGGTGGGGGTCTCTCTGGGCTGAGTGGGCAGTTCCGTTCCAGGACACAAATGGGGCATCAGCCAACAGAACTGCCTGGTCAGGGGCATAGCCCTCTCTCCCTGTCCTGGGACCAGGTGATCCCTGCCCCCCGAGAGATGACCTCCTTGGCCTCTCCTCTGGGGCTCTGAGCCTCTGCCTGAAATATCTGGTAAACCCACAGTCGGCCTCCCAGGGCCCAGGGCCACGGTGCTCCCTGATGACCCCCTCCCCAGCCCCCAACCCTCCTGCGAGCACAGACCACAGGCCCCCCCGCTCGCCCCAGTGCTGAGCCTCATCCAGGGCCGCCCCAGCCAAGTGGGGTGGACACCCCAAGATCCAGGAAATCGGGGTGTGGGGTCACCCTCACAGGGAGGGGGAGGCAGAGAGGACAGACCTGCACCCAGGGGTGGCTCAGGCCACGTCCTTCCCAGAGAGCCATCACCCAGAGCAGCGCCCACTGCACCCACCGCGCACAGCGCGTCCGGCTTCTGGGCAGGGTGGTCCCTCCCAGGGCTCCTCCAGCAGCACCTTCTTGCCCCCCCCAGATCCGGGGCCGCTGGGGAGTGCTCTTCCTGCGAGGATGGGGGTGCGAAGGGGATCTGGTGGCGGGCACGGGAGGGCGCCAGGGTGGCGCTGGGCCTCTCTGTCCCGTCACTGCAGTCCTGGCCGTGGCCCCTCCCGCCGCCCTGGCCAGAGGACGCAGATGGCCGAGTTCACTCGCCAACAGCTGTTTCCATGGCGACACGGCCTCCAATCCCGCACACGCGCAGTACAGCTGCCTCGGGTGGGGACGAGGGGGTCTGGGCCCAGCCGGGTCACCCCAACGCCAAGCAAGGCCAAGGGCTTTCCCACATGCAGGTGACTCAGGCCGAGGTCCCCAGGGGCTCCGGGAGTGCCCGAGCCGGCCGCCAGCAGCTGAGGCCCACTTGGGAGCAACCGACTCCCCTGGGAGCAATCACGTGCTTGCCTCCCTACTCCCTGTCCTGGTAAACACCTGAGGGGTGCCCTGGAAACCAGCCCGGACCGAGGGGAGAGTCAGGCTTGCTGGGGACTGCAGGGCTGGACCCCATCTCGGGTCCCTCTCCCTCTGTCCTCAGCTTATGCTGGAACACTCTGGAAGGTTCCAGAGATCCAGGAAGTTGTCCGCAGAAGGACAGTGTCCTGGATGGGGGAGGCCATAACCCATGAACTGTAGGTCAAAGGCATCCCCCGGCCTCAGCTCCCACTGCTCTGGGTTAGTGGGCGAGTGAGTGGGCCAGGCACTGCCCAGCCCCACCCCCTCCCCGCCTCCTCACCCGCAGAGCCCAGGGTGGTCCAACCTGCCCAGCTCTCACTCCCATGAGGGGCTGCAGTCCTAGACCAGCAGAGCCCTCAGAGAACAGCAGGTCTCCGAGTCGCCCGGGGCCCTGGGGTGAACCGAGCCCTCCTGTACCCTCACCCAGGCCTCCCAGAGGGGAAGGCTTGTCACCCTCACGGGGTTCGGGAAGGGGGCTGTTGGTGGCCGGGCAGCCCACACCTGTGCATGGCCGTGAGTGCTGGGCAGCACCAGGGACCCCTGGGAACGCCTCAGCTGGGCTCTGGGCCTTGAGGATACCCAGCCTCTGATGAATGCCTGTCACGGGGGGAAACTGAGGCGCAGCCCAGCCCTGTCTGAGGCTGGCCAGCTCTTCTTAGAAGCAGTCCTGGTTTCAGGGCAGGGGGGCCGACGCTCACCTGTGGGTGTGAGCCCCATTAGCTGGCACAGGGGTAAGGCCACCCAGGGAACCACGGTACTCATTGTCACCGTGTCTCCTGAGGCCAGACCAGGTCCCCTCCCACACCCCAAAACTCACCTTCCAGCCCCCCGGGAGTGCCTGGCTATCCCCAGCCCCAGACCTGGGTACAGCAGTTGTGGCTCTGCATTGAGCCCACGGGGCAGCGGGAGGGGAGGGGGCTCCAGGAGGGTCCCTGAGTTCTCCACTCTGGGGCCAGGGCCGATACACAGTGGGGAGGGTGTTTGCCTTGCACACAACCTATCTGGGTTTGATCCCCAGCTTCCATATGGTCCCCTGAGCCCTGCTAGGAGTGATCCCTGAGCACCTCTGGGTATGCCCTCCCCCCAGTAGAAGCAAACCTCCCTGAGTTCTCCATTCTTCAATCCTTGGTCCCATCCTCTCATACCCCCCTCCCCAAACAGCCTTGTACCTGGTCGGGGGGACAGGAGACCCCCCCGTTCACCAGCCTCTCGGGGCCCTCAGGGTCAAAGAACTACAGGACTTGAGGTGGTGGCCAGGTGGAGGTCAGTGTGTCTCCCGGGGGTCGGGACTGCTGGCTGTGGGTGCTGAGGTGCTGGGTACCCTGTGTCCTGGGGCTGGGCGGGAAGGCCCCTTGTGTAGTCCTGAGCTGTCCTGACTCTGGATCCATACCACCACCCTCCTCCTGGCTGCAGATAGCATGGCCCTGGGGTCAGGGGACAGCTTAGAGACCCCAGGAGCGTGAGAATCATGGAAACTTACCCTCTTTCCAGAATATTCCCTGTAAGAACTTTGCAGCCATGCCCAGACCAGAGACCTTCCACCCGTGCCCTTGGCCTCCATGCTGCCCACCCTTACTCCAGGCTCTGTCCATGGCTTGGCACCAGGCCAGCTGGATTCCTGGGGCGCCCAGCCTCTCCAGCCCCCTGCAAGGCAGTTCTGAGCCCAGGGGAGACCTGACCCCTTGTCCCACACCAGAGTCTGGCCCCTGCCCAGGTTTGCACATGTGCCCCGGTGTCCCCGGTGCCCCCTGAGTGCCCGAGTGCCCCCCACTCAGTTCTCAGTATCTCCTCCTGAGTGGTCGGGGGGGCCGGAGCCCTCTCAACTGAGCACAGCTCCCAAAGGAGCCCCAGGCTCCTGGGACAGACAGGAGCCAGCAGAGAAGGTGGCGGACAGCCCTGGCAGGTCACATGCACAAGCCTTGGGACTCCCCAACCTCCTCCAGGATGTGGGGGCTGTGCTGGCCTCGGGGTACTGAGGAGCAGGAGTCCAAGATGGGGTCACAGCAGGGCAGAAAAGACCTGTCCCTTTGCTGGCCTGCTTCTGTTTGTCTGTCCCCCAGGCTGACAGCTGTCTTGGCAGGGAGTAGGGTTGAGGGGGTGAGGCCACATGTCTGTCCCGGGGCCCTCTTGGCCTGCCTTCCCCCCCCCCCCCCCCGGCTCTGGCCAGGCCCAGATCTGGGGAACAGGAAGTCTGGTTCCCCAAGAAGCGTGGCCTGGGTGTGTATTGTCTCCCGGTTCCCGAGGTCTGCAAAGCATCAGGGTGTCCCCGCGTCCTCCTGGCCCTACTGACGCTCCGCAGGCCCGACTCAGCCCTGCCACGTGGGTGTTGGGGGACCTGCCCGCAGCTGGGCGGGAGCTGAGACGTCCCCGTGCCTCAACCCCGACAGAGCAGCCGCCCCTGGCCAGGAATCGGCGGGTGCTGAGGCGCCCCCGAGTACCTGCAGCGGGGCCCCAGCAGGCCTCGGGAACCCAGATGGTGTCCCCGCCGAACCCGGGCGCCTGCTGTGTTTCCAGGGTGCCCCCGTCTTCGCGACCTGCCTGCTACCTCCCGGGGCCGCCCACTCCTGTCATCTCCTCCTATTTCAATATTTAATCCAGTTAAATATTTAACTTCTTCCAAGTCTCAATTATCACCGATCGATTCTCGGCTGCGGCGATGGGACCGAGTGCACGGCTGTGCTCCCTGAGGCCCAGCGGTCCTGGGGCGTGTTGGGGTCAGCTCTGCTGCCCTGGGGGTCATGGACTCTTGCCCAGGGGTAGGAGAGAAGCTGCCTGTGGCTCAGCAGCCGATCTAGGGGCTCCGGGTTCCCTCCTCTGCTCCCACTGGAATAGACCAACGCATCGGGAGAGGGGATGGGGTGCCAGCATGTGAGGAAGGCCGGGAGGAGCAGGCCAGCCCAGACGCCAGCTCTGAGTGCTGGGGGCATGTGCCCACAGACCATCACTGACCATAGCAGGGGGACCCCAGGGTCTGGACCCCTGCTCCAGGCCACTGAGGGTTGGGCCCCAGAGCCCAGCCTGGCAGCTCAGCTCCTGGTGCTGTGGGAGGCCTCAGGCACTAAGGGCAGGCGGTGGCGGTGTAAGGGGTTCATGGAAGCCAGAGCCCCAACAACAGGCCGGTCTGGGCAGGAGCGGCAGCTGCAGGCCAGCACAGACCTCAGGGACCGCCCCATGTAGGTCTCTGGGGGTCGTGGCCAGGTCAGGAGCCCCCACGTGGGCCTGCCGCAGGGGTCCAGCCTCCTGAGGAGGGCAGCCGACCCCGCATGCTCAAGGGCCTTGCACTGCTGAGGTGGGCAGTGCCCAAGCCTTGGGACCTTCCCTGTGCCCCCGAGGCTGGTGAAGGGGGCCTAGCCAGTGATCTTGCAGGGCAGGGGACCATTTTTCTGTGTCCTGTCGCGGGGGGCCGTGGTTGGGGGGTCTGGCTGGGGCAGCCTCTGTCTCCCGGACCCCATTGCTGCTCCATTGTGCTGGTGTTTGTGGCCGCTGAGTACTGGGGTCTGGAGGTTCGGGGTGAATTCCGTAGGGTCTCCTGCACGGTCCTGGGCTCCCCCGGCCCGAGCTCTGCTGCTTCTCCTGCAGTCTGGCCAGCAGGACGTGCTGCTCTGGTGAAGGGGCTCAGCCAGGCCACCTCTCAGGGGTGCTGACCCAGCAAAGGAGGAGTCTGGGGCCCGTGGGTGGTGACAGAAGACTCCTGCCCCAAGCTCGGACCCTGGGGATGGCACCTGGAGTGCCTCCAGCAAGTCCCATGACAGATTCACTTCTGCTTGGCCCAGCCCAGGTCCATCTCTGCTCGGCCCAACCCCCGCTGTCAGCTAACTGGGGAGGCCTGAGAGATGTATAAGGTGCAAAGCACACAGCAGCACTGCCTGGGGCGTGTGGGGAAGGAAGGCGAAGAGGAACACACTGCCTGTCCCCCTCAGCCCTGGGGGCGTGGCAGGGGCTGGTCAGCAGAGAGGACCTGCAGCAGAGCAGCCTCTGTGCACTGGGCAGTAGTGGCTGAGCCCGGGGTCAGGCCAGGCCCACACCCTGCTTCTACCCTTAGGAAAGCACTGTCACCGCAGCACCCCCACCCAGGCCCAATACGCGGGGGGGAGGCCCCAGGGGGCTTCCCAGGGGCCATCCAAACCCTGAGCGCATCCCAGCACCTGGCGTGGGCTGGACAAGTCCTGCTGCTCAGCAGGGAGGCTGAGGAGACTGAACTGGCCGTACCAGAGTGGCCATCTGAGTTACAGCCCTCCTGGTGGATGGCTCACCCACAGGCTGGCTTGTTTTAAGAACGGTGTGTGTGGGGAGGGTGTTTGGGATAAGCGTCCTGCTGCCCAGCCCAGGACCTTCTGGCTCTGGTAGAATCCAAGACTCCATCTCTCCCGCCGCCACCCTACCTGGCCAGCCTCCCTGCAGCGCTGTCACCAGACCCCACAGTCAGTGCTGGGCAAGCAGATGGGCTCTGGGCCCCGACACCGGAGGGCGCTGGCTACCAGCGCTGGGAAGCCTCAACCAAACGGAATCAAGGAGACACTGAACAAAGCGGGAGTTCCAGGGATTCCCTTGGGTTCGCGGCTGGGCTGTGGGGTCTGGGAAGCGGGGAACCTCCCCCGTCGTTCCCAGACCCTGGCAGCGCCCCGCTCGGCCCAGGGGGACCCCCATCCTGCGGGCCACAGGGTGCATGCTCGGGCGCGGCACGGGAGGGGCCTGCGCAGCGGACCCCGCCGGGCTCCTGCCTCGCGCGCGCCTCGGGGACCCAAGCTGCCCCTGTCCTGGAGGCACGGACCTTGCAGAGGCTCTTCAGGTCTGGGGGTCCCAGGCCCCCCCATCTCCGGCTCCCGCAGCGGGTTGGGAGGCCGGGAGCCGGCTGGGGCAGACGGGAGGCGGTGCCGGGAGTCTGAAGGGCTGGGGAGGGGCCGCTCCCGGGAGGGCCGGTCCAGGGCGTGGCGCGTCCTCTCTGGGGTCGCAGCGTGGGGCGGGGGGCTCCCCCCACCGGAAGTTCCTGTGTGCGCGTGTCCACGGCGGGCGCGCGTGTGGGGCGGCGAGCGGTGAGCGCCGCGCGGGGCGAATGCGCGTGGGCCCCTCCCGCGCCCCGCGCCCACGTCCGCGCCCAGACCCACGCGGAGGGGCGGTGCGGTGCGGCGGGGGTCCCCGGCCGGGCGGTGGCGAGGGGCGGCCCCGCCCGCGCCCCCGCGCCCTCCCCCGCAGGCCCCGCCCCGCGCCCCGCCCCCGCCGGCCACTCCGAAGTTTCCTGCGCGGCGCGCGGACACGCCGGGCGCCGCTCCTGGCCTGGCCGTGCCGCCCGCGCCCCGCCGTGCCGCACGCGCCGGGGCCGCCCAGGGAGCGGGAGCCCGAGCCGGGGCGCGGGCGGGGGCCGGCCGGGCCGAGTGGCCGCCCGCCAGCGATGCCCGCGGGGACGCCGCCGGCCGCCGGAGCGAGGTGAGGGCTGCGGGGACGCGCCCCGCTGCGCGCCCGGGACCGGCTCCAAGTTGAGCGGCGCCTCCCGCGGGGCCGGCGGCGGGGAGGGGCGCGGCCGCGGAAGGAGGGGTCGGCGGGCGGGGGGCGCGCGTCCCCGGGAAGGGGAGACAAAGGCGCCCCGCGGCCGGGCCGGTACCCGCAGGTGCCGCCGCGCCACCATGGCCGAGGGCGCGCCGGCGGCCGACGAGGTGCGGGTGCCCCTGGGCGCGCCGCCCCCGAGCCCGGCCGGCCCCGGCGCGGCGCCCCCTGAGAGCCCAGCGAGCGAGCGCGCCGCGGACCCGGGCGCCGACGAGGAGCCGCGCGTCCCGTACCCCGCGCTAGCCGCCACCGTCTTCTTCTGCCTCGGGCAGACCACGCGGCCGCGCAGCTGGTGTCTGCGGCTGGTGTGCAACCCATATCCTTCCGGGCCGGGCCGGGCGGCCCCGGGGAGCAAAGTTTGGCGCGCGGGGCGGGCGCCCGCGCGGGCCCCTCCGAGCCGCGGCGCTGACGCTGGCCACGCGCCCGCCCGCGCGGCCGGGTGGGGGCAGGGAGGCCCGGGGCCCTCGGGCTCGGGGGCCGGGGGCGGGTGCGCACGTGGACCCGGGCCGCGGGGACCCTCTCCGGCCCCGGCCCCGCGGGGCCTGCCCGGGGTGAGCGCGCTGTCATCCCGGAGATTGGGATGAGCGATGCGCGTGGACGCCCCGCCTCGCGCCCTGTGTAGATACAGCCCGGCAGGACCGGACCAAAAAAGTCCTTGCCCGAGCTCCTGCCTCTGGTCCAGACGCCGGACGGGGTGTGCGTCCCAGGCCCCCTGGAGACGGCGCTGGCCACGCGGGCCGCTGCGGTGGGCAGCCAGCGGACAGTTTGTTCCGCGCCGCCTCCGGCCTGCGCTTCCTCTCGCTGACAGCCCCGCGTCTGGCGGGGGGCGGGGGGGGGGAGGGGGAGGGGCGGCGAAAGCTCGAGGGGAGATGCGCGTGGCCCAGCACTGGGGACCGACCCCGAGAAGGTGCTGTCAGGGCGCGGCCCAGGTCCTGGGGGGCCACTGCTGAGTCTCACCCGGTGTCAGCCCCGCAGAGCTCCGCCACACCCCCGCCCAGACTGGCCAGGCCGTTGGTCCGGGTCCCTCTGCCTCGGGTGTGACTGGTTCACCAGGAGTAAGCGGGGGCAGGTACAGTCCTGCTGGCTTCATGCCCCCAGCGCGCCCCAGGGTGCTTCTGAGCCCCCAGGGGGGGGGCTGTGAAGGGAGGGGCGCCCTGTTCCTGCCCCCGGGCCTATGGGAACCCGCCCTGGACCGCTCCCCTGAGCCCGGACCGGCCCTCCGACGCCTGGAACTCTCTGGGTGGGCCGTGAGGATGCGACCCAAGGAGACTCAGTTGGCTGTGGGGCCGGCCTCACCCCCTCTGTGGCTCACGCTGCTTTCCGAGCCTCGACTGTGCTGGAACTTTGGGGGCGAGAGAGCGCTGCTCCTCTGCCGGGTTATTTATAGCGGGGAGGTGGGTGGGATCCGTCTCCCAGCCCGCCAGACTGGGTTATGTTCTGCCCGGGGCTCCTCACCCTGCCTGCTGTCCAGGGGCGGGGGCCTCCCTGGGCTCGGGGGACAGGAAGTGACTGAGGGACTGAGGGGCTGGGGCAGGCAGGCTGCAGGACGGTGCCCTGGGCTCTGTCAGTCAGGGTTCCTGAGCGCTGAGGACGCGCCAAGGTCGAGGGATGAGGCAGGCTGGAGCCCCCGCCTCTGCCTGCCTGGGGGGCAGGGAGCAGAGACCCAGGACTCAGGGATACAGTTGGGGTTGGGCTTGAGCTGTCCGGCACCTCAGTGGTCCTCTGGTCCCCGGCAAGGTCATGGGGCTCCTTCTAGTTTCTGGGACCCAGGCTGGAGTGCCCCTTCCTCCCGGCCAGGCCCCTCGGCCCCGGGTGCACCGCTCTGCGCTGCTTCTGGGTGCAGCCCAGGAGGGGCTGGCCCCTGGGTGCCAGACGGGGGCATGGCCAGGTGGGTATCCTGGTCAGGGCCCGGGGCTCCTGGAGGGAGGTCATCTGAGGTGAGCAAGTGGCCCCTGGGTGGATTCGGGTGGGGGGTTCAGGTACACCTGTGTAGTGGGCGAGGGCCTGGTTCCAGCCTGGTGGGAGGAATGCAGGACGAGCCGTGCCAGACATCCTCCAAGACCTGCTCGGCGCAGACCTGGCCAGAACCCAAGGTCACTCAGGACGGGCAGTACCTCGTGGCAGCTGTCTCCTGCTGGCCAGGGGGTCTGGAGGATGGTGCCACCTCCCCCCCACCCCCACATGGAGCTCCAGGACACCGCCAACATGGGCCGGCGATGGATCGGGGGGAGCTGACCCCTTTGATTCCTAGGACCGACAGCTATGCGGGGGTGGGGGGCAATCTCCCTCTTAATCTTGCCACTGCCAGTGGGTGTGGGAGGGTGCTGGGTCCCTGAGCACCCTCCTCCCCGGGGTGCTGATGGTTGCCGCGCCAGGGCCCAGCACAGCCAGCTCAGAAGTCAGGTGCCGTGGGGTCAGCATGTGGTGGTCCGCCGAGTGAGTATCCTGAGTGACAGGGACTGCTCACCTGCCGGCTCTACCCCTGCTCAGGCTGCTGCCCCTCGCTGCCTCCCCCAGGCTGGCCTCCAAGTGAGCCCAGGGCTCCAGAGCTGCCTGGGGGTGGGGGCCCCTGTCCGATCCCGACTCCTGGTCCTGCCCTGGCCTCTGACCCTTCCCCTCATTGGAGGAGGGGACCTCTGAGTCCTCTAGGACTGCAGCCTCCTGACTTCCTCCATGTCCCTGGCTTCAGGGGCCCTGCATGTGGGCACGAGAACCTGGTGGGGCTGAGAGGGCATGGTGTCCAGCACCGTCCTGGTCCTGGACATGAGGCACCCATGTGGGGGCAGCTCAGACCCTTTGCTGGCTGCGCCTCCCAGGGGAACCCTGCTGCCCCCCAGGGTTGGGCCGGGGCCCGAGTCAGCCGCGTCAGCTCCCCCTGAGCCTGTCCGGGTCACCCTTGTCTCCCCGTGTTCCACCAGGGGCCGGCCTGCCCCCACCTTCCTCCAGCGCTGGCCCCCGACTCCCCCAAGGCCACCTAAAGCCTCTGGGCCAGCAGGCGCTGGTTGACCTGTGGTCAGTAGGACAAGGCCTGCGGCAGGCTGCCACCCAGCGCAGGGCAGGACAGGTAGGTGTCGGCTGATCCCATCAAGGGGCACCTTGGGGCCCGGTGGGGAGTGCTGCCACCTAGGTCACTGGCTGTCAGGGTCACTGGTGGGGCCCAGCAAGTCTCAGGAGCCTGCATGTCAAGTGGGGGTCCCAGGGGTCTGCCTGGGCCTCTGCTAGCCCATGGGGCACTGTGGCAGAGTGGGGTGTCTGGGTCTCAGGAGCCTGGGAGAAGGGTCAAGCCTCCCAAGTGGTCATGGGCCCAGCCTGAGTGGTGGGGGTTCAGACCTGCAGTGGGCGAGGCCCGAGGTCTCCTTTGACCGCCGCACCCTGGGGCCCTGTCCCGGGAAGCCGGCAGCCCCCACTCAGCCCACCAGGATCACAGGGTCTCAGGAGCGGCAAGGCGCCTGCGGGCAGGCTGTGGCGGCTACCGGCCCTCCGAGGGTTTCAACACCCACACGTGGAATAAAAAAAATTATTAATGAGCTTGGCGCCGTTGCCATGGGGACCTGTCGCTAATGAATCTCTGGGGTTCCTCTACCTTGGCCACGCGCAAGGCGGGAGCAGCTCCCGGTCCCGCTAATCGGGTTGCCCTGGCAACGCCCGTCACTAATCCTGGCCTGCGCGTTACATAAGGCACTTGGCACCTTGGGGGCCGCTGGAGCGAGGGTCCCACAGAGTACTGGGGAGTGGGGCCGGGTCCCCCATGGCTGGGTGGGGGGAGACACCTGGGGCGGCCCCCACAGCCTAGCCTTCGCCCACACTGCCTGCCTCCCAGAGAGCCCGGCTGGCTAGGGGGGCTGCTGGGCTCTGGCTTTTGGCTCTTCTCCTCCTGCACTGCTTGAGGGGGTGCCAGAGGCTGGGTGGGCTGTGCAGTGCTGTGCGGGAGGGCTTCCTGGGGGAGGAGGTTTCCTTGCTGCCCTGGTGGATCAGGAGGAGGGAGGGTCTCCGACAGGGCGACGCCAGTGCCCCGCACGTGCCCATTCTCCCGAGCCCCTCTCGGGGCTGAGCTGGGATGGGGCCGGCGGGCGTGGGCAGACCGTCCTGCCCAGCACGTGGACGCCTCCTCCTCGTGGACCCACAGAGTGCCCGGGACTTGTCCTGAGTAATGAGGACCCTCCAGAGGCATCAGGCCAGCACCTCCTCTCCTCGGTCACCCGCGTGCAGGCTCATCCCCGCGTGTGCTCACGTCCCGAGCGATGGGGTAGGACCCCAGCATGGGGCTTGGGGAGCAGCTGATCTCATGCCAACTCCCAGGGTCCTTGCCGGCACTGCCTTGGGCTCTGGACTTTCCCGTCCAGACACGGGCAGTGCCCGGAGGTGCCCGCAGTGGGTGCTTAGGGCTTGCTGGCTCTAAGGGAGGGGACAGGAGGATGGCCACCCCGGGGCCTGACCTTCACTCAGCTCTGCCTCAGTCTGTGCGGCCTGGGGTGGAGGGCTCCGGGGTAAAAGTCCAAGAGGGACAGATGCCCAGGGCTGTGGGGGAGGCTGGGACGAATGCCTAGCCTGGCTCCGAGTTCAGGAACAAGTTGTCCCTGTGAGGCCTGAACCCCACCTTGGAGTTCCCCTTCTCAGGGGCCCCCACAAGCGTGAGTGGACAGGACGCCAGGGACTGAGGTCAGTGCAGTGGGTCCCCTGCTGCCCTGCCCTGGGGACAGCTGTCCAGGCAGTCCTCAGACTCTGGCTGCACCCATACTGTGCCTCCTCACCCGCACCTGTCTCTCCACCCCCCACCTGCCTCTCCACCCCACACCTACCTCTCCACCCCACACCTCTGCCTCTCAACCCCACACCTGTCTCTCCACCCCACACCTCTGCCTCTCCACCCCCACCTGTCTCGCTACCTGCACCTGCCCCTCCACCCCCCACCTGTCTCTCTACCCCTCTCCTCTGCCTCTCCACCCCTGACCTCTCTCTCCACCCCACATCTCTGCTTCCCCACCCCCACCTTTCTCTCCACCCCACACCCCTTCCTCCCCACTGCCCACCTGCCTCTCCACCCCCACCTGTCTCTCCACCCCGCACCTGTGTCTCCACCTGCACCTGTCTCTCCACCCTGCACCTCTGCCTCTCCACCTGCACCTGTCTCTCCTGTGCCGGGTGGACTGGGAGAGGGTGTCTGCAGGGCCTGGGACCCCACCCCAGGACGAGTGACGCCCAGTGTGGCCGGCACCCTGGTCCTGGCTGGCTCTGGAATCAGGAAGTTTGGGGCTTGTGTGCCGTGGGGGGTGCGTGTGGGGGGAGCTTCCTGCCTGTTTGAAATACGGCCTGCGGCTGGTGGGAACAAGGGTGCCTTAATTCCTAATTTAGACTGTTTATCTATGATGCAGTGTCTGTGGAGACACTGGCCCCCCTCCTGCCTCCGGCCGCTGCCTCCAGCTGCTTGGTGGGTATGGGGCGGGGCACAATGGGGTCTCAGGACCCCCACTGCAGCAGCAGGGGTGTCTCGGGCCGGCACGGCCCCCTCTGCGGGCAGCCCCCTCCCACAGCTTCTGGAGCTTTGGGACGTCCTGTTCCGGGATGGCCCCTCCCCGCGGGAGCACTGAGGAATCTGGGGCGGGCTTGTCTCCGCTGGGCTTTGCCCTAAAAGAGCAGGGGACGAGAGGGCCGAGGTCAGCCCCAGAGGCGGGGCCCCAAGCTTTCCCATGGGCCTCGAGGAATCCCCCAGCTGGTTGTTGGTGCTGGGGGGTCGATTCTGACATGTGTGCACAGCAGGTGGTGGGCCGGGAGATCACAGGGCCCTGCAGGGTGGGGGCAGAGGTGTGAGTGCTCAGCGGGCCTGAGGGTCATTCTCTGGGGGGAGGTGGTGGTGCCCCCAGCCTGCTCCCTCCAGTCGGGGGCCGAGGGGGCTGTCTGAGGGGCTCCAGGCTGAGAGGTAGGGGCAGGGGCGCTGGCTACCAGGTCCCCTTTGTGCCAGGCCTGGCAGACTCCCGACATGAGCTCCGTCTGCCTGAGCCTGCAAGTGTCCATCCCTGCTTGACCTCTGCCACAGACGCTGGGCCCATCCATCCACTACTGGACTGTCTGGTGGTCAGGACACTGCGCTGGGCGGCCTGGGCAGCTGGCCAGCTCAGGGCATGTGTGGGGAGACACTGTCCGTGGAGTGGACCAGTGACCAGTGCTCAGGCCGTGCGTGTGTTCCTGTGCCCGTGTGTGTCTCTGTGTGTATGTGTCTATTTTTCCGTGTGCGTGATTGTGTGGCAGGCCCGTCCCTATGTCTGTGTGTGTGTGTGTCTGTGTTTTGTGTGTATGGTTGTGTGGCAGGCCCGTCCCTGTGTCTGTCTGTGTGTATGTCTGTGTTTCGTGTGCATTATTGTGTGGCAGGCCTGTCCCTTTGTGTGTATGGGGGGGGGGTGCCTTTGTGGGTATATCAGACTGCTCCATCTTTCCAAGAAAAGAGGCCCCCAGAGTCGGGGGCTGGGGGGATACGTCCGCTGTGGTGCCAGAAGGGGCCCCTTGTGTGTGCGCCTGGAGATGGTTCCCAAGGACTAGGTGAAGTGGTTGTGATCTGGGTGGTCCCCCCTGTGGGTGGGGGCTGGTGACAAGCCCGAGCTCAGATTACCCTTCAGATACAGGGCAGTGCTGGGGCCTTACACTGCTCAGGGTTCACCCTGGCCAGCTTCCCTGTTTGGGCAGACACTGCCCCACGTCCTGGTGCTCAGGGTGTCATGGGGGTTGTCTGTGGGACTGCACCTCAGGGACACAGAGACAGAGACAGTAGGCTGCTTGTCCTCCCTGGCACCCCTGTCCAGTGCGTGGATGCTGCCTTTGGTGTGGTCGTTTGTGGGCACCGATACTGTGGCCCCCGTTTTCTAATGACGACCCATCAGGGGGCACCCAGGCACTGCCCAGAGCAGACCATCCCTGCATGTGCTCCTGTGGGCCGGAGCAGGACACCAGCCTGGGGCTCAGGGTGCTGGGTGCAGAGACACACAGGAACCCCTGGGGGTGCCTGGGGATGACTCCCTGCGCATGGGAGCGCCCGGAGGGGCGCCCAGACAGACCACTGGCCTCTGTCCAGCGTCACAACTATTTATAACAGGGGGCCAGCCTGGGAGGGGTAGGCTGGCATCGGGGACCCCAGAGCTGGGATGGCCTGGGGGATGGTGCCTCCCTGAGTCCCCGACTGCTCTCTACTTAGGGAAGCTGGGGATGGGTGGGCCTGGCCTCCCCCCTGGTGCCTCCACACTGGGGCTCCAGCAGGGGCAGTGAGTGGTCAGCCCTGGCTCTGGCCCAAGTGTCTCTGCCCCCTGCCTCCCCTGGTGATGTGGGAAGGCAGACTGCGGGATTTCAGCCAGCAGCCCCCCGGGACTCCCCAGCTTCCTCCGCCGCCGGTCTGCTTGGAAACGCAGACCAGGGCTGGAGCGATGGTCGCGCAGGGAGGGCGTTTGCCTTGCACATGGCAAGCCCGGGTTTGATCCCCGGAATCCCGTATGATCCCCCGAGCCTGTCAGGAGCTGTCCCTGAGCACAGAGCCAGGAATAAGCCCTGAGCATCGCCAGCTGTGGCACAGAAACAAGGAACAAAAGAAGCACAGAGTCCCGTGTTCTGGAAGTTTCTGAAAGGTTCAGGATGCTGATGGGCATGTGACTTAGAACAGAGTCAGGGTGAGCCGGCTTGAGGGACAGGTGTGAGGCCCAGTCCTGTGGGGCCTGGGGGGCCTGGCTTGAGCACAGACTCATGGTGGGGGCTTAGGGCCCCCCACGCCCTGGGAGGTCCTTCTGGCTGGGGGCCAGGACAGGCCTGAGGGGTAGCCAGTGCGTTCCCAGGGCAGGGTGGGAGGAGCTGAGTCCCATGGTGCTAATCTGGGCCCCAGGCAGCTGTGCCCAGAGCCCAGGCAGTTATTTCTGGCCCCAAGAATTCCTGCCCCGGGCAGGCACGTCCCACAAAGAAACAGCCCCCAGGGCCTGCGGGGCTGCCACTGTGGCCGCCTACGCTTTCCCCTTCCAGGGCCGAGTGCAGCCCTGCCTTTCCCGGCGTGAGGGGGGGGAGGGGCCGCCAGCTCGAGCTGACCCTGGCTGGCCCTTCCCCTGGTCAGGGCCATGGACGAGGATGTGCATAGTGGCCCCCTGGCAGGGACCCCTGCATGCCTGCACAGTCCTGGGCTGCCACAGGACTAGGGGGCCATGTGGAGATCGACCCCCACAGTGGTCTGGGCTGACCCTTCGGGGGCTGGGGGGTTGGGATGGTTCTGACTGGTGAAATGAACCTCAGCCCACACCCCTCACCCCAGCTCTGCTCTCAGGACCCCTGACCACGCTGCTACCTCTTGCCCACCCCCACACCACTTGTTGGGGTCTGGCCACATCCCACCCTGCAGTGTCCATCCTGGCCTTGGCCTTGTGTGTCTGCGGCAGCAGCTGGGGGTGGAATGATGGGATGGGGGTCTACTTTGGGGGAATCAGATCCTTCAGCTCCAAACCACTCACCACAGCAACTGCCCCTGGGTGCATGGCCTCCCCCGACCCCCAGACTAGCCCCTGGAGATGGAAGAACCGCTCCAGCACCAAGGACAGTGGCCGGTCCGCGTGGGAGGGGCTGGCCAGGGAGCTGCTGGAGGCCCGGGGGTGGGGAGGGGGGCATCGTGGGTGCCCAGTACCCCTCAGGCACCATCAAGAAGTAGGAGAGCAGCAGAACTCGGGGGCCAGGTGGGGGCCCACAGGGCAGGGACAGCCATGTTGCGGCTGTTGAGGGTCTCCCTGTACAGACTCAGGGTCCAGTACCGGCGCTCAGCAGGACAGGTCGGGCTGGGACAGGCTGGGTCATGAGTAGTAGGAAGGTGACAGAACCTGGTCCAAAACATAAAGGGTGTTAGGAGTCCAGAGCACGCCCTACCCTGCCAAGGGGCCTCTGCCAGAGGCCTCTAACTGGCCCGCTGGGGTGTGGGAGTGCTGGGCTTATTCCCGGGGCTGGGGTAGAGGCAGGGCTGGTCCCCAGATCCTGCTGAAAGGAAACCAGGGGCCCAGAGTAGCTGTTGTCGCGGTAACCGGCCCAGCTGCCAGCCCCGCCCCAACACAGGCCCTGCGTCTCCTGTGTGCCACTGGCCCCAGCGTCCCAGACATAGAACACGGGGACCCAGAGCTGTGCAGTGGGGTGAGATGGGTGATTCTGGAACGGGCACTGTGGGAGGTATGTGATGTGTCCCGGAACCCAGGGCTTGGGCTGAGGGGCCTTGTCCCCCTGCCCTCTTCCTGGGCCTGGCCCGTCTGGGCAAGGTGCAGATTGGGGGTTGAGGAGGGGGGCAGAGAGTCCTGGAGTGGTAAGAGAGTCCGGGGCATGGGGAGAAGGGGAGGAGTAGGCCACAGCCCAATGAGCCAGTGTGCACCTGTGGCGACATCTGGTGGCCACTCTTGGAGCAGCAGGACGGTCCTGTCCTGTGGCTGTCCTAGGGAGTGGATGGCACTAGGGGACACGGTGCCTGCAGGAAGTCACTTAAGTGTCATGGATGCTCTGGTCGTCCCCTGGGGTACCCCCGTGGCCTGCGCTTTCTCTTCCGGGGCTCACAGGATGCGGGCAGTGCGTGTGGGTGTTTGTGGGGCAGTGCCTGGCGTTGCCCTGTGGCCCTGGGCTCTGAGCCCCAGGCAGGTGTGGGGCTGTGGCCTGGGCCCTGCTCTCCTGCCTTGTCCTTAACTCCTGTGTTGCCACGTGGTTCGAGCACGTCAGCATGCTTGTCATCATGCTCAACTGTGTCACCCTGGGCCTGTTCCGGCCCTGTGAGGACGTAGAGTGCCGCTCCGAGCGCTGCAGCACCCTGGAGGTGGGGCCGCGGGCCTGGGGGCGGGGGGGGGGGCGCCTGGGGCCCTGGAGCCGCCCCATGCCCAGGCTTGCCCTCTGCACAGGCCTTCGATGACTTCATCTTCGCCTTCTTCGCGGTGGAGATGGTCATAAAGATGATTGCGCTGGGCCTCTTCGGGCAGAAGTGCTACCTGGGCGACACCTGGAACAGACTCGACTTCTTCATCGTCATGGCGGGGTGCGGCCTTGCCCCTTCCCTTCAACGCTGGGGTGCCCCATCCCGAGCAGCCTGGTTGCGACCCCTCCCCACCCATGAGACCCCCCCAGGGAGAGGGGGAGGGTCATGGGCAGGCTGGCCCACGTCTCTGATGCCCCTCTGCACCTCAGCATGATGGAATACTCCCTGGACGGACACAACGTGAGCCTCTCGGCCATCCGAACCGTGCGCGTACTGCGGCCACTTCGTGCCATCAACCGTGTGCCCAGTGAGTGACAGCCAGCCTGGGCCAGCGTGCAGCCGTCTGCCTTGACCACCTCGGGGGAGCAGCGCCTACCCCTGCCTCCCATTGCTCTGGGTCCCCACGGAGGAATTGGGGTGTGGTGAGAGGCAGGCAGGCTCGGGGGATCCCCAGTGCACAGGACCCCACAGCCCTGGTGGCTCCATGGTGGTGCCCATCTCTGAGGGCCTGTAAGGGAGAGAGACGTCTGAGGGTGTCTGTGGCCAGCAGCTTTTGCCCTGGTCTGTGCCCAGACCAGCCCCCAGCCCCAGCCCCACTGCGGGAGGAGGGTTCTCACACTCCCGGAGCTTGGCCAGGGCAGCTGGAGGAGCTCCTGGGAGTTGTGCGAGCTGCCCTAACTCCCAGGAAAGGCTTCAGGACCACCTCTTGGAAGCCCTTGGGGTCCATGGGGCACCCCAACCCCCCGCCTCCCCTCCAGAGCTGCAAGCCCCCACTCCAGAAAACGGGCAGACCTCCTTTCCCAACCCCCTGAGACTTCCCAGGCACCCAGAGCTGCTGCTCCCAAGAGGGCCTGGGCCCTGCCAGCTCTCTGCCCCAGGCCCCCGGCCCCTGCTGGACGCCGAGGAGCCCAGAGGGGAGGCTGATGAACTATTTATGAACACTGGGAGGGATGGGGCCCTGGCAGTGCCCTGCTGAGGTGGCCCTGTCTCCTGCAGGCATGCGGATCCTGGTCACGCTGCTGCTGGACACTCTGCCCATGCTGGGCAATGTTCTTCTCCTCTGCTTCTTTGTCTTCTTCATCTTCGGCATTGTGGGTGTCCAGCTCTGGGCTGGCCTGCTTCGCAACCGCTGCTTCATGGACAGCACCTTTGTTAGGTAGGTTGCACTGCCAGGCTCTCCCCTAGGCCCGCAGCATCTGCCAACCTCAACCTCCTTCTCCCTAGTCCCTCCCCGACCCCGCCCCACCGCCAGGCTCCTCCTTCGCGCCCCACCCCACCAATAAGCTCCCCTGAGCCCCACCCCACCAATAGACTCCTCCCCTGAGCCCTGCCCCACCAACAGGCTCCTCCCGGGCCCTGGTCCACCAATAGGCTTCTCCCCTCAGGTCCGCCCCCACTAAGTTCCTCCCCGGGCCCCGCCCCACCAATAGGCTCCTCCCCAGGCTTCACTTCACGGTCAGGCTCTTCCCCCAAGCCCGCGCCCACCAATAGGCTCTTCCTCTCGGGCCCAGCCCCACTAGGCTCCTCCCTCAGGCCCCGCCCCATCAATAGGCTCCTCCCCAGGCTTCACCCCATGGTCAGACTCCTCCCCCAAGCTCGCTCCCACCAATAGGCTCTTCTCGGGCCCCACTAGGCTCCTCCCTTGGACCTCGCCCCACTAGGCCCCTCCCGTTGGGCCCACCCCACTAAGCTCCTCCCCGGTCCCCGCCCCACCACTAGGCTCCTCCCCTCAGGCCCCGCCCCACCACTAGGTCCTGTTCTCTACACTCTCGCCGGCCTGGGTGGGAGGTTTGCTTTCTTTCCTTTGGGTTGGGGGGGCGGTTTCTGCCTTTGCTTTCCCAGCATCCAGTTTCTGCCACTCTGACTCACCTGCCCTCCTTGTCTGCGGCCCAGGAACAACAACCTCACCTTCCTGCAGCCTTACTACATGCCAGAGGAGGGCGAGGAGAACCCCTTCATCTGCTCCACGCGCCGGGACAACGGCATGCAGAAGTGCTCGCACATCCCCAGCCGCCGCGAGCTGCGCGTGGAGTGCACGCTGGGCTGGGAGGCATACGGGCAGCCGACCGAGGGCCTGGGCCCCGGCCGCAATGCCTGCATCAACTGGAACCAGTACTACAACATCTGCCGTTCCGGTGACTCCAATCCCCACAACGGTGCCATCAACTTCGACAACATCGGCTACGCCTGGATTGCCATCTTCCAGGTGGGCTCAGGGCGCCCCCCTCCAGGGATGGGCAGGGAGACCCTGACGCTGGAGAACCCTGAGCCCAGTTGCTGCCCTTGCAGGTGATAACGCTGGAGGGCTGGGTAGACATCATGTACTACGTCATGGACGCACACTCCTTCTATAACTTCATCTATTTCATTCTGCTCATCATCGTAAGCACTCGCCGGGGCGGGCAGGGAGCCCTGGGGTGTGGCGGCTGCCCAGGTGTGCCCTGCCACCAAAGCATCCAGCCTCTGCTAAATCAGGGTTCTCAGCTTGGCTGAGCTCCGGGGAGCGGGGCCTGGCGACCCTCACTACCCTGTCTCTATCCCCCTTGCTGTGCCGCCCTGGGCACTGAGAGGCTCGGGGTCCCAAGGCCTCCCTCCCACAGGTGGGCTCCTTCTTCATGATCAACCTGTGCCTGGTGGTGATCGCCACACAGTTCTCGGAGACGAAGCAGCGGGAGCACCAGCTGATGCGGGAGCAGCGGGCGCGGTACCTGTCCAACGATAGCACGCTAGCCAGCTTCTCAGAGCCGGGCAGCTGCTACGAGGAGCTCCTGAAGTACGTGGGCCACATCTGCCGCAAGCTCCGGCGCCGAGGCCTGCGTCTCTGTGCCCGCTGGCAGAGCCGCTGGCGCAAGAAGGTGGACCCAAGCAGCGTGCCCCAAGGCCAGGGCTCGGGGCGCCGGCGGTCGAGGGGCTGGCACTCCGCCTCCGTGCACCACCTGGTGTACCACCACCACCACCACCACCACCACCATTACCACCTTAGCCACAGCAGCCCACGCCGGCCTGGCCCTGAGCCCACCACCCTGGATAGCAGGCTGGTGCCTGCTGGGGCACCCCCCTCGCCTGGCCACGGGCCCGATGCCGAGTCGGTGCACAGCGTGTACCATGCCGACTGCCACGTGGAACGGCCGCAGGAGAGGATCCAGGCCGTGCGCGCCACCACCGCTGCTGCCAGCCTGAAGCTAGCCGCAGGGCTGGGCGCCAGGAACTACCCCACCATCCTGCCCTCGGGCATGGGCGGAAGCAAAGGTGGCACTGGGCCCAAGGGGACCCGGGCCCGTGGGTCTCCGGGCACTGGAGGGCACAGTCCCCTGAGCCTGAGCCCCAGCCCCTGTGAGAAGATCCAGCACCTGGTTGGGGAGCATGGTAAGAACCCCAGGGAACATGGTAGGGGCCCCAGGGAGCATGGGAAGAACCTTAGGGAGCACAGTAGGGACCCCAGGGAGCACAGTAAGGACCCCAGGGAGCATGGCAGGGGCCCTAGGGAGCATGGTAGGGGCCCCAGGGAGCATGGTAGGGGCCCCCAGGGAGCACAGGAAGAACTCCAGGGAGCACGGGAAGAACCCCAGGGAGCACGGTAGCGACCCCAGGGTGCCCTGGGTACCTGCAGATGGGGCCATCAGGGGATTACCCAGGATAGACAATGCCCAGGTCCAGTGGGTCCACAGCTCGTGCCCCATCCACACCCTGACCTTTTCTCTGGAGTGGGTAGTGCCCTTCCAGGGGGACGTGAGTGAGGCAGATGAGGGACATTGGAGGTCACAGCACCTGCGAGTCAGGGAAAGAGGCCACCCTCCACCTTGGTGTTAGCCCACCTGGGACAGAGAGGGTTCAGGACAGCGGGATTCCGAAAGACAGTTGTTGACCGGGAGCCCTCCCAGGGGTGGACAGAGCATGATCCTGGGTTGCCTGTCACCCAGGTGGCCTCTATGCTACCTGGAGGTGACGGCCAGCAGGGGTCACTACGTGCTGCCCTTGTGACAAGGGCAGAAGGTCCCAAGCTGAGGCGTCTGACCACCATCTGCTGTGCCACAGAGGGCACCTGGGCACACTCGCTGTCGCCCTGAGGCATTTGAGTCTGTTTGTGCATCCAGGTGTGAGTTTGAGCACCTGGGGGTGTGTGTGTATGTACACCCAGGTGTATGTGAGCACCCAGGTGTGTGAGTACCCGTGTGTGTGTGTGTGTGTGTGTGTGTGTGCACCCAGGTGTGTTTGTGTGAGCACCCAGCTTGTGTCTGTGTGAGTATTCAGGTGTATGTGAGGTGTATGTGTAGGTGTATGTGTGAATGTCTTCCGCAGGTGGGTCTGTGCCACACTCAGGTGTGCCCCAAACACCTCACAACAGCCCCCGTGGTGGGCCCTGGGGACCCCAGTTCTGCTGTGGGCAACCTGACCTGCCCAATCTGTTTCCGCAGGTCTGGGCCGGGCCCCCAGCCGCCTGTCGGGCCTGAGTGTGCCCTGCCCGCTGCCCAGTCCACAGGCAGGTACCCTCACCTGTGAGCTGGGCAACTGCCCCTACTGTGCCCGCGCCCTGGACGAGGCCGAGCTGGAGCTGAGCGGCTCTGACAGTGGGGACTCGGGAGCTGAGGGGGTGTACGAGTTCACGCAGGACGTGCAGCACGGAGACCGCCGGGACCCCCTGCAGCAGTGCCCCGCCAGCGCGACCAGTCCCGGGGGCTCGCGGCGGCGGTCCCAGCAGCGAGCATCCCCCAGCGGGCAGGGTGGGCCAGGCCACATCTGGGGTGTCCTCAGCAGGAAGCTGCGCCGCGTCGTGGACAGCAAGTACTTCAACCGTGGGATCATGGTGGCCATCCTCACCAACACACTCAGCATGGGCGTCGAGTACCACGAGCAGGTGGGCCCTGGGCGAGACCCCGGCACGTGTGTGTGTGTGTGTGTGTGTGTGTGTGTGTGTGTGGCTGAGCTTGTGTAATGGCATGTGATGTGTGAATGAGACGGGTGTGTATGTGTGAGTCCATGGGTGTCTTGTGTGTTTATAGGCACATGTGTACGTTAGTCTGTGTGTGCATGAGTGTGTACATGTGAGTCTGTGTGTGTGAGTCTGTGCTTGAATGAGTCTGTGTGTGTGCATGTGTTTGTGTCTGCATGTGAATATGAGTCTCTGTGTGTTCATGAGTTTGTGTGGGCATGAGTCTGTGTGTGTGCATGTGTGCTTGCATGAGTCCATGTGCATGTGTGTGCGAGTCTGTGCATGAGTCTGTGTGTCTGTGTGCGTGGGTCTGTGCGTGCGTGAGTCTGCCGTGAGTCTGCGCGTGCGTGAGACTGCGTGTGAGTCTGCGTGCGTGAGTCTGCATGTGAGTCTGTGCGTGTGTGTCTGTGTGTGTGTGAGTCTGTGCGTGCGTGTGTGTGTGTGTGTGTGTGTGTGTGTGCTGCACCTGGCCCTGACAGGAGGCTCTCCCAGGCGCAGTGCGGGGAGCCCTGTCCTGTGTGAAGGGGACAGCTAGAGCCAAGGTGCCAGTTCCCGTGGCTGCCCAGTCAGCGCTCGCGCCCAGAGCTGCTGGCTGTGGGCACTCAGCACTGCTCCCTCAGGGGTCACCCCCTAGGGCAGGCCCTGATCTCCTTGCCCGCCCTGCCCCCTGCCCCGCCGCAGCCTGAGGAGCTGACCAACGCCCTGGAGATCAGCAACATCGTGTTCACCAGTGTGTTCGCCCTGGAGATGCTGCTGAAGCTGCTGGCCTGCGGGCCTCTCGGCTACATCCGCAGCCCCTACAACATCTTCGACGGTGTCATCGTGGTCATCAGGTGGGCGTCTGCGAGCAAGGCCCGTGGGGAGGAGAGGGGGCCGTGGCGGGGAGGGGGGTGGTAACGCGCTGACCCGCCATGCCCGCAGTGTCTGGGAGATCGTGGGCCAGGCGGACGGCGGGCTGTCGGTGCTGCGGACCTTCCGGCTGCTGCGGGTGCTCAAGCTGGTGCGCTTCATGCCCGCGCTGCGGCGGCAGCTGGTGGTACTCATGCGCACCATGGACAACGTGGCCACCTTCTGCACGCTGCTCATGCTCTTCATCTTCATCTTCAGGTGCCCAGCGCCGGGGGGTGGGGGGCAGCCAGCCAGGCTGGAGCCGGAGGGCAGAACCTCCCTGGGCCCCCCAGGCTGCGAACCCCCACCCCCCTCACCGCGCCTGCTTCCTCCCAGCATCCTCGGCATGCATCTCTTCGGCTGCAAGTTCAGCCTGAAGACGGACACGGGGGATACCGTGCCTGACAGGAAGAACTTCGACTCGCTGCTGTGGGCCATTGTCACCGTGTTCCAGGTGCTGCTGACGGGCCAGCCCAGGGGTGTGGGGAGCGCCCGGGGGCCCGGGGGCCAGGCTGATCCCCGGCCGCCCCCAGATCCTCACACAGGAGGACTGGAACGTCGTGCTCTACAATGGCATGGCCTCCACCTCCTCCTGGGCTGCCCTCTACTTCGTGGCCCTGATGACCTTTGGCAACTACGTGCTCTTCAATCTGCTGGTGGCCATCCTGGTGGAGGGCTTCCAGGCAGAGGTGAGGGCCAGGGCGGGTCCTTCTGTCCTTCGTCCACATCCAACCCTAGTAGTAGCCCACCAGACCCTCCTATGCTCTCATGCCGCTACTCTGCACACACATGGGACCCCCACAGACCCTCACAGATGCCCCCAACCCCAAGTCTCACACTGTGCCTGGGGGTGCAGGGCGACGCCAACAGATCAGACACGGATGAGGACAAGACGTCAGCCCACCTGGAGGAGGATTTCGACAAACTCCGAGGCCTGGGGCCTGCGGGTGCGTCTGGGGGACGGGGCACCCCTCTGCCCTCAGGGATGGGGCTGGGGTCACTCTGGGAAGCCCCGCAGGCCTGAGTGCGTGCCCCCGCAGATGTGAAGATGTACACGCTGGCGGTGACCCCCAATGGGCACCTGGACGCTGGGGGCAGCCTGCCTCCTCCCCTCATCATGCGCACCGCAGCCACCCCCATGCCCACCCCAAAGAACTCCCCACACCTGGATGCTGCCCTGGGCCTCCTGGAGTCTCGTCGTGGGAGCAGCAGCTCTATGGATCCCCAGCTGGGGGACCAGAAGTCCCTGGTAGGGGCCTTCCAAGGCTACGTGCCTGCCTCAGGGGTTCCAGCCTGTCGGGGAGCGAGGGCGCCCGGGGCTGGGATGGGCAGCGGGTCCTGGAGAGCCAGGATGACCAGGCCGGCTGGACGTGGGCTATTCTGTGCCCAGAGGTGGAGGAGTGGGTGGGTGGGGCTGGCACGAAGCAGGACGTGGGAGGGACCACGCGGGCAAGTGAAGGGGCAGTACATCGTACTGGGGTGGCCTCAGAGAAGCCAAGGGGACCCCCAACACCCTGGCACCTGCCTGGGACCCGCCCAGAGGCTCACCCACGGCCCCCACAGTCCAGTCTCCGCAGCTCCCCCTGCGCGCCCTGGGGCCCCAACAGCGCCTGGAGCAGCCGTCGCTGCAGCCGCCACAGCCTGGGCCGCGCGCCCAGCCTCAAGCGCAGGGGCCAGGGCGGCGAGCGCGAGTCCCTGCTCTCGGGCGAGGGCAAGGGCAGCACAGACGATGAGGCGGAGGATGGCCGGCCCAGCGCCCACAGCCCGCAGCCCACCAGGCTTCAGGACTGCGACGGACATGTGCTGGCCCTGCCCAGCGAGTTCTTTCTGCGCGTGGACAGCAGCAAGGATGACGCCGGGGAGTTGGACGAGGACATGGAGGACGTGAGCGCACCCGTCCCCTGGGGGTGGGGGGCAGCGGTAGGGCAGGGCGGGCCCTGAGAGCGTCTGTGTGCCCGCAGAGCTGCTGCTCCCGCCTGCACAAGGTCCTGGAGCCCTACAAGCCTGAGTGGTGCCGGCGGCGGGAACCCTGCGCCCTGTACCTCTTCTCCCCGCAGAACCGGTGAGGCCCCGCATGGCTGCAGACTCCCGCCCCTCCAGCCCAGCCCGCGGCCCCCACAGCCCCCCTCAGCACTGCCCTCCCCTGCAGCTTCCGGGTCTCCTGCCAGAAGCTCATCGCCCATAAGCTCTTCGACCACGTGGTCCTCGTCTTCATCTTCCTCAACTGCATCACCATCGCCCTGGAGCGGCCGGACATCGACCCTGGCAGCAATGTGAGGCACCGCGTGGGGCCGGAAGAGGGGATCTCTGGCGCGAGGGGCCCATGGCAGCCCCCACACCCGCTCTGCCCCTGTCACTGCAGGAGCGCATCTTCCTCAGCGCCTCCAACTACATTTTCACGGCGATCTTCGTGGCCGAGATGATGGTGAAGGTACCTTGCATCCCGCTCTGGGGGGCCCGGCCCTGCAGCCTCGGGCCAGCGAGGCCCTTACCTGCTCGACCCCGCCCTCCCAGGTGGTGGCCCTGGGCCTGGTCTCCGGTGAGCACGCCTACCTGCAAAGCAGCTGGAACGTGCTGGACGGGTTGCTGGTCTTGGTGTCCCTCGTGGACATCATTGTGGCCATGGCCTCTGCGGGTGGCGCCAAGATCCTGGGCATCCTGCGAGTGCTACGTCTGCTGCGGACCCTCAGGCCACTGAGGTGGGCTGGGGGCAGGCGGAGGGCATGGGCCGGGAACTCCATGTGAGGGACTGCCACAGGCCGCGGGTGGGGTGGGTCAGCCCGGGGGACCCGGGGCCCCAGCGGCAGCAGGCAGGACGCTGCCCCTTCCGACTGCTGGTTCTCCCCCTGGGCCAACTGCCCACTGCTCCGCCCTGTGCAGGGTCATCAGCCGAGCCCCTGGCCTGAAGCTGGTGGTGGAGACACTGATCTCCTCTCTCAGACCTATCGGGAACATCGTGCTCATCTGCTGTGCCTTCTTCATCATCTTCGGCATCCTGGGGGTGCAGGTATCGGGGTGCGGGCCCCTGAGCCCCGTGTAAGAGGGAATGGCAGGCCTCGGGGTGACTGCTGGCCCCCCTCAGCTCTTTAAGGGGAAGTTCTACTACTGCGAGGGCCCGGACACCAGGAACATTTCCACCAAGGCTGAGTGCCGGGCTGCCCACTACCGCTGGGTGCGGCGCAAATACAACTTCGACAACCTGGGCCAGGTGGGCGAGGTCACGTTGGTGGGCGGGGCCATGCCAGTTGGTGGGGCTGCTGGTGGGCGGGGCCACCTTGGGGCAGGGCCATGCCAGGGGCGGGGCCACAGCTGGCCGGCTCACGAAGCCTCCTTAGGTTGGGGACCAGCTGACCTCTGGTCCGCAGCCAAAACCAGAGGAGGCCGGGGAAGGGCTGGGGCCATGGTAGGGCCATGATAGGGCCGTGATGACTCTTGGTCTGGCCTCCAGGCCCTGATGTCCCTGTTCGTGCTGTCGTCCAAGGACGGCTGGGTGAACATCATGTACGACGGACTGGACGCTGTGGGCATCGACCAGCAGGTGCGAGCAGGGCGGGCAGCCCAGGCCCTAAGCCGCTTCCGTCCCAGTGCCTCCAGGGTCAGCCTAGGGCACCTCCTCCCACCTGTAGCCTCCGAACTTCCCAAGAGTTCTGTGGGGAGGGCTGGGGCTGCCGGGGCCCCGGGCAGGCGCAGGCACCCATGGCCCTCGTGTGCTGCAGCCCGTGCCCAACCACAACCCCTGGATGCTGCTCTACTTCATCTCCTTCCTGCTCATCGTCAGCTTCTTCGTGCTCAACATGTTCGTGGGCGTGGTGGTGGAGAACTTCCACAAGTGCCGGCAGCACCAGGAGGCCGAGGAGGCACGGCAGCGGGAGGAGAAGCGGCTGCGGCGGCTGGAGAGAAAACGCCGGAGTAAGGCCCGTGGATGGGGACCTACGGGGCCCCTGCTGGCCTGGGCCCGGCCTCCCTGCTGCCAGCCCCTGCTGTGCCCTGAGCCCACCGCCCCGCCCTCTGGCATCCCATGTGGCTCAGACAACTGAGGCCCCTCCCCCCGGGCCCACCCTCCATGGTCAGGGGCAGAAGCAGCCCGAGTTCTCATCCACAGAGGAGGGCAGGTAGCAGGGAGCTAGCCTTGCAGGCGTCAGGGAGACTCGCCCGGCTGGGGAGCGAGGGGCTTCCTGCAGGAGGGCTGCTGAGTGTCCCCGCCGCTGCGGCCGGCTCAGACCATCTCCTTATCTTTCCAGGCACTTTCCCCAACCCAGGTATCTGCCTTGCCCGGCACCCTCGCATGCGCCCGCTTCTGTGGCCTCTGCCCAGGCTGCCGCTGGCCCAGCTCCGTTGGCACTGCGGGGGCGGGGGCGTCCAGACAGGCTGTGCCCAGAGTCCCCCGGGGTGCAGGGGTGCCTGGGGGGTGCCGCCAGCCCCCCGCCCAGCATGCAGGTGGCTGCCGTGAGCTCTCGCCTGCCCCCATGCGTGCTCAGCTTCTGAGCATGCACATGTGTCCTTGTGTGTGGCTGCATGCCTGACCGCCAGTCCCCGACTGTCTGCTCGCTCCCTGGCTGTGTGACCACGTGCTGGTGATGGCATGCTCCACGGAGCCACATGGCCGTGCACCCTCCTTCTGGTCCTGTGACTCACATGGGTCCCTCCGCCACAGGGCTGACGTGTGTCTCCCCCAGGAGCACAGTCCCACCCTCGGGGCTGCAGCGGGCACAGCGCTTGGCACAGTGACACTGCGGGGCCCCAGCTTGTGGCTGCAGCCTCTTAAGGGCCCCAGCCACCCCCAGGATGGGGAGGGAGGAGCTCGGGCCGCTGCATCAGGCTGGCTCCTGCCTGGATCAGACAGTAGAGGACAGGCTGTGTGAGCCGAGGGTAGCCGGGGCCAGGGCTGACCCGCCAGAGTCCCTGTCTCACCACTGAAGATTCCTCTTGCCCCCTCTGGGAAAGCACCGCTCGGGGGCCAGAGCAATAGTACAGCGGGTAGGGCACTCACTGTATGCGGTTCACACAGTTTCGACCCTTGGCACCCATATAGTCCTCAGCACCGCCAGGAGTGAGCCCTGAATGCAGAGCAGGAATAGGCCCTGAGCATCACCGGGGATGACCCAAGAACCTAGAAAAAGAAAAAATCCCCAGCCCAGGATGCCCAGGAGTCTGAGCTTCAGTCACTCCCCTCTGCCCAGGGCCGCACAGCCGGCCCAGGCCTGGTCCCTGCAGACACTGTCCCCCTCCTGTACAGCTCTTCCCCCTACACAGAAGCCCATGTGGGGGGCCTGTCTGCCCCTGTCTGGGCCCTCGAGCCTGCCGGGAGCTGGTGGGTGGCCCCGGCTGCTGGCCCACTGCCTGCCCACTCCCCTGCAGAGGCCCAGCGCCGGCCCTACTATGCCGACTACCCCCCCACCCGCCGCTCCATCCACTCCCTGTGCACCAGCCACTATCTGGACCTCTTCATCACCTTCATCATCGGCGTCAACGTAATCACTATGTCCATGGAGCACTACGACCAGCCCAAGGTGGGTGCCCGGGTCCTGGGAGGGTATGCTGTAAACTGAATAGCACATGCCTGAGAGCAAGGTGTGGGGTATGCTGTGGACACTCCTGCGCCTGGTGGAGGCCAGGCTTGCCAGGCCGACTCAGTCTGCACCTCCCAGTCGGAACCTAAGTTCTGGGCCGGGGAGGGCGCCCCGCAGAGCCCAGCCCCCACAGCCTGCCTTCTCTCCCAGTCCCTGGATGAGGCCCTCAAATACTGTAACTACGTCTTCACCATCGTCTTCGTCATTGAGGCCGTGCTGAAGCTGGTGGCCTTCGGCTTCCGGAGATTCCTCAAGGACAGGTGGGCGGGGTACTGGCACCGGGTGCTGGGAGGTGTACGGTGCCAGGCACTGACCGCTGCCCATGGGCCAGGTGGAACCAGCTGGACCTGGCCATCGTGCTGCTGTCCATCATGGGCATCACGCTGGAGGAGATCGAGATGAGCGCGGCGCTGCCCATCAACCCCACCATCATCCGCATCATGCGTGTGCTGCGCATCGCCCGCGGTAGGCCCCCGCGAGTTGGGGCGGGCGGAGCCGCAGCCGCCGCGCCCACCCCTCACACCCCCTCCCACCCTAGTGCTGAAGCTGCTGAAGATGGCCACAGGCATGCGGGCTCTGCTGGACACAGTGGTGCAGGCGCTGCCGCAGGTACGTGGCTTCCCAGGAGGGCTTGCGGGGCTATGGGGACCCGGGATGCTGGGACAGCACAGGGAACCCGCCCCGCAGTGACCTTAGTGGAGGGCACTGCAAAGGGAAGTCACGTGAAGGAGTAGCCACGAGCAGAGAGAGCAGGGGGCCTAGGGGAGGGAGGGGTCATTTGCAGGGAGGGAGGGGCCTAGGGGAGGGCGGAGCCATGTGAAGAGAGGGAGAGGCCTAGGGAGAAGGGCGTGGTCGGAAAGGGCTAGGCCTAGGGGAGGGTGGGCCGTGTGCAGAGAGGGTGGGGCCTAGGGAGAAGGGCTGTGTGCAGAGAGGGCGGGGCCTAGGGAGAAGGGCCTTGTGCTGGGAGAGACCCACCATGTGGTCCGGAATGCCCAGTGCTGGGTCGGGTTCTCTGCAGAGGGCAGAGCAGAGCCCAGAGTCTGTCAGGCCTGTTCCCTGGGGCCCTGGTGTGTAGGAATCATTTTCCTGCCAACCCTCTACCTGCAGCACACTCACCTGTCCACCCAAGTGTCCAGCCCACCTGGTCAGCCTCCCAGGCACGCCTCACTGTCCACCGTCCCCTCTCCAGGCCTAGGACCCTGGGTCCCTAGAGTAGGAGTCGGAGCAGGGCACTGCGGGAGGAGGCGGGGGTGGGGGGGCAGGGCTCCCAAAGAAGGCCAGGCGCCCCTGGGATGGGCAGCCCTGGGGCCCAAGGGCTGGAGCCTGAGCGTGGGTGCGAGGGGCCCAGGTGCTGCCAGCTGACGTGTTGCTTTCCTCCATGTAGGTAGGGAACCTCGGCCTCCTTTTCATGCTCCTGTTTTTTATCTATGCTGCCCTGGGAGTGGAGCTGTTTGGAAGACTCGGTGAGTGCCCATGGGGTCTGCAGGATGGCACACACAGAGCGAGCGACTCAGCTGCTGCACACATGTGCACCCACACACAGGCACCTGGGAGGGTGAGCAACACACACGTGCACACAGGCACCTGCGAGGGTGCGAGACACAAAGTGTACACACAGGCATGTGGGAAGGTGAGCGACACGTGCACACATGCACACACACGTGCACACACAGGCACCTGCAAGGGTGAGCAACACACACGTGCACACACAGGCACCTGCAAGGGTGAGCAACACCCATGTACATGCTGGCACTTGGGAGGGTAACACACATGTGTGCACACACATTCGCACACAGGCCCTGTGTGCCAGGGGGAAGCTGGAAGACAGCCAGGTGCACTGTGTGGGAAGCTCTCAGTGCCCACTATGAGTGGACAGCTTTAGGCCTGGGGTCTGCAGAGGTCCTAGTGACCATTCCCAAGCACCTGTGTCCAGGGGACACGTGGAGCTCAGGGCAGCAGGAGTGGGCGTGTGTGCGTGAAGGCACTGTGGACTCTTCACAGGCCCATGGCCTTGTCTGTGCGTGTGTGTCTGTGTGCATGTGTGCATGTGCGTGTGTGCACTCCTGGTCATACCCGTGCATGTGTTGGTGCATGTCTGCGTGTGTGCACATGGCTGAGCCCATGTGTGCATGCTGTGTGGGGGCGACCACTTGCCAGCACAGGGTCTGTCCAGAGGGAGCTCCCGGGACCCAGCCGCGTCTGAGCCTGCTCTGAGCCCAGTTTCCCACTGTCCACCTAGTTGGGGCAGAGCCCCGGGGTGGGTCGGCTGCAGGGGCTGGACCGGGGCCTCCTCTGGGCCTGGCCTGTGCCCCAAGCACGCCACCTCGTGTCGCCTGGACGGGCCGTCTGCCGGGTGGGCTGAGGCTGGCCCCTCCCCCGCAGAGTGCAGCGAGGACAACCCGTGTGAGGGCCTGAGCCGCCACGCCACCTTCACCAACTTCGGCATGGCCTTCCTCACGCTTTTCCGCGTGTCCACGGGGGACAACTGGAACGGCATCATGAAGGTAGGGGATGGGCAGGGTGGGCAGGGGGCCGGGCGTGCCGCGCTCAGCTGCCGGCCCCACAGGACACGCTGCGCGAGTGCGCCCGTGAGGACAAGCACTGCCTGGGCTACCTGCCCGCCATCTCGCCCGTCTACTTCGTCACCTTCGTGCTGGTGGCCCAGTTCGTGCTGGTCAACGTGGTGGTGGCCGTGCTCATGAAGCACTTGGAGGAGAGCAACAAGGAGGCGCGGGAGGACGCCGAGCTGGACGCCGAGCTGGACGCCGAGCTGGAGCTGGAGCGGGCCCCGGGTCCCTCTACCCGGCCGCCGCCCACGGCCCCGGAGAGCCCCCCACTCCTGGCTGTGCGCAAGGTGTCCGCATCCCGAGCGCTCTCGCTGCCCAACGACAGCTACATGTTCCGGCCGGTGGTGCCCGCCATGGCCCCGCGGCCCCAGCCGCTGCAGGAGCTGGAGCTGGAGGTCTACGCAGGGGCACCCTCGGGTACGACGACACTGGGGACAGGGCTGGGGCTGGACGGCGGGGCCAGGAGTCACTACTCACTCAGCCCCCGCCTGCCCCAGGCTCCACCTCCTCCCCACGCTCGCCGCCCGCCAGCCCCTGGACGTCCCCGCAGATGCCCTCGGTCACCACCTCTCCTTCCAGCGGCAGAGACGCCCCCCAGGCTGCAGCCCCTTCCCCCCGGGGCCCGACTCACAGCCCCAGCCTCAGCCGGCTGCTCTGCAGGCAGGTAAGAGGTCCGGCCACAGAACGGCATCTCAGACCATCCACGACAGGTGCCGGCTACATCCCTGAGGCTCCGTGCCCACGACAGATGCTGCCTGTCCTGCTCCCCGTAACCGTCCAGCATAGTGACTGGTACGGGCAGCCTCACCACCCGTGTCCCCGCGCAGGAGGCAGTGTGCATGGATGGCTCGGAAGGACAGGCGGACGGCTCCAAGGATGGTGCCGAGGACTGGGCGCAGTCTGAAGGAAAGGATTCTTCCCGGGGCTCCTCCCCACGTTCCCCACCCTGCTCTCCCAGGCCCGCCAGCACCCAAGCCCGCAAGCCAGCCCCGGGACAGCGCAGCGTCCCCAGCCTGCCCCCGGCACTGGGCGGCGGGGAGGCGCCAGACCCCACTGACGAGGAGGTCAGCCACATCACCAGCGCGGCGCCCCCAGGGCCCGGGTCAGCAGGCGGCTTCCTGGAGCTGCCGGGGCGGCCGTCAGAGCCGTGCTGGGCACCATCGGAGCTGGGTGGGGACGCGGGGCCGGGGGCAGAGCTGGCCTCGGGGGCACGGCGGAAGAAGAAGATGAGCCCCCCCTGCATCTCCGTGGAGCCCCCCGCGGAGGACGACGGTGCGGCACGGCCACCTGGGGCGGAGGCTGGCTGCAGCACCCTCCGCCGCCGAACCCCGTCCTGTGAGCCGGCCCCCCACAGGGACACCCAGGAGCTCACCGAGGGCCCGGGGCCGGACCCTGCCCCCAAGGTCGAGCGGCGGCTGCACGGCCCCTGCCGCACCGAGCACCTGGCTGTCCCCAACTTTGCCTTTGAGAGCCTGGACAAGGGGGGGCCCAGTGGGGACTCGCTGCCACGGGACATCAGCCACGGGGCGGTCACAGACCCCAGCGCTTCTGCCCCTGGGACCACAGCACCCTCAGAGCCCCCTTGCCCCCCCAGGGGTTCCCCAGAACGGGGGCGAGGGCCACATCTTGGCGTCCCCCAGAGCTCCCCCAGCAGAGGAGGGACGGCCCCTGAGGACAGCACAGCTGAGCCCATGTAGCCTCGGGGAGGCCCCCATGGAGGCGGCCCTCAGCGGGCCAAGCATGGACCTGATCGGGTCCCCCCAGGCAGAGGGGCAGGGGTGTGGCTGCACTGACCCGGGCCCACCTGCTGGTCACGTGTTCAGGGCTGCACTGACCCCCCTCCCCTCACTGTGTCCCTGCCCCCCCACTGCCTCTGTCCATGCCCCATCAGCCCCACAGATATGCCAGAGACCAGCTGGACTCAGGATGGGGGTCCTGGGGCGGGTTCTGCCCATTCGGGTGGAAGGTGCAATAACTGGGTCAGAGCACGGGCTCTGCGGTCCGGCAGGGCGTGGGCAGCCAATAAACACTAACTTATTGTGCAGTGCCTGGTCCTGGCTGCCGCCAGACTCACTGGGACACCATGTTCAACCACCTCTGGCTCTCCGGTAGGCCCAGGGAAACCAGAAGCCCCCCCAGCCCCCAGCCCAGACCCTCTGGGCCCAGGAGGGGCAGTAGAGGGGAAGGATGGCCCAGGGAGAGCCTTTAGGCCGACCCCCCTGCCTGGCCCGTGGGCACCGCAGGTCGGCAACTTGCCCAGCTGCCACCTGGGCCACCATCCAGCCCAACAGCCTGACCCGGGGAGCCTGGCTGAGTCCTGTGATGTCCAGCTGCAGTCAGACCCACACTCTTCCCCAGAGGGACCCCACCAGGGTTAGGCAGGCTCAGGGCCAGGGTGGGTGAGAGCACACCCAGGACCTGCTCCCTGGAGCCTGTCACCGTGTGCAGGGTGCAGGGGCATTGCCCAACCCACTCGGGGGTGACACTGGTACTCCCTGGGGAGCACTATGCCAGAGCCCCGGGGACACCCCAGACAGCATAGGTGCTTGAGGCCACGCAGCAGCGGGCAGCGCCCTCCCCTGGGCAGCAGCACTGGGAGCCAGCAGAGGGGTTTGCTCCACCCTCACACCCCTGGTGAGATACCCAGTGCTGATATCACCCAGCCCCTGGTGACGGTGACGCGCCCCCAAACAGAGCCAGCTGCACCCACACTGCTCATCTCTCCCTTTAATGAGGGGCACATGGGGGGATGGTGGGCGCTGGCTGTCCTCCCAGGAGTGCCAGGTTGCACCCAAGCTCAGGGCTCCTGGGGGACGTACTGGTGGATCCAGTCCAGGAAGTGGGTGACGCGGGTGTAGATGCCGGGTCTGTTGGGGTGGGCACAGCCCTCGCCCCAGCTCACCACGCCCGCCTGCAGCCACGTGCGGTTCACCTTGCAGGCCAGCGCCCCTCCGGAGTCGCCCTGTGGAGAGGACAGTCAGCGTGCTGCCAGTCCCTGGTGGTGGGGCGGGGCCGAGCACTCACCTGGCAGGGGCCCTTCCGGAAGGCCCCGGCGCAGAGCATGTTGGCCTTGACAATCTGCACACTGTCCCCCGTGGAGGAGCCCATGTGGTACTGGGCGTCACACTGGCCATTGTCCACAATGGGCACCTTCACCTGCTTCAGGGGGTACGGCGGCAGGAGGTCTACTGCAGGGAAAAGGTCGGGGACTGAGCCCAGGGGGGGCGGGTGGGCACCAGCCCCCGCCCTCCACTGCCCCGACTCACTCCCGTCGCTGGTGTCGCCCCAGCCTGTCACCCAGCACGGCGTTCCTGGTGGGAAAGTCTCGGAGGCGGGCGGCAGTTTGATCAGCTGGACGTGGCTGGACAGGTTCACAGGCTGCTGCAGCTTCAGCAGGCCGATGTCTGCCCCGACCTCCACGCTGTAGTAGTTGGGGTGCAGGATGATCCTGCTGATGGCCAGCAGCCGATCTCGGTAGTAGAGGTTCTGCTCCCGCAGCTGCACTTTGTAGTCCATGGGGTCCACCACGCTCCTGCCGGACAAAGCAGGGCTAACGGGCGCCAAGCACTTGTGCGCACAGCCCAGGCACCCGGCCCTGACACTCACCGGCTGAAGCAGTGTGCGGCAGTCAGCACCCACTGGGGGTGGATGAGGGAGCCCCCGCAGTTGTGTATCCAGTACTTGGACCTTACGCGCAGGCTCACCTGCCATGGCCACTTGCCCACGGGCGCCTCCTGCCCCCCCACGATGCCTGCTCGTGCGGGGGCCTGGCCTGGGGGGGAGCAGGAGGGCCTCAGGATGAGCTGGGGAGCGGCGCAGCCCTGGGGTGGCCCTGCCCAGGTCGGGTGGGACTGACTCACCAGGCGCCACGAGGACCAGGCTCCCAAGGAGGGGCAGCACCAGCACAAGCGGACTCAGCATCTGGAAGGAGTGAGCACACTGTGGGGGGCCTGTCCAGGCAGGGCGCAGGGTACCAGGGCTGGTCCAGGCAGGGCGAAGGGGCACCAGGGCTGCCCCTGGTGGGGCGCAGGGATACCAGGGTCGGCCCAGGTGGGGCTGGTGGAGTTGTGGTCTGGGGGCTTACCTTGGCCTCTCCTGCTCTCCAGAGCCAGCCTGCCCACCTGCTCCATTTATCCTCTGCACCAGGGTGGGTCTGAGTAGAGGCCGCCAATCCCAAGCTGAGGAAGGGTGACTCAGACCCCACAGGAAGGGGCCCCCGCTTGTGGGGAGGGCGCCCAGGCCCACTTCTCAGCAGGCTGCTATCAGGGGATCTGGGTCATAGGCTGAGTGAGGGTCATGTGGAGGAAGTGGCTGAGATAAGAGCAGTTCCAGCCCGACCTGGCCCGACCCTCACCGGTCCCCTCCTGCCTGTCCCCTGCCCGCCTGTCCACACAGCCCAGGTCAGCCATGCTGCTCCTCGCGGGTTCCTAGGCAGCGGCCCAGGGTCACACGGGGTGGCAGGGGCCGGGCGTGGCAGGGCGAACAGGTGACACCCCCACCCCAGCGAACGGCCCCACAGTCAGGCAGGATTAGAAGGGGCTGGGGGGCCCGGAGAGATCTCTAGGAGCTCTGTGATTGGATCGGGCCTGACATGGACCATCAGCGGCGGTGAGGATGCACATGCCGATTGCTGACTTTGGACCAATCAGGACAGGCCTGAGCCGCTGCCTCCTTCCCGCTTCTCACCTCCAGGACTGCAGTGTGATGGGCCGAGTGTAGATCACCCTCCTCGGTATGATAGCCTTGTCCTTGGGGGACTGGTCACAAAGTCTCAGCAACACATTAAACATTCACTGAAGAAATAGAAAGGATGGCTCCCTTAAAGGGTTCAGCTCCTTTGTGATGAAAACACTGCAAAGATTTCTGACACATGCTATTGGCACACAGGCCAGACAAGGGTCCAAGAACTTGACTGTGATTCCTGCAGCTGATTGAATAAATGCGTCAATGCTTGCAGTGCCTCCTGCCTGGGGTCGCCCCTGATATCTGTGGTGATGGGCCCCTGGAGTTGGTGGACCCAGTAGCAGGGAACCGCAGGGCAGGGTTGAGGGGTGGATACAGCACACCTGTAGGCAGAAGCGCAGATAGAGGCTGCGAAAAATGTGCTGCAGGACCTCAGTCCAGGGAGCGGGGAGGGCGCTGTCTCTCAGATTCATTCCCCGGCATCCCAAGTGGCCCCCAAGCACACCAGGAATAATTCCTGAGTGCAGAGCCAGGTTTAACCCCTGAGAACAGATGGGTGTGACCTTCCCAAATTACTTATAAAAGGTTTCACACATGAATACAAGGAGCCCCTCATTCAAAAATAATAATAATAATCTAGTGTAGGGTCCAGAGTGATATGACAGTGGGGAAGTCATTGGCCTTGCGTACAGCCAATCCCCGACACCACATATGCTCACCTGAGCCATCCCTGGGTGCAGATTCAGGAATAAGTCCTGAGACTTCCAGGTGTGGCCCCCAAGCAAAATAAAAGTCTAGCTGGGTATGTTCCGGCAATCATAAGACCTTCCTCCCCCAGGTGCCTGTTCAAGTCCTTCCCACCCCCCACCGTTGGTGTTTCTTTATAAGCCCCTGTAGTTTCACGAGCTCTAGAATGCTTCATGGCAAGAGCACACGTGTGACTCCGGCTGCAGCTTAGCCAATCGGGGATTGGCTGTTCTGTTCAGGGTTGGACCGTTCCTGCCTCTCCCAGAGAGGCATGTCACTGCCAGGAATGTCCCGTGCTCTGCGAGATGCTGAGGATGTTGGCACCACATCACCCGGAAATCCGTGTCAGATCTGTCAGAAACCGGCTGGCCTGGCTGTGCCTCAAGTCAGCCCGCTTCATCTTCTGTCATGTGTTGCTGTTGACTCTGGATCAGTCTCTGAGCTGTCCTGTGTGCTCTCCTCAGTCCCACCATCTTTCTTCTTAGCTGTGTGCTCCCCTCAGTCCCACCGTCTCCTTCCTCAGCTTGCTGGCAAGGTTTGAGGTGGAAGAAAAGGCACTTCCTCTCCTGCCCCACTGCAGGGCTGAGCCCAGCACCGCCAGGAAGGAGCACAGAGCACAGAGCTAGGGGTCAGCCGTCAGCCCTGAGCATAGCTGGTGTGCTCCAAGACACCATTTCATTTTTTTCATCATCCTGTTAATCGTCGATTGCCTCGAGCAGGCCCCAGTAACGTCTCTTTCATCCTAGCCCTGAGATTATATTCACGGCTCTTTAGGAGAATGAGACCCATCATTGTTACTGGTATTTGGCATATTTGGTAGGCCACGGGGAGTTTGCCAGACTCTGCCCTGTGGGCAGGCTACATTCGATAGCCTGCAAGTTTGTCCAAAGTAGGAATGAGGTAATAAGATGTCTTCGGGTGCCGGAGCCCCGGTCGTGGCGGGGAGGAAAGCTCGACCTGCTCCCCTCCAAGGGGTCCCGGCGAGGGACACCCAGGCGCGGGGGCAAAAGACTGCACTGTTCTCGTCCGGGATCTGGATTTTATAAACCCCAAGACACCATCTCTCAAAAAAAAAATTGTGTAAGAATAAAGGGGAAAAAGCAGAGAAAGTGCTGACCCTTCCTGAGAGAACAACTCTGACAACTCGTCTCATGCCCCAGCCCCAGAAAACGACACCCCCATCCACCAGCCAGCAAGACTGACCATATGAGCCAGGAGTAAGCCCCAGGCACAGCCAGGTGTGCCCCCAAGCACTGTAGTGAAGCTGGAGGCGCTGGGCTGGTAAGGTGTGTGCAGCGGGCAGCTGCTGAGGCATGTGGGATCCCTGGAGTTTAGTTCTGGGGGCTCCCTAGCTGCCTCCAGATCTGGCAGTTCTGGCGCTAGAGGGGTCAGGAGTGAGAGTGTAGGTCAGTGTGGTCTTGGGCTGTGCACCCCTTTCCGGGCGCTGCCCTGCTCCTGGATCCCCTGGGGACATGTGGGCAGGACCATGGAGTGTGCACCAGCCCTGGAGCCCTGGATGTCCTCCTCAGGCTGGGCTCAGTCCTGAGAAACAGACTGGCCTGACATGGGTCCCCTGTGTTCCCAGGGTGGCCACTCAGGGCCCTCCTGGGTCCTGCTGGCCAGTGCCAGCATTCGCTGGTGGGGGGAGCCTCCCAGCACCCCCCTACAGGCCACAGACATGAAGCCTGGCCTGACCCCACTTCAGCACCCCACTTCTGCCACCCCTGCCCAGCTGTGCTCTCATACCCAACTCCCCACCACCAACTCCCAGGATGCCACCCCGAGGCTTAGGAGCCCCTCACGCCCTCCCCAAATTCCTGCAGACTATGGAGGAACACGAAGCTGTTGGCTGCCTTTGAAGGAGGCACCACAGATGATCTCGGGAACTGTGCCAGGCCAAGAGCCGACGCAGCCCAGCAGCCTGCACCCCCACCAGCCCCACTGTGCGCCAGAAAGACACCAGAAACAGCAGAGCAAGCATTTATTGTGCAGGTTCCGGCACCTGAGCCCAGACCCGGGGCTCAGCCTCTGTGGGGAAAAGGGCTGGGAGCACCTCAGCAAGGCGGCATCCTGGGGGAGAGCCGGTGAAAGCGTGGGGAGCAGCCCCTGGCCCGGGCAGGGGCCGAGGACACTTGGCGCTGGATCCAGGGCTGATGGACGGGCACGCTTGCGTACACGCCCGGGGCGCCTGGCTCTGCGCAGCCCTTGCTGAAGCTGACCACGGCTGCCTGCACCCACGAGCCGCTCGCAAGCTGGCACACCAGCGGGCCCCCGGAGTCACCCTGAAGAGGCAAGAATGGGCCAAGCCGTGACGTACCAGAGGGAGACCTGGGTTCAAGCCCCAGCACCTCAGGGCCTGCCAAGCCCAGCAGCGAGCAACCCCCGTGCACTGAGCTGGGAGCAGCCCCTGAGGGCCACCAGGTGTGGGGCAGGCTGGGAGCTCCCCCATGGGCAGGCAAGTCTGGGGTCCCGGGTGGGGACGGCGAGGCCTATCCACTGCGCCTCCTGGCACAACTCCCAGTGCTGGCCCAGCTGCTCGCTCTGGGAATGCTCCTGCTCTGGTTTAGGACTTGTGAGCCTGTGCCCTGGCCAGCCCAGCAAGGGACTGACCCCACCCCCACAGAGCCGGCCCAGGGGAGGGGGATCCCAGGCACAAACCTCACAGAAGCCTTTGCGGCCCCGGGGGGCGCCAGCACACAGCATATCCTGGGCAATGCGCTCTGGTGCGTACTGCTGGCGGCACACCTGAGGGCTCACGGTCAGCACGTCCACCTCCTGCAGCTGGAGGGGCTGGGGCAGGGCCTCTGCGGGTAGAGCGGGTGTCAGCAGGGCTGCAGCTGGGGGGAGGGTCCCACGCCGCTGACCCACAGCCTGAGCCCCTCACCCACCGTCCTGGCTGACGTCGCCCCAGCCGGTCACCCAGCAGAGGGTGCCCGGGGGGATGTCAAGGCCGGGCCTGGCCAGCTGCACGGGCCTGATGGTGCGAGAGAAGCGCACGGGGCGCGCCAGCCTCAGGAGGGCCACGTCCGCACCCTGCAGGGCGTCCCCGCTGTAGGAGGGGTGCCGGAACACACGTGCCACGTTCATGCTCACGGAGCCCGGGGGCCTGGTGTACAGGGCTGACTCGCCCAGCTGCACTGTCAGCTGCCCCTGGCGTACAGAGCTGCGAAGGGAAAGGAACAGGCCAGTGTACGGTGGCACCGCCAGCCCCCTGAGGGTGATCCAGAGGGGGTGCACAGGTGCTGGCCGCTGGGCCTTGTCCAGTCATATGTCCAGGGCAGACTCCAGCCTGAGTGCTCGCTGAAAGCATGAGAGTTCATGCTCAGGCTGTCCAGTCCCCAGTGATGGGGACTGCAGGGTACACGCTGGTGGACATGGGGGTGGCAGGAGGCAGATGGGCCCTGGGCAGGGGTGTGAGGGGCCCCCGGGGCACCTGGGCTGGATCTGGCCCTGCCCCAGGTGGGCAGCTGCTGCAGACCCACGTCCCTGACACTCACCTGGGGATGCAGTGAGCAGCAGTCAGCACCCACTGGCTGTTGATGAGGCTGCCCCCACACACGTGCTGGCCGTACTCCCGCAGGCTAGCCTGCCACGGCCATTGGTGGAGGGACGCCTCCACACCCCCCACAATGCGGGCCTTAGGGACCAGGCTGCTCCCTGGCGAGAGAGGGTGGCTGGGTCACTGGGGTCCCCTGTGGACGGCCCAGGCTGAGGGGGCTCCCCGCCCACCTCCAGATGCCGGGGACCGCGTAGTGCTACCACCAGGCAGGCCCTGGGCCCCCGGGACTCACCCCTTCCTCCCAGAGGGAGCATGAACAGCAGGAGCAACAGCATCTGCGGGAGAGCACAGGACGTCCAGCCCAGCCCAAGCCCCCCTCTCAGACCCCAGGCCCTGAGTGCAGCCATCACCTGGAGGACTCAGCGCTGCTGTGGGTGTCCACGGCTCCGCAGCTCGTGTCCGCCTGTTCCCGCGCTTGCTGACGTGTCCTGGCTCCCAACCTGGCCCATCCCTGGCCACCCCCAGATTGGGAGTGTGGGGGCAGTGCGGGGGGGGTCTGGTTCTGGGGCAGGAGGGCCCGGCAGCAAGCAGGCCCGTGAGGGGTGACCTGGTCAGAGTGGGGGTCCGCTGTCTGGCTACAGAAGGGCCTCGCCTGGGCTCCCCCCGAGACTGGGGCTGGCCACGGCCACCACCTCCCCCCACCCCGCTGCCAGCCCACAGCAGGCGGAAGTCAGGGACGCAGTCCTGCCCCAGGTAAGTTTCAGGGAACCGTGTCACCTGGCTTCTACAAAGGGACACGTTGGCCAGCCTGGCAGCCTGTTGAGGGACCAGGAGGATGCAGGGGGTGGGCCCAGCTGACACCGGAGCTGCCTTATCTCTGTCTGGACTTGGCCGAGCAGAAGAGGCCCAGGAGATGGGCAGAACCTGGGCAGATGCCTTTTGGGGGGCCGGAGATGTGGCATATCCAAGTGGCCACTGTCACTGCCCAAGCCGGCCCGCTGTCACTGGCTGCTCTTGGAGCACTGTCATGGACAGTCCCCAGCTATAGCCGTGTGCCTAGCGGGTCGCCATGCAGAGACCCTGCTGTGACCTTATGATCTTATGACCTTCCGTGAGGGCCATGCTTGCTCTCGTGACAGGAAGACGCTGCACATGGTCACTTCTCTTCCGACCACAGGCTCCTTTCAAACAGGCCTGGGAAGTATGGGCAGCACGGCCAAGCATGGCCAGCACAGGCACTGGCCACTACAGCAAGAGCCGGGACGTCCGGAGGGGCTGACACAAGGCCTGACTGCTCGAACACAGCTGGTGGTGGCAGCACAGGGCTGTCTGTGTGCACTGAATCGCTCAGAGCCGAACTTTGGGGACTGGAGCGATAGCAAAGCAGGTAGGGTGTTTGCCTTGCACGCGGTTGACCCGAGTTCGATTCCCAGCACCCCATATGGTCCCCTGAGCACCGCCAGGAGTAATTCCTGAGTGTAAAGCCAGGAGTAACCCCTTTGCAACACCCAGGTGTGACCCAAAAAAGAAAAAAAAATCAGAGCTGGACTTTGCCCGCCAGAGGAAGACGCCACCAGGAGACCTGGAACCCCTCGACCACCCCAAAACATTCATGCCACAGCACAAGAGCCCCATCTGGCAGAGGAAGCCCAACAGCATGAAAAAGTCATGGTTATCTGCAAAACCCAGAGAGCGTCAGATAAAGGCTCAGAATGAACAGCCCTGCTGATATGACCAGGACTAGGCCAGGACTGGGTGGGTGAGATCGGACGGCTGATGGACATCTTATCTTGCTGAGGTGGAACGAGCCGTCTTCTAAGGAAGGGAGGAACAACGGAAAAACCACTCCACGGTAGGAAGGAAGCTGCAGCCATGGCGGGAGAGCCCACTGGCTCCCACCCTCTACTGGAGCTGGGGACACGGGGGACCTGGCTGCAGCCCGCTGGGCACTGCTCTAAGCTTTGTTCCTGGCACCACGAGGCTCCCCAGAGTCTCACTGGAGGTGCCCCCGCAACCACCAAACACAAACCCTCCAAACTCCATGAGAGAAATGGAAACCTCCGTCGGGCTGGTTGCAAAGACCCGTGTCCCTCACGGGCCTCTTAGCCGCACAGGGAAGATGGCCAGCGCATGGCCACTCATGAGGAAGGTGCCAGGCAAACGGCCCCATGTCCACTATCAAGCTGCCCTTTGGGTATGAGTGGAACCTGCAGCTGCGGTCACCAGCCAGCAGAGAGGATGAGGCAGCTTCCCCCAGAGCAGTGGGGTGCACGTTTGGGGGTCACACTTGGTACTCAGGGGCTATGTCTGGCTCTGTAATCAGGAGTGACCATGGACAGGGCTCAGAGGATCAGATGGGTGCTAGGACCAGCGCTCTCCCCACTGTCCTGCTACTTGGGTCGGATGTGCCAAACCCCCCAAATCCAAAGCCACACCAAGGCCCCGCAGCCACTAGCCTGGATCCAGAAGCCCCGTGTCGTTCCCCTCCCCCAGCACTGAGCTTGGGAGCCCAGACCAAGACTACAATTCCGGAGAAGGACAGAGGCCAAGCAGGGGGTGGGCACAAAGGAGGAGGCCTTTGCTGGACGCTGCTCACCTCTGGGATGGTCCCTGAGGGAATCATAACAAAGACCGTGAGAGCAACTAGCTGTGATGAGTCACAGAAGAAACGGCCATGCAGGGCCAGGTGCCCGGAGCCAGGCGGGGTCCTGGACAGACGTGGGGCCCAGGAGTCGCCCCACCCGTCCTCCTGGAACGTGCTGGGCTGGCCAAGTCCCCGTGAGTACCCGGCAGTGTGGCCACAGCTCTGCCCAGCATGCTTGCCACCATGTGCTGCTGTGTCCGTGAGGGGCTGTGGCCTCCTCCGGAGCGACGACTCGCTCTCTCTGCACAAAAAGGGGGCTCATCACTGAGCCCCAGAAGGTCCTGGCTTCCTCACCTCTCCGCACAGAAAAGAATTTCAGGAGACCAACAGTGCAGGAAGATGGTCTTTCTTAAGAACTGGTGAAAAGGGGCTGGAGCAATAGTACAGCAGGGAGGGCGTTTGCCTTGTATGCATCCAACCCCGGTTCGAGTCCCAACATCCCATATGGTCCCCTGAGCACCTCCAGGAGTAATTCCTGAGTGCAGAGCCAGGAATAACCCCTGTGCATCGCCGGGTGTGACCAAAGGGCACACACAATCACACACACAAAAGAACTGAAAGGGAGGTGAAAGGGAGGTGAGCGCGGTCATACAGTGGCTAGAACACTGGCCTTGCATGTGACTGACCCAGCTTTGATTCCTGGCAGCCTCACGCACCGCCCCCAGTGACTCTGAGTGCAGAACCAGGTCCTTCCTGCCAGGAGGACCCTGTACTCGCCTGAGCACGGCCCCCAAACACAAAGACCCTGTAAAAGAGAGAACATGTGGGCTCTCCGGAGGGGAGAGAGCTAAGGACACCCCATGATGTGAAAGCAGGAAGTGCATGTCCGTGGTTTGTGGGGGACCCAGGATGGGGCCTTCCAGCATCTCACCACTGCCTGTGCGGACTGGGGAGGGACTTGTAGGAAGGACCTTGAGCTCTGGGCGTCTTCTCACTCTTCACCTTCGGGGGTGCTCTGGAGCCCCTTAGCACTTCATCAGTCCCAGTTCCTGCTCCCCCAACTGCCTCCTCATGCCTTTGAGCTCCTTCTGGCCTGCTGAGAGCAACTTTACTGAGAAACTCATTGGCAGGAGCCTTGCTCTGAGGGCTGCTTCACATGGAGGGTTCCAAAGTTTCCCCAGGATCTCAGCAATCGCTCAGCCACTTACACAAGCTCTTTCCCTAGAACACAGAGACAACCCCACACAGCAGCCGGCGCTGGGGAGACCAAGTCCGTCAGCCCTAGGCTGAGGCCCAGAGGACGGAGGGAGTGCGGGAACACAGGCTGGGCAGTTCTCCAGGAAGTTTGAGCATCCCTGGCCACCCCCCAGTCAGGAGGAGACCCACAGTGAGCTCGGCCCAGGACATAAGTCCATCCCCGCCAGCTCCCACGGCCTGGCCTTTACTACCCTGAGCACAGCACAGGCAGAGGGCCCAGGCAGCTGGGGAGAAGCTGGCACGTCTGTGCCAGCCGGAGACGCTTCTGCTGGGAAGCATCGTGGACATAAACCTAGAGGCCAGGGTCTCCAACCCACACTGAACAGAGGTTCCCCTCTGAAGCCACAGGCTGAAAGGAAGGAGCATGGCTACTCAGTCACAGGAGGGAGGGAAGGAGGGAGGGAGGGAGGGAGGGAGGGAGGGAGGAGGAAGAGGAGGAGGAAGGGCAGCAGAGGAGGAGGAGCTAGGGGGGAGGAGGAGGAGGAGAGGAAGAGGAGGAGGAGGAGAGGAGGAAGAGCTGGAGGATGAGAGGAGGAGGAGGAGCTGAAGGAGGAGGAGGAGAGGAGGAGGAGGAGCTGGAGGAGGAGGAGCTGGAGGAGGAAGAGCAGGAGCTGGAGGAGGAGGAGGAGGAGGAAGAGCTGAAGGAGGAGGAGGAGAGGAGGAGGAGGAGCTGGAGGAGGAGGAGCTGGAGGAGGAAGAGCAGAAGCTGGAGGAGGAGGAGGAGGAGGAGGAGGAGGAAGAGCTGAAGGAGGAGGAGGAGCTGGAGGAGGAGGAGCTGGAGGAGGAAGAGTAGGAGCTGGAGGAGGAGGAGGAGGAGGAAGAGTTGAAGGAGGAGGAGGGGAGGAGGAGGAGCTGGAGGAGGGGGAGCTGGAGGAGGAAGAGCAGAAGCTGGAGGAGGAGGAGGAGGAGGAAGAGCTGAAGGAGGAGGAGGAGAGGAGGAGGAGGAGCTGGAGGAGGGGGAGCTGGAGGAGGAAGAGCAGAAGTTGGAGGAGGAGGAGGAGGAGCTGGAGGAGGAGGAGCTGGAGGAGGAAGAGCAGGAGCTGGAGGAGGAGCTGGAGGAGAAGGAGGAGGAGCTGAAGGAGGAGGAGGAGAGGAGGAGGAGGAGCTGGAGGAGGAAGAGCAGGAGCTGGAGGAGGAGGAGGAGGAGGAGGAAGAGCTGAAGGAGGAGGAGGAGAGGAGGAGGAGCTGGAGGAGGGGGAGCTGGAGGAGGAGAGGAGGAGGAGGAGCTGGAGGAGGAGGAGGAGAGGAGGAGGAGCTGGAGGAGGGGGAGCTGGAGGAGGAGAGGAGGAGGAGGAGCTGGAGGAGGGGGAGCTGGAGGAGGAAGAGCATTAGTTGGAGGAGGAGGTGGAGGAGGAGGAGGAGGAGGAGGAGGAGGAGGAGTGGGAGCTGGCATCATGGCCTGGGTCTGGAGAGGGGAAGCTGCCTTCCTGCCAGGAGGACCCTGTACTCGCAGACGCGCCACAGCTAAGTGCTTTCTCCGCTGCCAGCCAGGCCAGGGCACAGAAGTGCATCAGGAGGGCACTTCATCCCCAGCTTGGCAATGAGCTTGTAGAAGGCACCAAAATTCTAAGGAGGAAAGTCCTAGACGCCCATGGATGTGCACGGACACACACACGTGCAGCACGCCCACACACATATACACGTGCACATGTGCATCACAGGTGCACAGGCCTGCTGACATCCAGGTGGTCTCTGGTGCAGGACTGTGGGGATCAAGCCCACTGCGGGCCTGTCCCCTGTCTAGCCCCGAGGCCCCAGCCTCTTGTGTGAGGTGTGGCTGCCCCCGTGTGGTTCCAGACAGAATTGCAGGTCACTGAATTGGTCCCTTGGGCACCTGTGGGTCGCTGCTCTTCCAACCACCAGGTGGACCCTGCGCCTTAGCCAGACTAGTCAAAGACTGCCCACTTGGGTCCCAGGGGACAGTAACCCAGTCCCCACTACCCCAGGGCCACAGCTCCTGGGCTCTGCCAAAGGGCTGTCGTAGCCACAGGCTCACTCATTCACCCCAGGCCAGGTCAGGACGGGCCCTTGGGTGGAGAGACACCAGTAAAGTTCTGAGCGACGAAAGGGTTCCTTTTTTCTTTTCCTTTCTTCTTTTTGGTTTTTGGGCCATACCTATCAGTGCAGTCTTTTTCTGGCTCTGTGCTTAGGGATCACTCTTGGGGGGCTTGGGGGACATATGGGGTGCCAGGGATCAAACCCAGGTCTGCCATGTGCAAGGCAAGTGCCACAGTATGATCTCTCTGACCCCAGGAAAGGGTTTTCAGGCCCAGCTCTCGATGGCCCCTGCAGATGGCCTGGCCACTGCAGTTGGACAGGTGGCCCCATCTTTATTCTGCTGGATTCGCAGGAGGTATGTTCAATGCAGGGCTCATTTCTCCTAATTTCTTCAAAATTTGTTGAATGGTCATGTGCAAGTGCTTCTTTTCCAATGGGCTCTCTTTGGCAGGGGCGTTCTAATTAGGTTCTGGATCTCTAACAAACCTCTGTGGCCTGGTGACAAATTGCCCTTCCTAGTAATATGGGCCCACCCACTGTCTGCCTCACTCCAAGGCCCCATCCGAAGCATGCACTTGGTCTAGGAAAAGGAAGGGTTGAAGGGATAGTACAGTGGGCAGGACATCTCCCTTCATGCAGCTAACCTACTTCAATCTCCAGCATCCCTGTAGTCCCCTGAGCCCTGACAGAATGATACCTGAGTGCAGAGCCTGGCATAAACCCTAAGCACAGCTGGGTAAAGCTGAGGAGGAGGAGGAGGAGGAGGAGAAGGAGGTGTGGGGGGAAGGGAGAGGGGAGGAAAAAGAAAAAGGAAAGGAGGAGGAGGAGGAAGAGGAGGAGGAAAGGAGGAAGGAGGAGGAGGAGAATCCAAAGCACACAGAAGTGCCTCACTTGGGAAAGGACCCAGGATATCTGCGGGCATGAGCACCCAGCCTGAGCCCCACTGCCCCCCACAGACCTGAGCAAACAGCATTAGCCTGGCCTATCAGTTTAATGGGGACAGGGCTGAACAAGAGACCCCCCCCCCGCCCCACTGTCCAGACACCCGGCTGCAGACCCTCTGCTGCTCCCTGAGCTGGGGGAGCCTGGAGCAGGAAGGAGGCAGGAGATGTCGGCACTGCCAAGGGAACAGAGGAGGAGGTGGGCGAGAAGCGGCGGCGGCCCTGCTCCGCGTTTAGGTGCATCTACAGGAACTGGTGGATCCAGGACACGTAGCTGGCCACTTTGGTGTACACTCCGGGTACAGAGAGCTGGCCGCAGATGTTGCCCCAGCTCACAATCCCCACCTGCACCCAGTTGCCAGTCAGATAGCACACCAGGGGGCCCCCAGAGTCGCCCTGTGGGGAGGCCGCAGTCAGGACCTCCTGCCGCTGGGCCCTGCCACGGGGTTTCTGAGTCAGGAGAGCTGGTCCAGGTCAGGAGACAATGACCAGGCCTTGTGGCTGGCCCCGCAGAAGACGGGCAAGTCCAGGACCCAAGTGGACAGGGTGGCTGGAGAATGAGGCAGGAGTGGGGGGGGAGTGGGCGGGACCTGTGAGTGACCGGGCTCTGGGGAAACCGGGCAGGTCTTTGAATAATGGGCGGGGTCTGAGGTGGGCGGGACCTTGGGGATGGGTGGGGCCTTGAGGAAATGGCAGGATGTAACGTGGGTGGGGCCTTGATGGGCGGGGCCTTGGGGAAATGGGTGGGGCCGGGATAATGAGCGGGGTCTGGTGGGCGGGGCCGGTAATGGGCGGGGTCACGGTGGGTGGGCGGGGCCGGGCACTGGGCGGGGCGGTTTACCTGACAGGCGTCTTGGTCCTTGTTCCCAGCACACACCATGTCCTTCTTGATGAGGGTCTCGGTGACGTTTGGAAACAAGTCCTGGTAGTGCCACTCACAGACCACTTTGTCCACCACTGGGACAGCTGCCTCCTGCAGACGGTAGGGGTGATCCAAGGGTCCTGCAGAGAGGGGCAGGCTGAGAACCAAGGGCTCAGTGTCATCTTTCCACCACGAGGTGCCCCCCAGAAGGAGCCCAGCTCAGCAGGCACCGGGCTCTGGTGCCCTATCGGAGCTGGGCTAGGCGGGACATTCCCCAGGAGCAGCCCTCGGCTGAGGATTAAACTGATCCACAGACAGGACCCTTTGCCTGCAGCCAAGGAGGCAGTTCTGGGGAAGCCCCAGGCCCCGCCACGGGCCCGGTCCTCACCGTCTTTGGTGAAGCCCCATCCGGTTACCCAGCACAGAGTGCGTGGCTTGACTCTGAGGCCGGCGTTCGGGAGGGACACGACATTGATGGACGCGGACAGCCTGAGCGGCACCTGCAGCTTCATCAGTGCAATGTCCGCCCCTGCCTCCGCCGACCAGCTCCTGGTGAACTTGGGGTGAGGGACGACCAGCTTCACCTTCACCAGATGGTCATGGTGGTAGAGCCGCAGCTGCCCGGCCTGGATCCTGTAGGCTTCCCCCCTGGGGAGCCATCCAGGAAGTCAGCTGCGCTCCACAGGAGGGGGGATTGCCAATGCCCGTGTCTGGGCCCAGGGACACTCACGGGGAGGTGCAGTGGGCTGCGGTCAGCACCCATTGGGGGTGGATCAGGGATCCCCCACATTTGTGTTGCCACAGCTGAAGTTTTGGATCAAATGTCCGTATGCTGATCTGCCACGGCCACTGACCAGTGGCTGCGTCATACCCCCCCGAGATTCTGTCCATCTTCCCCTCCATGCTGGCCCCTGGGAAGCAAAAAGATGGGGGTCAGGGAGCTGCGATGCAGCTGTCCAAACCCCAGGTCTGGCCGGCCCCTGGCCCACTTACCCAGGAACGACGTGGCGCTGGGACACAGCCGGGGGAGGCCCAGGAGCACCAGCCACAGCATCTGGGGGGGCACACACTGAGCCGCATCACCCTCGCGGGAGGACTGGGGGCCCAGGGCCAGGCCGCAGCCGAGGCCACCCAGGTTTCCCGAGGACCAGTCACCGAGCCATCATGTGGGCAGTAGCTGGCCCGTGTGAGGTCAGGGCCCGGGGCACTGGCCACAAGGCTCCCTGGCACCACAAGGCCACGGGGTCTGTGAGGGGCATGCCCACCACACACACACACACACACACACACACACACACGGAGCAGCTGTCAGTGCCCACGGGGCACAGTTCCCGTGTTCGCCCTCACAGTAGCCCAGCACACTGCATCCACCCTCAGACCCTCTGCTGACCAGCTAGTGTCTACCCCTTTGGCCACAAGCTGTGGTCAACACATACTGTGCCATGTGGGCCTTGGGCCGACTGCCAGGAGTCTGGGGACAGGACAATGAGGAGAAACCCTGCCACGGGGAGACCCTGGGTGTCCCTCAGCCCCTCCCTGTGGCAGAGACAAGAACATGACTGTCCCCACTGCACTGGCCTGCATGTCCCCGCTAGCCCATCCACCCAAGCTGCCTGTGTGCTAGGAGAAGGCCAGGGGTGACAGGGAGGAGAGCGCAGCCCTGGTGACAGCAGGCCCCTCCGTCCCCCCCCTCCCACCTCGGGCAGTCCTCCAGGCTGGCACCTGCATGGCCTGGGGCTCAGGGAGCTGCTTCCCTGGGACTCGGAGTGAGGCCTCGAGCTCCGCCCTCCAGCCTGTCACAATGGACACCATTGTGACACAGGTCCCCGCTCATCACTCATACCTGGAACCAGCCTAGGGAGCTGGACCCTGGCCCAGCTGTGCGGGGTCAAGCCTCTGTAGATGCCGCAGGCCCTGTCCATTCCCACCAGCACGGCTCTTCCAGGACCAGGATTCTCCAGAGGCATTCTGTCTGGGCTCAGTGCCAGCCTCCACTGTCGGGGGGTGGGGGACGCTGGGGCCTCGGCCATGGCCCAAGGCTCAGTGGGGCTCTCCTGGGCATCCCTGTGAAGAGTTCGCTGGATGCCATGGTTGGCAGAACACATGGCCTCCAGCTCATTCTCAAGGCTCTGCGGCCACCATGTGACTCACTCCTGCTAGGGCTCAGCCCTCGGTGTCCTGCGTCCGCCCCTGCGAGGCCTAGGAGACGCCATCAGACTGGCCCGGGCACTCCCCAGTGCCTCCTGTGTGTCTAGTTCCCTGGCTCTTCAGGGAAGCACTGGGAGAGCACCGGAGGGCATAGACCCAGAGGGGGCAAACCTGAAGTGCTCCAGGGCAAACCTAGACCATTCCAGCCTGGCCCCCAGGTTCCCAGGGTGCTATGCTTTCCCAGGGAGGGCTTGGAGCTAAAAGGCTTCACCAGCCCTCCAGCCAGGAGCCTCCACACACCTTCTCTCTGACTGCTGAATGGGCGGTGGGGGAGGTAGGTTGGGGGCAGGGCCTCAGAGAGGGGTGGGTTTGAGGCCCACAGTGGTGATGCAGTTTTCAAGGGGACTCAGCAAGGGCAGGGCCTGGCCAGAACCAAGGCGGGAGGCCATGACCCAGGAGACCCAGGAGATGTAGACCCTGGAGGGGGAGGCCCTCTAGCCCGACCCTGCCCTTACCGGGTACAGGTGCTGTTCCCCAACCTACCGCTGAGGGGGGTCTCCAGCATCTGGCGCAGAGAAGGGTTCTGAGTGCTCAGCACCCGGGTGCAGGAGGGTCTCACCATCTAGGCCAGGACTGTGACACAAAGGGCTCCTGGAGCTCCCGGGGTACGAGCCATAACCGTACCTGGGTGTGGGCACCATTCCGGGGCGTGGGTATCATGCTGGGGTGTGGGCACCATTCTGGGGCATGAGCACCATGCTGGGGCCTGGGCACCATTCTGGGGTGTGGGCACCGTGACGGGGTTTGGGGCACTGTACTGTGGCATGGGCACACGATGGGGTGCGGGCACTGTGCTGGGGTGCGGGCACCATACCATACTGGGGCACAGGGACCATGCTGGAGCATAGCTACCATATCAGAACCCTGGCACCATTCTGGGGTGCGGGCACTGTGCAGGAGTGCTGGCACTGTGTTGGGGTGTGGGCACCAGCATTGTGGGCACATGCCTGTGAGCTGGCTGGCACCCTGTCTGGGTCACATGAACACCAACTCCAGCTTCTGTCCAGGTTCACTCCAAGGGGACAGAGCCAGCGCTTCGCCTCAGAGTCTACTGGAACAACCCTCCAAGCGGCCACTACACGAGCAGTCCTGGGAACAGGCTGACTCCCCCTAGACTGGGGGCTTGAGCCACTAAGACTCCTGGTGGGAGTGGAGGTGGAGAAGGACCCATCAGAGGCCAAGGGGGTCCAGCCTCTGAGCCCCACTTCCCCCTGCAGGAGCTTGTAATACCCCTGGAGCTGCCCACACACCCTCCTTCCCTTCCCACGCTGACTTCCGGCTTCCTGGTGGGGCTGAGGGGACCCTATGTGGTGAGAAACCGCAGTTGGCCACATGCAAAGCAAGTACCTTGTTCTCTGCACCTTCTCCCCAGCACCCCCGAGTGTAAGGCAAACGTGAGGAGGAGGCTGAGTCGGAGAGCAGCTGTGAGAAATGCTGCTTCCTCCACGGGAGAGAAGGCAGAGCCCTACCGGCCCCTCGTCATGCCAAGTCCAGACCTGGTGTGGGATTCCCAGTGCCACAGCCTGAGGGACACTGGCAGGAAGGGGCAGACCAGAGCAAACCACAGATGTCCCACGCTGCCCTCAGATGTCAGAGCACGCTCCTGGCCAGCAGCCACCAGAGGCGCTATCCCAGAGGACACATGGTGTTCATGGGAACCGAGCAGAGTCGCATCTCCCATTTGCTCTGTAGCTGACCTAGGACGCCCGGGAGGTGGTGGTACAAGGCAGAGCAAGGTAGAAGGGGGTTAGAGCAATAATACAGTGGGGCGGGCATTTTCCTTGCATGCTGGACCAGGGATCGATCCTCAGTGTCCGGTATGGTCCCCCGGGCAATGCCAGGAGTCAGCACCCTGAGCACTGGTAGGTGTGGCCCAAACTAAGAAAGTGTGAGTAGGGGGGTCCACAGATGTGAAGCCCAAAATTATTGGTTGTGCTGGAGCAATAGGACGGCAGGTAAAGCACCTGGTTTGCTTGTGGCTGAGCGGGGACCAATTCCTGGTACCTCCTGAGCCCTCCAGGAGTGGCTTCTGAGCACAGAGCCAGGAGTCGGCCCTGAGCACCGCAGGGGGTGGCCCAAACCAACACCACCTACACCAGGAAGCCACTGGTAGAGCGGGCTACCAGCCAGTGGTAGAAGGGCTCATCGCGACCTCGCATGGCCCCCTGAGCACCACCGTGACCTCCAGGCGCCAAGCCGAGAGCACCCTCCGAGCGAGAAATAGCTGCGGGGCACAACTGCACGTAGCCAAGGGAAAGCCCCCGTGGAGAGCCGGGCACCTGCCCCATGCCCGGCCCGCGGCCAGGCCCCGCTGGGTGGCCGGCCGCGCCCCCGTGTGGCCACCGAGGGCCAGGGCCGGACACTGCAGACTGCAGCCACGCTTCCGGCCCTCGGACAAAAACGGGCTCCCCGTGGGCCTCGAGGGACCTCCCGGGCCCCTCCGGCGGAAACAGTGGGTGCCCTGCCGAGGCCTGCCCCTCCCAGGGAGCAGTGCGGGGGTGGGGGCAGGTGCTGGGACTGTCCAGCAGCGCCCACTCGGGCCCCTCGACTGCAGGCTGCGGCCGTGCTCACGGTGCTCCCCGGGCATCCGCAGGGCGCTGGGGGGCGGGGGAGGGGACCCCAGGGGCTGCACCGCGAACACGGAGGGGAAGGACCGGGGCGGCCGGGGCCGCGGGCGGGGCAGCGGGGCGCGGCCCAAGCCAGGTGCGGCCGGTCGCGCGCCGGGAGGTCCGCGGGCCCCACCCGCACCCGCCCCTCCCCCTCCGCCGGCCGCGGCCCAGGGAGCGTCGGCGCTTCTCCACCCGTCGGTCGTGCGGGCCTCGGCGCTTTGTACGGGAGTAGCTCATTGGGCGGCCGCGGCGGTCGCCCCGCCCAGCGGCGCGGCTGGGCCAATAGCACGAGGTTTCACAGGGCTCCGCACTCCGGGGAGCGTTAGCGTCCTGCGACGTTCCGGAGAGCCTTAGGCCTCGCCGCTCGCTGGCCCCCGGGCCCGGGGCCTCAGCCCAAGAAGACCTTAGGGACCCGTCGCCGGAGCCGCGCCCTCGGGGCATCCGCGGAACCCTCGCAGATTCCGGTGTCGGCTTTTCCCCGGGGCCCAGCGGCGCCTTCGCGGGCCGGCGCGCTCCTCGAGGAGGAGAGTTTGCAGACGCTCCCTGACGGCGGGGACGCGGCTCCTTTAAGGACCCAGGTGTCCAGCGCGCCGCCTGCCCGGAGCGCGTCCGCCGCGCCGGGCGCCCGGGCGGGCGACGGGGCGCGGGCGCGCGGCGGCGGGGCACGGGGCGCGGGCGGCGCGCGGCGGCGCGGGCGGGCCTGGCGGCGCGGCGGCGGCGGCGACGCGCGGGGCAGGCGCGCGGCGGGCGGCCCCGGGCAGGCCCCGCCCGCGGGGTCCTCGGCCTCGGGCTGCGCGCGGAGCGGGCTCGGGAGGGAAGTCCCGAGACAAAGGAGCGCCGCCGCCGCCGCCGCCGCCGCGCCTCGCCGCTCGCTCCGGGCCGCGGCCGCGCAGGTGAGGCGGCCCGCCCGCGCCCGCCCGCCCGCGCCCCGCGCTCCGCTCCCCGGCCCCCGGGCGCGCCGGCGCCGGACGCGGGCGGCGGCGGAGGCCGCGGCGCCCACCTGTTGCCGCCGCGCCAGGTGCGCGGGCCGCCCCCCGCGCCCCCGCCCGTAGCGAGGCTCGCGGAAGAGCCCGGCCGGGGCGTCCCCAGAGGGTCCCGGGCGGCGCCGAGGCCCGGCGTGGGGGCCTCGGGCTAGGGCTGCGCCCCGCGCCAAGGTCCTCCCGCGGACTCTGGCCTGTTCCCCGCGGGTCAGCACCGCGCTTCTGCAGCGCGTCCCGCCGGTTTGACAGTTTGCGGGGACTCCCCGCAGCCCCCGCGGGACGGGGCGCGGGCCGCACTGGGGCGGGGTGCGCTGCCGCACGGCCGCCCCTGCCCCGGGGCCCGGACCCGTCCTGGGCGCCCCGCGGCCCGCGGGCAGCACCCGCACCGGCGTGCCCCGGCGGGCTCGTGCCTGGCCGTGGCTGCCCGCGCCGCCCTCCAGGCCCTGGGCTGCCCCCGACTGACTGCCCGGCCTTTGCAGGAAACGACGCCTCCACGATGTCGGGGATCGCGCTCAGCCGACTCGCCCAGGAGAGGAAGGCCTGGAGAAAGGACCACCCCTTTGTAAGGAGAGCCCCTGTCCCCGGCCCGGGGCGGGAGGGCGACGCGCGAGCCTGACGCGCTTGCTCTTCCAGGGCTTCGTGGCTGTCCCCACCAAGAACCCCGACGGCACCATGAACCTCATGAACTGGGAGTGCGCCATTCCGGGCAAGAAAGGGGTAAGCGGGTCGTTCGCCGGGGAACTGGGCGGGTGGGGGGTCCTGCGGGAGGGAGGGGGCCTCACGGAGACCCGTTTCCCCGAGCAGACTCCGTGGGAAGGCGGCTTGTTCAAGCTTCGGATGCTCTTCAAAGATGATTACCCGTCCTCCCCACCCAAGTGTGAGTACACGGCCACCTGCCCCCACGTGTGGGTGCACCAGCTGGGGCCACAGCTCCCTGAGGCTCCTCTGCCCCACCTGCCTTCTGGAATCCAGCCGGGGTTAAGTGGTTCTGGTTCCCCAGTAGGGGGTCGCAGCACCCCAGTCTCTGTGCGGCTTGCAGGGCGCCCTCTCAGGTCTGGTGCTGGGAGAGACGGACACATGCCTCTTACCTGGCAGCCTCCTCCTGGGGCCCTGCTGTGCGCTTCCTGCAAGGGCTGGCGCTCCCTGCTCCCTTCTGAAGCCTTGCGCGGGATACCTGTGCCGCTGTTGTAGTGGAGTGACTGGCTGGCAGGCGGGTTTGCCCTGGGGAGGGAGCAGGCACAGGCTGGCTGGGCTGTTTACGCAATCAACTCATGTGCTTTTGAGTAGTGGCACCAGCCCCGCGACACTATGCTGGACGTGAGTGTTCTGGGCTGGAGGAGGTCAGCTGTCCAGGCTGGTGCACCAGGCAGGGCCGTGCAGTCCCAGCTCTGTCGTGCACACGTGAGGGGGTTGTGGGCAGGCCAGGCAAATGGGGGGGGGGCACAGTCAAGGGAAGGGTCGCGCCCCCAGCTTCCCCCACATGGGGTGGGTTGGCAGATCTGTGCACTTGTAATGCTCGTACCAGCAAGCGCGTGCGGGGTCGGGAGCCACCTGTGGGTCCCCGTGCATTTCTGGGGCCTTGGGGACTCTCCTTCACTTGCCGCCATCCCTGCCTGCAAGGTGGTGGGAACTGGGGTCTGCTGGGCCGTCGTCGTCCCGTGTCCGTCATGTGTCCCCCTTCCCCCCGTACTTAGTCTGTGTGAAGGGAGATCCGGGCTTCTGGCCAGCTGTTTCTGCTGTGCCCACTCCTGGGTCTGCCCAGGCGTCCTTGGGGTAGGAGTCCTCGGGGTCCTGACCCTCCCTTTGGAGACGGTGTTCTTAGGGCCCTGCTTCTCGCTGGGGCTGCCGCCCACCCACCACTCTCCCGCAGGTAAATTTGAGCCGCCGCTCTTCCACCCGAATGTGTACCCCTCGGGCACAGTCTGCCTGTCCATCCTGGAGGAGGACAAGGACTGGAGGCCGGCCATCACGATCAAGCAGGTACGCCCTGTCCCCTTGGCCCTGCCCGCGGCACGAACTCCCGCCCCACTGGCCTCTTCCCTTGTCTGCCCAGATCTTGTTAGGGATTCAGGAGCTGCTGAATGAACCAAATATCCAAGACCCCGCTCAAGCAGAGGCCTACACGATCTACTGGTCAGTAGCAGTGCCGGGGCCGGGCGGGCTTTGAGGGGCAAGCTTAGTCTCCCAGGTGTGTCCAGTTCTACCCAGGTCTGCTGAAGAGGTGGCCTGTCCCGAGCAGAGGCCCCTCTGGTTCTGCCGCTAAGTGGGGGGAGGGTGGCCAGACCGGTGTGGGAAGGGGACATTTGTTCTGATGCCCTGTCCTTTCCAGGGCAGTGACTGTCACTGCAGGGTGCAGGGGCCTTCCTGAGCTCAGCAGTGGCCAGCCTGGGTGCTGGGGGGACACGAAGGCCACAGATTGCCCCTCCCCATTCCTGGTATCTAACAGAACCCTGGTGATGGGGTCCCATCCCCAGGCTTTGGGTCCCAGTGACCCTCTGCCCTAGGCTGTGCCTCCGGCTGGCGTGGCCCACTGACCTGTGTCTCCGCCCTCAGCCAGAACAGAGTGGAGTATGAGAAACGAGTCCGAGCACAAGCCAAGAAGTTCGCGCCCTCCTAGGTGGCCTCACAGCAGCAAGGAAGGGATTGGTTTGGCAGGAACTGGTTTACGACACTTTGCAAGCCCACGTCGCTCTGTACAATTCCTGGGGGGCGCCACCCCATCCGCCACGCGCCCTCTGACGCGCCGAACCCCGGTTCTTCACACAGGGTCTCTTCCTTCCGTCTTTTGTAGTTTGATTGTTCTGTAAAACTCGCTTTTATTTTAATATTGATGTCAGTATTTCCACTGCTGTAAGGTTTCCTACGGGGTGAGCGCAGACACAGGCATGCTCCCCAGCAGGCCCGCGCGGCTCCGGGCTCCAAGACGCCCGCCCCCGCTCTTCTCCGCACACCCCGGTTTGTGTTGCTTTGAGCCTCAGATCCAGTCGCCAGCGTCTCCCTTCCGCATCACTTCCTGTGTTTATATGGCGTTTTGTCTGTGTTGCTGTTTAGAGTAAATAAACTGTTTATATAAAGATTTTTGTTGCATTCTTGTGTACAAGTGAGGAGGCTATGTGGCATGGTGGTCTCCCTGCTGCCTGCGGCCGCCCCTGTGCATAAAGTCGGCGCCTGCCGGGAGCAGGCAGCCCCAGGGAGGACGAGGGTCACCATCGGAGAGCTTGGCCTGCCGGCGGACGGACAGACAGACTGCGCCCGAGGAGATCCTGCAGGACACGTGCAGCCCAGCCTCTCCCCGGGCCCCCTCCATCACAAGTGGATGGGGTCTCTGGGGAGTCGAAGGAGCCTGAGGGCGGAGGCCCACCGCATCACTGACTGCACACCGGCCTTGGCTCTGCTTAGCACAGATGGACGCGGAACGGCCGAGCCCGAGGACTGGCCCCTGGAACTGGCTGCATGGACCATGGGGAGCTGGCAATTCCTCAAGCCTGAAAGCCAGGGACTGTCTTCACCCGCTGGCGAGGGGCACCTGGCCCGACCCTGACTGGTGTCACCCCAGGGTGGTGGGGGCAGATGACGCTGGGGGTACCCACAGGCCAGTGCCTTGTTTGCTGCTCAGCTGGACAGTGAAGTTACACAGCTGCGGCACATGCGGGTACCGCAAAGCCAATCTACTTTCTACTTAAGGCTCTGAGGTGATTGGTATTTTAGCAACTTGTGACTTCCGCGAATGAAATGTCCTTTTGTACCAGTGGTTGGCCTCACAAAGATGTGACTTGTAACCTGAGAATTCTGAGATGCGTTTGCTGTTATGTGGGGTGGTCTGCTCCGGGCACATGGGCGGGCAGGGGCTGTGGCGCCACATGCACCCCGCACCTAGGAACCCCCAATTAAAGCACTTCCACAAACTGCCCTTGCGTCTGTGTCCTTTTCTGGCCTGACCTGCCTTGGGGCAGGGTAGGGGTGCGGCACTCTTATCCTCAGGACTCTGCTGTGCCCAGGGCTCTATCACTTTCCCAGAGGCCCTGACCCAGGAAGGGCTGGGGTACCAGACGCATCCTCCAGGTGGCACCGGACCCGAGGGCATCCGTATTGACTTCCCTGCCTGACAGTGACCATTCATGCCCATCCAGGGCTCCTTTCGAAGAGGGGCCTGCCAGAAGGCACCTAGATGGCCCTCCAGGCCAGAAAGTGGACCCTGCCTCATGGGAGCCTGAGGCTGGTGAACCCACAACAGCGCGCCCATTCGGCATGGACTCTGCCAGTGGCAGCAAGTTCCCACCTTCTGGCCCTGTCCTCAAGCCCCCTGGTCACGAGCCTGGGGTGGTCCGACTGCGAGGAAGCGCTGCCTGCAATTTCGAGGGCTGCCGCCAGAGGGCAACAGCGCCGCCGGCTCGTGAATACCGGGTGCTCGGGAGGGGCAGAGTACGCCCCCAGCTCTTCAGCACGTGCAAGGGCCTGGCGGCTCTCGCGCCCGGCCCAGAAGCCCCTCCCAGCCTGCCAGACCCTCGCCGGCCCGGCCCCCCGCAGCTGCTTGGCACCCCAATCCTCACGACAACGCCCCACTGCCCCTTCCGCTCCCCCTCAGAATCGTGGGATCCCCGGGGCGAGCACCGTGTGCTGGGCTCCCGCTGCGACTAGAAGCGGCCAGGGGAAGGGCGAGCTGGGCGCCCAGCGGCCTGAGGGTGCGGCTACCCCCTCCTCACTGCGCCCAGTGACTGCGGGTGGGCACAGACCGACCGGTTTCCCTAGGCAGGGCGGGGTGGGGGTCCAAACCCTGCTCCCCCAGGCAGGGGCAGTGTGGGCAAGGGCCCCTCCTGACTTCCTGTTTACAGCGGCTCCAGCCTGGGGCTGCTCACCCCAAGCCTCCACGGTCGCCATGGCAACCGGCCCGGTTTGCGCTACAGGTTGGCAGCGAGGCTGCGGCCAGAGGGAAGGGGGTAGGCGAGATACCCCGCGGCGGGCCACGGCCAGACTCACCTAGGCACGCACCGAGGAGCATTTTCCTGAACCCCCGCTCTGCTGAGGTCCCCCTCCTCAGAGACCCCTCCCCCTGCTGTCTCTCCGCCCCTCCGCCCCCCTCCTCCCCGCAGGGCGGGTGCATCTCTTCCTGCACAAACACCTGGGTGGACGCGGCGTTGTGAGAGCACAGGTGCGCCCGACTGGGACAGCGCGCCTAGGGCAGCGCCAGGCACAGTGGTCAGCCGCATCCTAGACACCTCTGCTGGGCAGGGGCTCCTGCCGCGGGCTCCCCTCCAGACAGCTGGACCTGGCCTGACCCCTTTCCCCTCTCTTCGGAGACCCTCTTGGCGATAGGGTCCTTTGGGGGAACCTCCAGAGTTTGGAGAGTCCAGCAGGATCTGGGCAGGTGCAGACCCTGAGGAGTGAGCACAGAGAGGGCCAGTACTGGCCGCTCTGACACCCGACTCCTAATTTGTAAGCAGCACGCGGGCGGGGGGGGGGGGGGGGCACGGCCCAGCGCACCTGCCTCGCAGACTTGGTGTTTTGGCCTCCAACGAGTCAGTGGCCATGTCCCCTGCCCCAGAAAAGGACGGGGTGTTTCAGGACTGCACCTAAAGTCCGACCACCCAGCCGAGGGGCGTTTCCCCTCCGCACCCAGGGAGGCCCCCGACTGCGGCTGGGGGTGGGGGGGCTGCGGGCGGGGCGGGCGCGGACAGGCCCCGCCCCCGGCCCGCCCCTCCCGAGCCTCAGACGTCTGCGCGCCCGGCTGGAGCGGCCGCGGACCTCAGCGCCCCTGAGCCCGCGCGCCCCGCGTACCCCGCGCACCCGACCCCCGGTGAGTGCCGCCGTCGGGGCTCACCGGGTTCTGTCCCAGCTCTGAAGGGGGCTCCCGCCACCTGGGCCCCTGCTTCCTAGAGGCGGGATCCCAGAAATGGCCCACGGGCTTCCCGGGTGACCGACCCTGTCCTCGGACCCCGACGGTGGCCTGGCCGTCTCTGGGGACAGTCCCCAGCGCCGGGGCCGGGGGAGGCAGGGAAAGGACTCCCGGAGGCCGTGTCCAGGCAGCGCGCAGCGGCCCGCCACTGCCCGTGGGGATCCCACCAAGGAGCAGGGGGGCAAGTGCCAGGTGACCTCCCGCTCAATGGCGTGGGGGACAGCGTGGGGGCAACAGAATCCGGGACGCACGGTCGGGCCGTGGGGGCGCGGCTGGGTAAGGGGGGCCCGGCGGGACCGACAGCAGCTGACCTCTACGCCCCCTGGAGCAGGTGGGTCCGGCAGCCTGAGGACACCTGGACCAGCGCTGCTCTTTCCTCCGGAGCGGGACCTGAGGGTGCGCCCTGAAGGGGTGGGCGCGCTCAGAAAGGTTCTGCCGGCTCGCTGGGGGCCTGAGCGCTCACCAGCCGGTGGGCGCTCCACTGGGGTGGGCCCAGTACTGGGGGGCTCCTAGGCCCTGTGTGCGGGCGCGAGGCATCCCGAGGCCTCAGGAAATTGGCAGGATTTGAAGGAGGGCCGCCCCGTCCCTGCAGCTCCGGCCACTTGGCTCCTGCGTCACATTTGTCCCTGGGACCGCAAGCCCCCAGCCCCCGCCACTCGCAGATTCAGCTGGCGGTTGCCCTGGCAACAGCTCAAGCAGCGCCTGCTCCCCTGGCTGTGGGGGGCTTCGGAGAGGCTGGAGGGAGAAAGGGCCGGTGATGCCCTCTCCCAGGGTCCTGGATCTCAGTGTGGACTCATGCTCTCAGGTGGGGTGGGACAGGTGCTGGGAGAAGGGCGCCCGGGTGGGGGCAGGCCCACCTCCGTGGAGCCCCTCCGAGATGCCAGCTAGGGGCACGCAGTCCCACGCCCCATCCGATCTCTGCAGGCCGTGGCGACTGGCATGACTGCCATGGCAACAGCGGGCACTGCAGGAGCCGCGGTCTGAGGGGCCGGCGATGCTGGGGGAGACGCAGCCCCTGCCCCCACAGGGGTGCCGCTCAGGCGTTGCTGAGGGCTGCCGTCCGCAGGCCACACCATGTCCGCCTTGCTGGAGGTGAAGAGCAGCGTGATGCGCCAAGTGCAGGGCCGCCCTGCCGCCCGCCGCCGGCCCGACCAGCCCGACGCCCAGGAGCCGGCCCCTGGGGCCCGGTGGGTGCTCCTGCCCTGCCCCCCCGCGCGCACCCGCCCCACCACCGGCCCCGCGGTTCACTGCTGGCTGGGCTGGGCACGAGCTCTGGGCAGCCGCTGACCCGAGTGGCCGCCGTAGGGGACCTGGGAGCAGCGCTGAAGCCTTGGACCTCTTCGCGCAGATGCGCCGGGTGCTGAGGAAGGGGGAAGGCCGGCGGGGACTGCCGCGCCCCGAGGTGAGGCTGGCGGCCCCTCCCACCCTCCCTCCAGCTCCTTCCCTCCCAGACACTTCCCATTCCCCCCCTCGCCCGGGGCAGCTGCAGGCCCCGCCCTCAGAGCCCCCCTCCCAGGTGGTCCTGCGCAGTGGCTCGCCCCCGCCAGCGGAACCGGTAGACCCCGCCCGCGGCCTGAGAGCGCTGTCCCAGGAGGAGGTAAGCAGGAGGGGGAGGACCCCCAGAGCTGGGACAGCCAGATGGAGTGGGAGATAGGGACCAAGACCCTGGGGCAGACTGGGCAGGCACAGGCGGGGGGGCGGGGGCTGGCGTCAGGGTGCGCCCCCACCCCGCAGGTGGAGATGCTGTACGAAGAAGCCTTGTACACAGTCCTTTACCGCGCTGGGACCATGGGGCCTGACCAAGTGGATAACCAGGAGGTCCTTTTGGAGTACCTGCGGCAGGTGAGCCCCGGCTCTGCGGGGCACTGGGGCCACTGGCCAGCCAGCCAGCTGGGGGTCACCTGGGCCCTTCCATCTGCCTGTCCTCCCAGGTGTTTGACACCAGCCCCGAGGAACACTGCAAAGCCTTGGGGCACGTGCAGAAGGCCAAGGTGAGAGCGCAGGGTGCCTTGTGAGCGCAGCTATGCAGGGGGCGGGGCCTGGGATGGGCGGGGCGATTGGGGCGAGGTCTGTGGCGTGGGCGTGGCTGTTTGGGGCGGGGCTCGGGTGGGGCCCTGGGGAGGGGCGGGGCACCGGGCAGGGGACAGGCAGATCTATCTCTGAGCCCTTTGGGCGTTTGTCCTGTCTGCAGCCCCCCACCTATGCCCTGAAAGTGTCTGTCGTGCAAGCCAAGAACCTGCTGGCTAAGGACCCCAATGGTGAGGGGATCACCCAACTCTTGGGGGATGGCGGGCATGTCTGTGGGGCAGAGCTGGGGAACTGAGGCTCCCATCTGCCCAGGCTTCAGTGACCCCTACTGCATGCTGGGCATTGTGCCGGCCTCGGGGGCTCCCCGGGAGCCGGGTCCTCACAGAGAGCAGCGCTTCAGCTTCCACAAGGGAAGCAAGAGGGGCAGCCCCCCGCCCACCAAGTGGGTGCAGGTCACCGAGGTCAAGAGCAGCACACTGAACCCAGTCTGGAAGGAGCACTTCCTCTTGTAAGGCCCGGGCCCCCCGATGCTGGGTGGGGGTGTACACCTCAGAGAGGGGCCTCAGGCCTCATGGGTCCTCTCTGCTCCCTCCTAGTGAGATCGAGGATGTTGGCGGGGACCAACTGCACCTGGACATCTGGTACAGCCCGTCGGGCGGGGGTGGGAGGCCTGTGGGCAGGGCAGCAGGCGGGGGTGGTGGGGCCTGGCTCCCGCAAGCCTCTTCTCCCTGCCATATCCAGGGACCATGATGACGATGTGTCCCTGGCGGAGGCCTGCAGGAAGCTGAATGAAGTCATCGGCTTCAAGGGTATGAGCAGGTACGCAGGTGGAGTGAGGCCAGACCAGGGATGGGGGCCCTGGGACGCACAGACAGGAGGTCGGTCCCGCTGTGCCCAGGTATTTCAAGCAGATTGTCAAGTCGGCTCGAGCAAACGGGACAGCAGGGCCCACCGAGGACCACACGGATGACTTCCTGGGGTGCCTTAACATCCCCATCCGGGTGAGTAGGACCAGGAAAGCCCGGGGCCTGTCCTGTGGGCCACGCAGGGTGTCCCCTGTGCAGGAGGGAGAGGGGAGAGGCTGGTCTGAACCTCGATCCCTTCCAGGAGGTGCCAGTGGCAGGCGAGGACCGCTGGTTCCGGCTGGAGCCGCGCTCCAGCGCCTCCCGTGTGCAGGGGGACTGCCAGCTGGTCCTGAAGCTGATCACCAGGCAGGTGCGCTCGCCCCCCTCACCCCACCCACCTGCTTGCACTGGCCCTGGCGCCCGCCCACCCCCAGCCCTGCTGCTTCAGCCATGACCCAGCGGGGTGGCTGACTGTCCTGCCCTGCAGAGGGACACCGCCATGAGCCAGCGTGGGCGCTCAGGCTTCCTGTCATACCAGCTGCTGCTTGGATGGCTGCTGCAGTTTGAGCTCAGAGCAGAGCAGGTAGGGGTGCCCTGAGCAGATCGCACCTTGGCGGGGGGCGGGGGGGGGGCCTGGGAAGGTCCACAGGGTGGGTGGAGGCGAGTCCGAGGAGCTGGGCATCCTCAGCCTCTGCCCACATTGCTTCTTACCCTAGGCCAGCCCCGGCAGCTGGCAGGGAACGCTAAGTGGAGCAGCGGCCACTGTCCTCTGCCTGCACGGGGCCCAGAACGATCTGTCTCCACTGCAGCTGGCTGTATTGTGAGTGGACAGGGCACTATGGGGACAGGGATAGCACTGTGGGGACACGCTGGCGTGGATGGGCAAGCCACTGGTCTCCATGCCTCGCCCCCTCCCCCCGCCACAGGCACTGGCAAGTTAGTAGCCGCCACCATCAGTCCTGCACCCTGGACTATGGCTACCTGCTGGGGCTGCTGGAGGACATGCAGACCCTATGGGAGGAGGTGGCCACATTGCCCCAGGACCAGGTGGGCACCCAAGGGGCAGACTAAGGGTTGAGTGCGGTTCGGATGCTGCAGGTGAGGTGCCTGAGCTGCACAGCTAGGGAGAACACGGGAGGGAAGGAGCAACAAAAGGATCCGTAAAAAGGTGCGGGCCCGGCTTGCTGGGGTGGTGCCCAGGCAGTGCCCCTGGGAAGGCTAGCCTGCCACCTTGGGGAGGAGAGTGACCAGCTAGCTCCAAGACCCTGCTGCCCCTCAGGTGGAGAGCCTGGCCGACAGCTTCTCGGCCTTTTCCGAGTTCGGGCTGCAGCTGCTGCGCGGGCTTCGAGTCTACTTTCCCGCGGCCAACAGCAGGGCAGTGGACCGCCTGGAGCTGCTGCTGAGGTGGGCGGGGCGGGGGGGGAGGGAGGACGTCCGGGGCGGGGCTGGGGGGCGGCCGCGCAGGTGAGCCGCGGCTCTCGCACAGGTGTCTCGGCAAGTTGCAGCTCTTCCGGCTTCCTCTGGAGAACTGCCCTTTCGCGAAGGAGCTGAGCGTGGACATCGCTGCCGCTCTCAAGGTGCGTCTGGGAGCCTGCTTCTGGCTCCCAGCCCCTCCAGACCCTTTGCTCTGGCCCCACGGGACCCCGCCCTCTCGTTGGCCCCGCCCCTCCCGCAAGCCCCTCCCCCACAGGCCCCGCCTCTCCACCCTCACCGTGGAACCCCGGCCCGGCAGGCCCCGCCTCTCCCCCGCGGGACCCCGCCCCTCCCGTCGGCCCCGCCCACCCTGGATCCTCTCCTCGCGTCCCTCCCGATTGCTTTCTGGATCTTTTCTCTTGCCCACCACGCTTCCTTTGCAGAGGGGCAATCGCGAGTGGTACGACAGACTCCTGGACGCCAAGAGTCCTCGCGAGCAGGTGGGGCACAGGGAGGGCACGAACCCAGCATGTGTGTGGGGCGACTGCTGGCCAGTGGTGTGACCCCATCTTCTTCGCAGCCAGGGCAACAGCGCCTTGCCGGGCTGGTGGAGCTGGCTGATTGCATCTATGAAGATCTGCAGTCCTGTTACAGCGCCTACGCCAGCATCTTCCACAGGTGGGAGTCTGGAGGGTCTGTGGCCCCTGCCCGCACCGAGCACGGGTCTGAGCCTTGTGTTTTTCAGCATCGTCAGGACAGATTTCTTCAGCATGACCTTCCAGCAGCTGGAGCAGTTGGTAAGGGTGGATATGGGTACAACCCATGGGGGAGAAGACTGGGACCCCTACGACCTGCAGAGGTGTGACCCTACCCTCCTGGACAGGTGGCGGAGGAGGCACGAGTGCTGACCGAGGAGCTGAGCCCCGGGATGACCCTGGAGGTGGCCTCAGGGCTCTTTGAGCTCTACCTGACCCTGGCCGACCTCCAGCACTTCTGGGACTGCATCCCGGACCGGTGCGTGCCCACCCCCACTCGCTCTCCAGTGTGGGTCAGAGGAAAGCTGCCTACTGGGTGCAAAGACACCAGTGCAGGCCAGGCTGAGCTCTGGCTGGCTTCCTGCTTGCAGGGATGCCCGTGCCCTGGCTCTCAAGGGCATCCACACCCAGTTTCTGCCCGCTACGAAGCTTTGGCTGCAGGCACTGAGGGACCAGGTCAAATGCAGGCTTCAGAGCGCCGTGGAGGGGGACACGGTGAGGGGGCACTGGGACTGGAGGGTGTTGGGCTCCTTGGGGGGACCCGCCCCAACCTCTTGCTCTCCCAGCTGGAGCCCACGGATGCCTTGTCCAAGCACAGCAGCTCTGCCACCACGGTCAGCCTATGCTTCAGCCACACCCAGGAGCTGTGGGTGCGCCTCGCATGGCCAGATCCAGCCCAGGCTCAAGAGCTGGGCACCCAGCTCAGCCAGGTGCATGGATCTCCAGCGGGGTGTGGTGGGAGGGAGTGCCTTGGAGCAAGCCCCTGAGTATTTCTGCCTGCAGGATCTGTGTGAGGCCACACTCTTCTACACAGAGCAGCTGCGTAGGAAGGCGGATGCGGAGCTGGGGACCGCTGGCGGGGCCCTGAGTGAGCAGGTGAGCTGTGCTGGGCCTGGGGCCTGGCCAGGGCCTGGCCGGGACTGACCCTGTGCTCTCACACTTCGGCAGCTCTGTGTGGTCCTCAACAACGTGGAGCACGTGCGCAAGACAGCGGGACAGGTGCTTCGAGGCCTGGCCTGGCCAGCTGGGCCCAGACCACTGCAGGGTGCTCTCCCGCGGCCCCTGCTGAGCTGTTCGCAGGCCCTGGATGAGGACCTGCAGCGGGAGGCGCACACGGTTACAGCACACTTGACCTCGAAGGTGGGCGGTGAGGGCAGGCAGGGCCAGCTGCCGTGACAGCCCCACAGCAGCCCAGAGGCGCCGCTGAGCCCTGTGCCCTGCACCCCCACAGATGGTGGGGGACATCAGGAAGTTTGTGCGGCACGTCGGCCTCTCCCCTGACTCGATTCAGAATGAAGAGGTGGGTGCAGATCCGCGGGGCCCTGGGTGGCAGGGAGGGGGTGTGAGCACGCATGTCAGTGTGCTCTCCCCTGAGGTGCACATGCTTGGGTGCTTGCATGCATGGGGGCATGTCTGTGTCCTGGCTTCACCTGTAGGCCGTGGCCCCACTCCTCAAGTACCTGGATGAGAAGCTGGTGCTGCTGAACGCCTCCCTGGTGAAGGAGAACCTGGGCAGGTAGGACGGGCAGGGGGTGGGCAGGCCCAGAGGCTAGTCCCGAGATGAGGGATGAGGCATGTGTCCCCCCAGGGTGCTGGAGGCCCTCTGGGAGCTTCTGCTCCAGGCCATCCTTCAGGCGCTGGCAGCCAACCGGGATGTCTCTGCGGATTTCTATGAGCGCTTCCACTTCACCCTGGAGGTAGGCAGGGCTGCGGCCCTTCTGGCGCCTGTAGCTTCCTGCCCGAGAGGGACCCACAGCGCCCTGATGCCCACTGCCCTTTCTTGCCTGGCTCCAGGCCCTTGTCAGCTTTTTCCACGCAGAGGGCCAGGGTCTGCCCCTGGAGAGCCTGAGGGACGGGAGCTACAAGGTGAGGCCCGGCTGCAGGGCATAAGGCACAGGGACGTGAGGCGCGGGGTGGAGGGGTTGCACTGGAGCCACATGCCCGTGCCCGCAGACCCTGGAGGAGGAGCTGCGTCTGCATCAGTGCTCCACACGCGAGTGCATTGAACAGTACTACCTGGACAAGCTCAAGCAGGTGGGTGGGAGCCTAAACCCCACCCTCGCACGCGGCCCTGCCCTCCCTCCTCCCCCCCCCAGGCCCCTGACTCCCCTCCCCTGCAGGCCCCACAGAGCCGCTTCGGGCGTCTGAGTGTCCGCTGCCACTATGAGGTGGCTGAGCAGCGGCTGGTGGTGGGGGTGCTGCACGCAGCTGACCTGCTGCCCCTGGACGCTAATGGTGAGCAGGGCAGGGCGGGGCGGGGCGCGGCGGGGCGCACAGTGGGCAGGGCAACTCACAGGGAACTTTCAGGTCTGAGCGACCCCTTCGTGATTGTGGAGCTGGGCCCCCCACACCTCTTCCCGCTGGTGCGCAGCCAGAGGACGCAAGTGAAGAGCCGCACGCTGCATCCCGTATTCGACGAGCTCTTCCACTTGTGAGTGGCCCCCACTGTGAGTGACCCCTGCTGTGTGAGACCCACCCCCCCATGCACCCCATGAGTGTCCAGGGACGCTGCCCCCCCACCCCCGCAAGCGCCCCCTGCTCCCGAGGGGGAGCAGCCCTCGGTGACGTGCCTGTGTTGCAGCTCGGTGCCCGCAGAAGCCTGCCGCCGCCGTGCTGCCTGCGTGCTCTTCACTGTCATGGACCATGACTGGCTCTCAGCCAATGACTTCGCCGGGGAGGCGGCCCTGGGCCTGGGTGGCATCAGCGGGGTGGCGAGGCCCCACACTGGGGGCAGCCCAAGGACAGGGCAGCCTGTCACGCTGCACCTGCGCCGGCCTCGGGCCCAGGGTGAGTGATAGCGAGCAGTCAGGGCCTCAGGACCTGGGGGTCAGGGCACAGGGCAACAGGCCTGACACAGCTACTGCCCCCCACCCCTCAGTGAGATCTGCGCTGCGTATGCTCGAGGGCCGCCCCAGCAAGGAGGCGCAGGACTTCGTCCGGAGGCTGAGGGAGCTGGAGAAGTGCATGGAGGCCGACCCCTGAGCCCGCATTGTCGGGGCGCTGTGTGTGCTGTGTCACGTGTTGGTGTGTGTGCACGTCACCCCCTGGCCCAACCAGCCCTCCCCCGAATTGGACAGCAGCCCCAGCTAGCAGCTACCCTGGACAGTGTGGGACGGCCCGGCCCAGGTGAGGTGGGGTCACCCCAGAGCAGGGCACTGGGGAAGCGGGTGTCAGACCCTGCCAGAGACACTGTGGTTGCCCAGGCCAAAGTCCAGGGAGGTGAAGTGCCAGTGCATGGGTTCCTATGCCTGCCCCGGTCTCCCGTGCCCGCCCCGGTCTCCCAGGCCAGACGAAGAGAGACACTCAGAGTTAGCTGAACTGCAGCTCCATTGGGAGGGCTGTGGGCCGCGGCCCAGGTGCCAGGAAGAGTCCAGCATGGGCGCTGCTCAGCCACCAGGCGTGTTCGTCCCACTGCCGCCATCCCGCCCCCAAATACAGCTGTGTGCAAACTCAGTCTGTCTGCCGTGTGTCTGTCCTTGGCTTCCTGTGGGGGGGCCCGGCCCCCTGCTCCGTGGCCACCTCTGCTTCTGGCCCACTGTTGCCTGCCCGCTCCTCAGCTGCATCCTCATCGTCACTGTCGCTGCTGTCTGAGGGCAACCTGAAAGGGATGGTTGAGGGGCTGTCAGTCCTGCCCCAGGTCCATGTTGGGAACAGACCCCTGTAGCAGGCCGGTGGGCCCCAGCCCCTCTCCTTGGGGAACACAGGGGAGCCCATGACGTACCGGCCGCCAGCCACAGGTCTGTTGGGGTTTGCACATTCTCGGCCGGAGTCCACGTCAAAAGGGTCTGCAGAGGGAAAGTAGGTCGTGAGCCCCTTTGGCAGACAGTCATCCCAGCCCCTGGGGGCAAGGCCTCACCAATGTCCTCGTCCAGGCGCTCTGCGGCCTGGGCCAGGAAGCGCTGCTCTGCCTGTTGTACGTCCTCGGGACCGCTGCACGCTGCGTACTGCTCCAGGAGCTCATGGTTCAGTGTCAGGAAGCCAGGACCCCACTTGAACTTGCCCAGCAAAGCTGCAGCCGCATCCGAGAAGCCTGGGGGCATGAAGCTGGGGTGTTGTGCCGGTTGGACAGCCATGCCCCCCACTGCTCGGCCCCCTTCCCCTTGGTAGGCCAAGTGTGCAGGGCTTCGAGGAGCACACCAGCTGGCTGGCACTAAGCCTCCTGCCCCTGCACCCCTGGGGTGGCCTCAGGTGGCTGTTGGGGTAGAAACCCTGCTGGCCCCCACCATGTCCCCAGAACCTGCCGCGCTCACCCAAGATGGAGAAGGTGGCAGCAAACGCCTCCACACAGGACAGCTTGTGGGGTCGGCCATAGTTCACTGGGTTGGCGGCCACCAGGTGCGGCAGCAGGCGCAGATGGCCACCCCGCATCTTTCTGAAGGGCGTTTCTTCCAGTCTGGCCCAGGAGCAGTCGATGACAGCCAGCCCAGACTCTGCCAATAGCAGTCTGATGAGGGCAGGGTAAGGGTGAGGTGGGAACTGGCCCCTGATGAAGGGCTCTGGGTGGGGCGAGCCAGATGACATCCCCACAAGAGGCTTGGTAAGTGGGGTCCCAGCAGGGTAACCCAACGCACCCACAGTGTTCAGACCGCTCCCGCCTACCTGTCTGCTGGGGACACGTACTGGGAGCCCACGGGGCTGAGCACGAGGCCCCCGAACCTGTGGCCCAGCCGCAGGCAGCGCACCAGGCCCAGGCGGGCCAGCTTGCGGCCAGTGCAGCGCCGGGGGTCGCAGTGGCCCAGCTCCCACATGGCCAGCGGGCAGGGCAGCCTCAACGGCTCCGGGTTGTCCTCGTGCTCGGCCGCCTCCGGCCCCACAGACGCTGCAAGGGCAGAGACGGGACCGGACTCGGCGCGGGGCCGAGGGCCGACCCCCGACCCCCGGCCCCCGGCCCCCGACCTCGCGCCCGGCCGCGGCCGGTCCAGCCGCACTCACCGCGCAGCGCCGCGCCCAGCTCGTCGGAGAACGCTTCCAGGGGTCGGGCCAGGGGGCGCCGAGCACGGCCGCCATCCGCCCCAGCGCCACGCGCAGCCCGCCTGCGGCCCATGGCTCGGCCGAGCTCGGGGCCGCCACTTCCGGTCCTCGCTCACGTGACCGGCGCCCACGTGACCCGCGCGGAGCCATGGCGGCGTGGCTGTGCCGCCTGCTGCTGCTGGGCGGGCTGGCGGCGCGCGGTGAGTGCCGGCCCGGGGGAGGGGGGCCTGCCCCTGACACCGCACACGCACCCCCAGCGCCCGGACCCGACCCTTCCTCCTCCCCACCCCGTTTACACGCACCCGGGTCTCACCCCCCCCCCCCGCACACGTGCCCCGGCCCTCAGTCCCGCACACGCGCCCCCAGCGCTCCGGCCCGACCCCCACTGCACACGCGCCCTGGCCTCACCCCCGCACACACGCCCCCAATGCCCGGGCCCGATTCCCCTTGCACAGGGGCCCAGGCCCTCTGCCTTGCGCTCGCACCCCCAGTGCCCGGGCTTCAGCCCCAGCACTCTCGCTCCTGACCCTGACCTGATTCCGCACACGCCCCCCACACACGCCCCCGCCACTCCCCACCCCGACCTGCCCCTCGTAGGAGCACCCCCTTCAGGGACCCGAACAACTCTTCCACGCCCCAGCCCCGGACCACGCCCCCCTCCATGCCCTGGACCTATCCCTACAGCCCCTCACCACTCATCCCCTTTCTGCAGCTCCGTCGCCCGCAGGTGCCGCCAAGATGAAGGTGGTGGAAGAGCCCAACACTTTGGGGTGAGCAGCCCCGCCGGCCCACCGCGGCAGTGAGTGGTCCTGTTAGGCGCTCGCTTGACCCACCCCTTTCCACAGGCTCAACAACCCGTTCCTTCCCCAGACCAGTCGCCTGCGACCCAAACGGGACCCGTCCCCGGTGTCTGGTGAGTGTGGGGAGGAACCAGAACCAGGTTGGGAGGGCCCGCAGGCTCCCGTGTTCACGTTTAACAGGGAAACCTCTTGGTTTTTGTCATTTTGGAGCTAGACCCTGCAGTACTCAGGGGCAAGCCCTGGCTCTGCTTTCAGGGATCACTTCTGTTGTGCGCAGACCATGTTTAGTACCTGGGCCCTAAGAGCGAAACCTTTCAACACTGAATTTCTTAACATGCCAAGCCAAAGTTATCCTGGCCTTGGCCTTTATTTCCTTATCCAGAATGGACATCTGTTAGGACCTGTGGTATGGGCACCTGATGGTTCAGGTGTGAGCATGGCCACAAGCACAGCCAACCCCTGGGTCTGCCCGTTTGCTGTCCTGGGCCCAACTGTCGCCGCTGCATTCCCAGACTGAAGTGAGGAGTCTTGCTGCCAAGTGGGCACTGACCAGAAGCACCAGCTGCTGTGCATTGTGGGGTGCGCCCTTGCCTTGTCCTCTCCCTCCTGCTTGGTCCTGTGGGAGTTATGTCCCAGGTTCGGATGCCTCAGGTGCCCTCAATGCCCCCTGGGACCAACAGCCGGGTTCTCAGCCTCAGGGACCCTCCTGTCCCTCTTCAGCCTCCGAATCTGGGTCCTGGACTTTGTGGTGACCCTATGTTTACAAGCTGTGTGAGCCCGTCTGGACCCTCCGCTCAGAAGGGCCGAGCATCGGTCCACTCCTGGGAGTCGGGTAGGGGAGTTGCAGGGGTACAAGGACAAGCCACCAGAACCCCACCCTCCAGTTGTGGCTGCGCCTATGGCAGTCACCAGCACGAAACCTACCCATTTCTGTGGGTGCTGGCTTCGTCCCCCGAAGAATCTGGGCCCTTGGGTGCCTGAGGCTGGGACCCTTTCTTCCCCAGGGCCTGCTCACCTCTTCAAGCTCTCAGGCCAGTGCTTCAGCCTGGTGGAGTCGACGTGAGTGCGGGGAAGGGGCGGTGCGGGCGCGGTGGGGAGCTGCTCCTAACAGGCCATGCCCCCAGGTACAAGTACGAGTTCTGCCCGTTCCACAACGTGACCCAGCACGAGCAGACCTTCCGCTGGAACGCCTACAGTGGGATCCTGGGGTGAGTGGGGACGGGGCAGGGGGGTGTGGCGTGGCCCTGGTTTGTACCACCCATACACATTTCCCTGCCCCCCAAGTATCTGGCAGGAGTGGGAGATCAGCAACAACACATTCAGCGGCATGTGGATGCGGGACGGGGACGCCTGCCACACCCGGAGCCGGCAGAGCAAGGTGGGGGTGGGGCGGAGCCTGGGCGGGGCGGGGGCGGGGCCTGGGCCTAGGCCGGCCCGGCGCGGACCGGAGGAAGTGTCGTCCCGCTCATTAGGCTACCCTGCAGGTGGAGCTCGCCTGTGGGAAGCGCAGCCGCCTGGCTCACGTGTCGGAGCCTAGCACCTGTGTATACGCGCTGACCTTTGAGACGCCGCTGGTCTGCCACCCCCATTCCCTGTTAGGTAGGAGGGTCCGGTGTGGGGGGCGGGGTGAGGGACTGAACCAAGTGACTGAGTGGCCTCTTGGGCCCCAGTGTACCCTGTGCTGCCCCCGGCCCTGCAGCTGAGATGGGACCAAGCAGAGCAAGATCTGGCCGACGAGTTGATTACGTCCCAGGTGAGGCGATGAGGAGTGGGGATCCCGATGGGGGAGCGGGGGTGCCGCCAGGAGCTGGGCCTCTCCTTCCTTTCTCACAGGGCCACCGGAAGCTGCTGAAGGTAATTTTTGAGGATGCAGGTTTCTTAAAGGCCCCAGAAGAAAGGAGGCCCATGGAGCAGGCAGAGGATGCTCGGGGGCTGGCGTTTGACACCTTAGAGAAGTGCAGCCAGGTACGGCGGCAGGGGCCCCCTCCCCCACAGCCATGCACCAGGCAGCCTGCTGTGTGACTGCTCTGTTCCAGGCATACAGACAGCTGTGGGAGGAGAAGCAGAGGCTGGAGGGGCTGCTGGTGCAGCATGCCATCCCCTACCTGAGAATGGCAGGTAGGTTCCCTGGGGAGCCAAGTTCCCCCATGGGGCTCCCAGAGCACCAGGTCCCAACCAGCCGCCACCTGGTTTGTGCACAGGAACCTCCAGCACCAGAACACCCACGCACAGGGCAGCAGAAGGCCACCAGCTGCGCGGGGACCCTGGGCTGCCTGGGACCAGCTTGTGACGGCTGGCTGGGCTACCTACTGGTAGCCAGAGACACAGAGGTGAAGATTCCAAGCTTTAATTCCCGTCCAGATAAAAATAATTCTGCATATCCTGTAAATGACTGCTTAAATGATACCACAGCGTAAAATACTTAAACGAATGTTATGGTGTCAGATAACAACCAGGAAGCCTGGTTCTACATCTGGAAAGTGATCTTCCCCCAGGGCAAGTTAGTGCTGCTCCTTTCCCATTCTTATTGCAATACAGACACACATACACCTCTGCATCCTCCTGAGCTGGCCAGTGTCCAGCAACAGGGAAGTCCACTCCACTGATAGCCTGCAGAAGCCGCCACCTGTCAGTCCCGCTTCTCTCTGCCACTGGCCTGCCTGGGACCCGGGCACGCCTCTGGCTTCCTGCTGAGCAGTGACACCATGTGCAGACGGACTGAGGAGCCACTCCTGGGGTTGCTTACGATCCGCAGACGACCAGACTGAATAGATATCAAATGTCCCTTGGCCCAGCCAGGTGGGCAGCAGCACATAAACATTCATAAAAATAAAGACTAAGCAGTGGTGAGAGCAGCACAAAACAGCTGTCGTTTCTAGAGTGGACTGTTGCCGCCATCACCAGAAACAAAATGGATTCAGCCCACCGACACCTCTGCAAGAGGACCAGCTGTGGGGCCTGCTGGGGCTGCCACCGGGGCCAAGCATGCCTGAATGCAGGAGCCCCTGAGTCCATGCTGGGACAGCGGGCCTGCCTACAAACAAGGACCTTGTGTGAAGTCTGAACCTTTCCAGTAGATTATCCTTTTGGTCGCTGATGAGAGTGTTGGCCATGTCCTTTACACATTAGAAAACTGCAAGCGGGGACACTGTCCCTGTCAGCACTAGGCCAGACTCACCTACAACACCCCTTTCACCCAGGGCTGGGCATGCTGACCTCTCCTGGAGGCTTCCTGGGGGAAGCGGCCCACAGCACCCCTGTGCTCTCAGGGTCCCTTGGCTGTGCCCGCGATTGCTGTGGCCTGTAAGCCGGAGCCTGGGTGTGCAGCTGTGCAGTGACGGCAGAGCCTGGTGGTGGCTCTGCTACGCCAGCACTTTCGGGAAGAAAGTCTGAGGGGGGCCCTCACTTAGGAAAGGGCATGGGCAGGGAGCCAGGCTGGGCTATGGAGAAGGCGTTACCTCACATGGGAAGAGGCTCCTTCCCGTGAATGCTGGACAGGGAGGGCCTGGGTGAAGCAGCCACAAACACTGGCACAGTTGTCAATTAGTAAACGCACAACCCCCAGGCGTCCTCACAACTGGGGAGAAGCTCACTGTGAGTCCGAACTCAGAGTACGAAACCTGGTGTTCACCAACAGAGCCAATGAGAAATGGACAGGTGGCTTTCCCGCTCACAGCACAGACAATGCTTTTGCAGACCACAGCGTAAGCAGTCAGGAACATGTCTTTATCCCGGTCGGTGCCGGGTACAGGTGCCATGACAGTCCCGTGAGACCGTGCCGAGAGGAGCGAGTAGGTGTCCGTGTGTCACCAGGGTAGGGGCTGGCTGGTACAGCAGGGGCACTCGGCTGTGCCGGCCACACGCGACTCTGTGCCCTGGGCACGCTCCCGGCACATGGCACACTGCTTGGCGTGGAGCTGGAAGATCACCTGTTGGGGCACACCAGGGGGGACTCCGGTCAGGCAATACAGGGCCCCTGAGAGGGGAGCAGCATCCTCACCCACCGGGTTCCCGAGGCCTGGCCCCTGGCTGAAGGAGTCTGGCGGAGAAGGGGAGACGGCACCTGCCAGCTCCCTGAGCACCAGCAGAGGGGCCCGGCGGGGCTGAGGGCAGCGTGTTTCAGTGGGCTACGTGGAACACTCGTGGACTCACCCCATCCACAGCCTCCAGATCCAGGCGCAGTTGGCTCTGCAGGGAGTGCAGCTGGGGCAGGGGGATGTCGCCCACATCCCCACCGCTGCACAGGCCAGGGAGCGAGGGCACTGTGCCACGGCCCTCCAGCTGCTCCTGCAGCCGCCGGAACTGGGCCTCCACCTCCTGCTTCTTCTGCAGGGCCAGCTGCCGGGCACTGTCGGCGGCCAGCGCACGCTCCTTGGCCTCCCGGGCAGCCCGCTGCCACGCGTCACAGGCCTGCAAGGCAGGGAGGGGCTGCAGAGGCTGCAGGGGGACCCCCCGCCCCCCGTGCTTACCTGCTCCACCTGCTGCCACGACTCCTCCCAGCGCCGGATCTTCCTCCGGGCCTCATCCAGCTGGCGCCGGACCCGAGCCAGCTCGGTGCTGCTGCTGGCAGAGCCCAGGGGGCCGGCGCTCAGGGAAGGGGCCAAGCTGGGCGTGAAGTTGTCGGACACCAAGTCCCAGAAGCTTCCGGGTCCGCCACTGAGCTCTGTGGGCAGACGATGGAAACGCAGCTGTGACCACACGGGTGCCTGCACAGACACCGGGGGCAGCTCTGCTCAAGAGGGCCCCAACAGAAAGAAGGATGGCCAGGAGGGACACGTGTCCAGAGGGAAGCCCTGGGGCCAGGGCTCGGGGCTCACCGAGAGAGCTGACAGCTGAAGCAGAGGTGCTCAGTGCTCTGGGCTCCATCTGGAGAGGCGGCGGCTGCTGTGGGGGTGTCATGGCCCAGCTGCCCACTGCCGACGGGGACCGGGGGGTGCACGGAGCAGGGAGGGGAGCCCCCCAGCAACCTCTGCCCTGCTAGGAGAGGGACATGGGTCATCAGGGAAAGTCACCCCGCGCCCCTCTGTGCAAGGTACTCGCTGCCATCCAGCTCCTTACCCAGGGTCGTGTTTGCTCACTGAGCCAGGACAAGCCAGGGCAGGCCCGGCCCACACAGTGGTGAGTCCAGCCCCGGCCAGGCAGTATCTGCTGCAAGAAGTGGAGCTCAGGACCACGGCATCTGGTTCCTGGGGTTGCTAACTCAGACTCGCCTCCCACAAGACAAAAGGTTTGAGCCCAAAGTCCCCCATAGCCAGCGATGGAGCCATCTTTGGGCACCTGCTTCTCCTTTAAGCTTTTTTACTTTTGGGGGGATGGTTGGGCCACACCTGGTGATGCTCAGGTGATGCTCCTAGCTCTGCATCCAGGAATCACTCCTGGAAGTGCTCAGGGGACCATATGGAGTCCTCGGGATTGAATCTAGGTCAGCCATGCAAGGCAAACATCCTACCCACTGTACTATCTTTCTCTCCTTCCTTCACTCCTTCACTCCCTCCCTCTCTCCTTCCTTCCTTCCTTTCTTCCCTCCCTACCTCCTTCCTTCCTTCCCTCAGAAAAGAAACCCCCAGCCAGGGGAGGAACTAAGTATAGAAATGTTCTAAGTTTAACTTTCAATCCCATTGGAATTGGACCGAGTAAACACACTTGGTCAGTAAAAATCTTTCAGACACTGACCTGAGGGAGCTGTCATAGTGCCCTGTCGTGCTGGGCACACTCAGGCACAGCACAGGGCTGCCAGCCCCAGGTCGCTGTCCGTGCTGACGCCAGCCCCTCTAGCTCTAGCTTGGGAGGTGCGGGCCCAGGTGTCAGCTCGGCTCCAGAGACCTAGTCACAGCCCGGTGTGCTGGACAGCAGGCCCCGGCAGCCCGCCCTTCACCCTCAGAGGCTCGGCCCGGCAGGTCCATTCTGGCCTCGCACCTGGAGCCCGTGGCAGGGCTGTGGCTCAGAGCCGGGAAACGCTAGGGAGGGACAAAGCACGCGGACAGGCTGAGGGGAGGGGGTGGGGGCACCGAGCAGAAGGCGGCCCTTCCTTCGACAGCGCCCTGCTCCGGCCCCGGCGCCACCCCGGCTGTGCCACCGCCAGCCAGGGAAGCACCCGGGCGGGTGGGGGTCCCGGCGGAGCCTGCGCGCCCACGGGGACCCTCGGGGCCTCGCCCACTGTCCTCGCGGGACGCCTCGGCGCCCCAAGGTCAAAGCCGGCCTCTGGGCTCGCGTCCGCGGGAGAGACCGGGGCCACGGCTCAACGCCCTGGTGACGCCTGGCCCGCCCGCCCCGGGCGCAGGTGGCCGCGGTGCGCCGTGACACAGCACATTCCGGCGGGCCCGCGGTGGGTCGGGGCAGCGCAGGCCAGGCCGACGGGGTCACTGCCCACACCCGCGCGGGCCCTCTACCGCGGCCAGCAGCCCCTGCCAGTCGAGCGCCCGCCCGCGCGGGCCGGGGCCGTGTCCAGGCACGAGCCGCTCCCGACGCGGACACGCACCTCTTGCCCGGGCGACTCTCCCGGCCCGGGGACATCGCAGGCGGCCGCGGCGCGCGGGACGGGCAGCGCGACGTCCGCTCCACGACTCCCGGACGGCACCGGCCGACGGTGCTGACTCACCCGCCCGCGCCGCCGCCGATTCAAACGCGGCCCGCGCCGGGCCCGCCCCCAGTGACGTCACCCGGAGACGCCGGGCCCGCCCCCGGCTACGTCAGTCCTGGAGACGCCGGCCCCGCCCCCGGGACGGAGCGCTGGGGACGCTGGCCCCGCCTCCGATGGCGCCAACTCTGGAACGCCGGCCCCGCCTCTGATGACACCAGCTCTGGTGACGTCATCCCTGGAAACGTCGGCCCCGCCCCCGGGACGGAGCCCTGGAGGCGCCGGGCCCGCCCCGGTGACGTCAGCCGTGGGCACATCGGCCCCGCCCCGCGGTACGGAGCCCTGGGAACGCCGGCCCCGCCCCGATGACGTCAGCCCAGGAAGCGCCGCCCCGCCCTATGATGTGTTCTAGATGCGGCTGGCTCCACCCGGCGCCGCCCCGGTTGGGACCGTCTCACTGGGGAGCAAATGCGGTACCCCAGCAAGTCAGCTACATCTAAGGCTGTCGCAGAGTGGCAGCAAGTAGTGCCCATAGCCCTGCGCAGGGCCTCTAGCGTCACGGAACCTAAATTCGACCCGGCTTCTACCTCCCTGGATTGAGACGGGGAGGGAGGAGTAAGGAATGAATCCGGGTGCCCCCAGAACCTCCCGTCTGCCCAAGGCAGCTGAACCTCAGGCCTGGGAGTCCCAAGCAGGTGGGAGAGGCCCTGCCCTGCCCTAACGCGGGACTCTAGGGGAACTGGGAGCCTAGGAGGGATGAGGGATACAGGAGGGGTCTGGAGAAGGCAGGTTATCCGTGGGCGATAAAGCCGCAGAGGCAGAAGCTGTGCCTGGGGGCGCAGGCCAGGTGGGATGGTCCAGCACGGGCTAAGGGAAAGAAGAGGCGAGGGGCAGGGCTGCAGCTGAGACGTGCAGGTCTGGTGCCACGGGTGGAAGGGCACGTACCCTCCTGCCTTGCTCCCGTTCCCTCCGGACGCACCGTTAGATGGACAGGCCGACCCCCGACCCCTGCAGGAGCAGAGGATGCCTGAGGGTCCCCGCAACAGTGCCTCCCGCTGACATGCAGAGCCTGGCACCGTTCATCTGGTGCCCCCTGCTCCATTTAGGCAGGAATCAAACATGGCCTTCCATGGGAGACACAGACACACACACACACACACACACACACACACGCAGGGTCTGGAGAAGCCATCCGCCCCAAGCCCAGGTAGGCTGACAGGATCTGCTCTGGCTGGAGACAGGGCAGGTCTGAGCCCCCAGGAGCCTGCCCCTGCCCAGGGTGTCCCCTCTGTACTCACTGTCATGCCTGAGGATGCTGCACAGAGCTATGGGCACTGGCCCACTAATGCGGGCCCAGCTGCCAGTGGGCTCCAGCAGGTGGATGCATGCCAGGAAGATGGGTGGACGGTGGGCAAGGAGCCACTGGATGCCAGCTGGTGCCATGCCGGGACCACAGTGATGAAAGGCTGGTGGCAGTGCAGTGTGGAGACAGGCAGGCAGCGAGCACTTTGGGACAGGAGCCCACACCTTGGCTATGGGCCTCAGGAGGGAAGTGGCTTCCCAGGACTCCAAGGAGCTGCTGGGGATGAAGCCCCAAGTGTTCTGGAGGAGGCTGGCAGGGCACCAGCTGTGTCTGTGTCTGCACGTGGCTTCCCAGGAATCAATCAGGAAGCCACATGACGACTCTGATGCCAGGACCCTGGCACCAGAGCTGGTCGAGTCACAAAATAAAACTGTGGTGTCCTTCAGAACAGGCTGGATGGCTGTGAACACCCCCTCAGTGGTCCCCTCTAGTCTAGGGTCTGGGAGCCATCACCAAGCTCAGGCAGGTGTTGAGTCACCCTCTACTGTCCTGTATCCCGCGCACCTGCACTTACACACCCCAGGCTGCCCCGTGCCCCCTGGGGACCCTACTCACGTCCAAGTGACCCGCTGCTGGTAGGTGAGGTTGTGGCCACTCCAAGGCTCTCTGCAGGGGAGGGGGATGGGCCTGTGTGCCCCAAGGGAACAAGGCTCAGGCAGATGTATGGGAGCTCCCATCCCTCTGGCACCAGGCCAGGGAAGAGCATCAGTGACCCTCACAGTACCTGGGAAAAGAACCCCTATGGGAGTCTCCACGTGCCCATGAAACTGGACCCCAAATCAGGGTGCATTAATGGGAGCCCCTGGAGCACAGGAAGTCAGTGTGTGTCTGGAGAGGCATGCTAGATCCCCAGAGGGGCCTGGCAGGGGCTCCTGCTTTCCAGGTGGGCCCAAGCACAGCCCCTGGTCCGGTGTATCACTGCACTTGGTGGACTTACAGATCTGGGGACAAAGATGAAGCAAAGCAGGGACTTGGCAGGTGGCCCAGAACAGAGGCCATCCTGGCTGGGGGGATCCTCCTGGGATGGGGAAGGGAGGAGAGGTCATGCCGGTAGCCATCCCCATGGCCAACAGCCACCTCCGGCCACGCTGCTGGGATTTGCAGGCACTCAGGAGGAAGGAAACACACCCTGTGGCAGGTGCCCCAGGGCCTGCTGAATGGTTGTGGGGGCACGTGGCACACGTGGTTGTGGGAGCTTGTAGGTGTCCATGAGCAGTATGTGGGTGCATGCTTGTCCCACCGCAGCCTCTGCTCACCCCCAAAGGCCCCACCACCTCCCCGAAAAGGGGCCTGGTGGGCACCCCACGAGTGGAGAGGCCGGGGTCCGCGATGGGCAGATGCCAGGGGTAGCGCTGGGGGCCACTTTCCAGGTGGACCCAGGCCGTGTGCCAGGCCTGTGTGCACTGTGTACATGTGCTTGTCTGTGTGGAAGCACTTGTGTGCATGTTTGACATGTGCATACATGTGTATGCCCAGTGTGTGTGTCCAGGTATGCACTGGGTGTGCCTTATATCTGGGTGTGCCTGTCCAGATGTATATTTGTGTGTCCAGGTATGCACCTGTCTGCGTGTGCATGTCTGGATGTGCGTTTGGGTCCGGATGTGAGTGTGTGGCCAGTGTGTATATGTGTGAGTCTGGCTGTATCTATGTTCAGGAGTGTGCCCGGTTGTGCATGTGTGTCCAGGTATGTGCAAGTCTGTATGTGTGTGCATGCATGCTCACCAGTACTGCAACCTGAGTCATTTTAAACCTGGTCACCGAAGGACAAGGCATATCCTGTCCTCGAGCTCAAGGATTCCTCATAGCAACCACGAAAATGCCCTGAAGGTCCACTGCAGCCTTGGTCACCCTGTACAACCTCAAGACCTTCATCTGTCGACACCAGGCAGGTGGATTAATGTCAGCCTTGTACTACAACCACATCTCAGAGCAGCCCTAGAAGCTGGGGGAAGAGGTGGGAGACATCACACGCCCATGCAGCCCCTCGGCTGAGCTGTGAAGAACACGAGTACTCAAGGTGTGACCCAACCAAACCTGAAGGACTAAGGTGCAAGCTCAGGGCCATGGAAGTGAAAGTGCTGAGCCCCGAGCCTCCGCTGCCCCGCACCCCAAGTGGCCCCACACACAGAAACAGACTTACAACCCCACGTGGTCGGCAGGTGGCACTGAAGTCTGAGCACCTGCCTAGAACATCAGGACATGCTCGGGAAGGTGGCAAAGGAGCCCATCCCAGAGAGCCCATGGGACGGCAATGAATCAGCCCGTACTTGGCAAAGGCAGCAGAGACTCTAGACAAAACCTACCGCCATCAGTCGGCAAAGTGTTCGTGCTGGGGGCACGCCTGGCTTCTGTCCTCAAGTGGTACCCAAAGCCACAGCAGTGCCATGCTTCCCCCAGCCTGGCACAAGCAGCCGAGCACCATCAAGGCAGCAAAAGGGACTGCTTGCTCGCAGGTGACTATCTTTGTTCGTTCAGATTTCCCCAACAATAATACCTAAGAATTAACTTTCTCCAAGGAGGCAGGAGGCAGGCAGGACTATAGAACAAAACAGCCTCGCAGACTCCATCTGAGTATTGAGGCGCTGCAGTATCCTGAGTGAGAAAAAAAAAAAGACTCCAGCTTAGATAAATTTAGGAGTCTGGGGGCAGAGTTACAGTGGTGGGAAGGGCGCTTGCCTTGCATTCAGCCAAACTGGGTTCAATCCCTGGTGTCCCATATGAACCCACAGCAGCACCAGGAGTGATCCAAGTGCAGAGCCTGGAGTAATCCCTGAGCATTACAGCTGTGGCCTGAAAGTCAAGGTGCCATTGTTACCCTGAGCTAGCAAAGCCACAAGAATTCAAGGAAAGGGCGAGAGGCAGGAGAGGGGGAGTGTGCCTGCCTGCCCTGCACACAGCTCACCAGGAAAACACCTGCTCAAGTCCCAGCACCGCATGTGGCCCCCCAAGCATTCCTTAATCAACTTCCTCCTTCTCCTCCCCAACAATCTGCCCTCAGTCAGGGGCTGCTACAACTGTCCTATTTCTCAGATCCTTCTCTGGGGTCACTGCATCGAGCACCTCGGAAAAGTCCATCTCATGCATTGCAGCTACAAAAACTAAAAAGTAACGAAAAAGGGGCTCACTGTGCAATCACTGACATGGTCCTGGGAAAGTTCAATTAAGGGGCTCGCACCAATCTGCTGGTGACTAGACTTGTGTGTGTGTGTGTTGGAGATGAGGGTGGGGTGGGGAACAGCAGAAAAACCCCACCAGAGCACTCAAGTGATGTAGCATCAGAAACTAGTAGACTCAGGTTTCTGAAGGACCTCTAGCTAGACACTGAAGGGTGGGAAGAGGCCCGCGCCCCCAGAAGCACAGCCCGAGATGCAGTTGCTATTTCTACTCTATTCCTGGTGCTCAGCTGCCTTTCCCAGAGAAACCACAGTGCTCTTGTCACATGAACTCTTAACAGCCTCCCTCCTGGTGTGGGGGATGGAGCCGTGGGTCCGAGCTCTCCAGCCCTCCCGCTCTCTCCCAGCCTGTGGATTTCTTCCAGTTTCAACAAAAATTCTTCCCTTCGCTTTGGATCTTTCTTTCTCTCACAGGAGCTGGTGAGAATCAAGTAAGGTTTCAAGTCTGGGTGATCAACTCTGACTCAAACAAAACAGAAACTCAACAGGTGACAACGGTACCAGGCCTGAAGGAAGCCTCAGTTCTTGGCTCCTGGAAGGCTGCTACAGCGTGAGCCATACTGCAGTCCCTCTCCGCTGGGTCTCAGCAGGTGACAGATGAAGATTCTTGTGCAGCCCATCCCCAGTGTCTCCTGAGGGTACAGACACTGGGTGCCACGGTGCAGCCAGGAACCTGCATGAAACGTTCACACAGGAGAGCTGCTACTTCTCTTCTTGTACAGAACATGAATCAAGCCTGATCACATCACTCAGCTACCAAAAGGAGCCATCATCTATCACCAGAGATCCTAGAATTCTATTCAGAAGTTGTAGTCCTTCTAAAAATCAAATGTCACTAGGGGCTGGAGTGATAGCACAGCGGGTAAGGCGTTTGCCTTGCACGCGGCCGACCTGAGTTCAATTCCCAGCATCCCATATAGTACCTGGTCCCCTGAGCACCGCCAGGAGTAATTCCTGAGTGCAGAGCCAGGAGTAACCCCTGTGCATTGCCGGGTGTGACCCAAAAAGAAAAAAAAAAATCAAATGTCACTAAACCCAGAAACCTCATTCTGGTGAGGTCTGATTTCTGTGCTCCATAATTCATTCTTCTTTTTTGCTTTTGGGCAATACTCAGTGTTGCTCAGGATTACTCCTGGGTCTGAACCCAGGAATTACTCCTGGCGGTGTTCGGGAGGCTATATGGGATGCCAGGATCAGACGTGTGCAAGACAAACGCCCTCACTGGTGGACAATGGCTTTGGTCCCCATATTTCACATTTAGACTTTTTTTTTCCGCTTTTTGGGTCATACCCGGTGATGCTCAGAGTTTACTCTTGACTCTGCATTCAGGAATTACTCGAGGCAGTACTCGGCAAACCATTTGGGATGCAGGGGATCGAACCCAGGTTGGCCACTAGGCAAACACTACCCGCTACACAATTGCTCTGGCCTTCACGTTTAGACTTCTTTCAATCCTATGTGGAGAGGGGAAAAAAAAAATCAAAGTTAAAAAAAAAAAAGAATTAAGTACTGCTTTTACAAAGGAACTGGTGGGGCCGGAAAGATAGCACAGCAGGTAAGACACCTGATTTCCACGCAGTAAACCAGGGTTGCAGCCCATTAAGGTTTAGATCCCTGGCATTCCATATGGCCCTCTGAGTACCCCAGGAGTGATTCCTGAGAGCAGAGCCAGGAGTAACTGTTTGTGTGGCCCCCCGAACAAAAAAGTAAATAAAAAGAAATTGGTTTAAAGCCATACTGCTAAGTAAAATTTTAATTTTGTTTTCTTTTTTCCCCCCCTTGGTACCAGGAATCAAACCTAGGACCTCACACATGGACGTGCCCCACCTCTGAGCCACATCTCCAGCCCCTAAACATCTTCAGTCTGTTGGTAAACGAACATCCCCATGTACACGTTATAAAATAGCACGCCATAAAATAAAACAGATTAGCCCTTTATGTCTGCCTCAAAGATAAAAAACAACGACGTGGCCCAGGAGGGCGGGCCCGGGTTCACTCGGATGCTCCCAGAGTCGCTTCGGAAGATTGTGTCCACAGGCGTCCCGCTCGGACGGCACCGCGGCGGTCACGCGTGGCCAGGCCGGTGCCCGCGCCGCAGAGGCCCGGCCGCGGTCACGTCCGCTCCCCGCCGGAGGCCGGCTCGGGCTCCTCCCCGTCCAGCACCCGCCTCAGCCAGAGGTCGGCGCCGCTCTCCTCCCGCAGGAAGCACCAGCCGACGAGCAGCATGAGGGACAGGCTGAAGGGCAGCACCCGCCACCAGGGCCGCTGCTGCTCCCTCCCCAGCGAGTGCTCCACCGTCCAGCGCACCGGGGACGCCCGGCTGGCCGAGAACTGGATGGGGCGGCCGGGGTCGTCGTCCCCGCCCTGCGCGGACGGCGGGTGCAGGCGGCGGGCGGCGCTACGCGCGAGCCCTAGCGTCCGGGCGGCCCTAGGGGAGAAAGAGCCGTGAGCGGCGCGCCGCTCGCCCCGCGCCCCCCGGGCCGAGCCCCGCGCCCCCGCTCACCCGGCCGCCGGCGCACACAGCACCCGGCTCATCCCTGGCCCCGCTCCGCTCGTGCGTCACTTCCGTCGCGCGGAAACGGAAACCGGGCGCCCTTCCCCGTCACGGCTGCAGAACGCGCGTCCGACGGCGCACCGGAAGTGACGCTCGGCCGCGGCCCCAGTAGGCCCGGCCGGTGCGCGAGGGCTGCCGGGAACTGTAGTCATGCGGCGACGCGCGCAGGCTCCGCGGCGAGCCGGTCGGGTCGGCCACGCGGGAGCATCCCTCGATGCTCCCTCTTAGCTCGGTGCTGCTCTTTTCGCGGGACTTTCAGTCACTTAAGTCGTCTTGTTCCCACTGGAAGAGTCTCGGGAACAGAGAGGCAGTTCTCCCGTCCTGCCTCGGAGCAGCGCACCGGGCTCTCCGCTGCGTCCGCACGACCCGCCTAGCGCCGTTGCCAGAGCGCCCTGCGGGTGCCTTTCCGCATGGACCGCCCCCAACAGGCCAGATCCTCACCCAGTGACGGCCTGCGGATGCCTGTGCTCACTGGACAGCCCCCTCTGTGTCCAGTGCCCAGCGTTCTGCCTGGTCACGCTGGGCCTGGCCCTGCTGCCCTCAGACCACTTAGGCACCATTACAGACCCTGGAAGGATGTCACAAGGGGTTGGTGGCATATCAGATCCTGCATGTTTCCTGGAGGGAGAAGTTACAGGCTTGGGACCAGCCCTCCTGGAAACAGCAGGGACACAGTCCAACACACACACGCACACCCCTCCTCTGGAAACAGCAGGCTCAGGGCTGGAGGGCCCTGGTTGGGCTTGCAGCTCAGAAACCCAGCATGGAGGCCTGGTGGGTTCAGCTTCCACACGGCCGGTCTCAGACCTACTCTGTCAACAGAGGCACCTGTGCCCCTCCTGCCCGCCTGTTCACTGGCCCCTCCCCATCTGCTCTTCTCAATACCTCCCAGAATCACTGCCAAAGCCAGATTCCCAGCAGGGCACCCCAGAAACTCCCAGTGGGTGCAAAGAGGAAGCTGGGGGCTACGTGTGAGCAGGATGAGCCAGGAGCCTCCTGGTGAGCAAATATGGTAACGTGAAGAGGGCATCCCAGAGAGAGGTACAGGGGTGGGCCACTGGCCTTCCACACAGCCAGCCCTGGTTCAATCCCAAGCGATCCCCTCAACTCTGCCCTGGAGGAGGGATCCGGGTGTTCCTTCCCTGCTGCCCGTGACACTGGTGACCCTTGCGAGCCCCTGTGCACCCGTGGGCTGTGCAACTCACTGTACACACACAGCCTGGTGCAGAATGGAGGGGGTCTTTGCCCTCCAGGCTTGAGCACTTGGGATCCCTGACGGGCAGCCCTGGGGTGCTGGGTGATGGGCTCACAGTGACCCTTCCAGTGCAGCCTGTTCTTGTCGTCATGAGAAGCCAACAATGTGTCTGAGCTCACTGGCCCAAGGCAAGGCCTGGTGTCCTGCTCCCGGGTGAGGCTGGCCCGAGGCAGGCAGTGGGTAAGAGCTGACATATTGGCGCTATTGATTTTCCTGGGAAGATCAACATGGTGGGCATGTGATGGGCAGGCCCCTGACCTCTGGGTGGACAGAATCTGAAGCCGGGAGGGGGCAGATGGGGACAGAGTGGACACAGGGCTGCACCCTAACTGGTGCCAGATGCTGGTGGGGGCCAGCCCCAGCCCCGCTCCCGGGCTGAGACGTATACAGGCAGCACCCTTTAGCAGGAAAACACGCCAGAGATGCCCCCTAGGAGAGCTGCTGACCGCAGCCCAGCCTCGCTAGTAATAAAGCTTTACCCAACTCTCCTGGAGCATCTTTTAACTTGGTTCTGACTCACTTGTGGCTAAAAAGGGGAAAAGCTCATTGACAGCCCCACTGGAGCCCTGGAGCAAATCTTTAGTCCCTCACCTGTCTGTCACTCGCCCCTCACCAGGGTACGGCTGATGCTTCTCGTCAAGAACAAGCAGAGAGAGGGTCTGAGAAAAGTGTCTGCCTTGCTCACAGCCAACCCTGGTTCAATCCCTGGCATCCTCTCTGGTCCTCCAAGCACGCCCAGGAGTAATTCCTTAGTGCAGGGCCAGGAGTAACCCCCGAGCATCGCTATTTGTAACACCCACCACCACCAAGAAAAAGGAACAAGTAAACAGGAAACAGTGTTAAGGTCCTTGCACTGCTGACGTGGCTGACCTGGATTCAATTCCTGGAGCCCCACTGGGAGTCACCCCTGAGCACTGCCCGAAATCAGCTGTGAGCACTGCCAGATGTGATTCCAAAGAGAAAAGCAAAGCGAGCCACATGTAAAGTGCACAGCGAGCACAGGCCCTGTGCGTGCATGTTCCATGTGCCAGGCAGCTCCTTGCGCTGGCTGCCGTGCTGACTGAACTCGGGTCGGCTCCACTGTGGAGGTGCTGCCCAAGATTCAGCCTGGGGCTCTGGCCCAGCTTTGCTCCCACCACTAGCACCCCCCGCACACACACCAGGCCAGGGCTGGGAAGATGTGCAGCAGGTGGGACACTGGGGCGTGCCCAAGTACTGGGCCTTCCTTGGGTCTGTGCCCCCGCAACTCTTGAACCCTGTGGGCGTGGACAGACCCCACTGCCCCTGCCACGGGAGGCTCCCAGATCCACAGGCTCAGGGAGCAGCGGGGCTCGGGGTCCCTGCTCCCCCACCCTGTGGCCGCGTGGAGGCCGTGAGCAGGATGTCCTCTAGTGCAGCTACTCCAGAAGTCAAAATAGCATGAAATTTAATTTTCCGCCTGTTTGGCAGGCTCGTGGGGCCCGGTCAGCAGCAGAGATAAGGGCCCGCCGCTGGGCGCAAGGCAGCTGGGGGGTGGCAAACACTCCACCGTCCCCCGGCGGCAGAGCCCTCCGCACCCCCCCGCGGGCCCTGTTGCCGGGGCAAGAGCAAACGGGCCGTGTTTGCCCAGTCTGTGGGGACAATGCCGTCGGCAAATATTTGCCAGCGCACTGGCTGCAGAGCACAGATATAAAGCTCGGGCTCAGACGGAGCAGCGGGCTGGAGCTGAGGCGGCAGGTAGGCGGCGGCCGGGTCCCTGGCTGGAGTCTGGTGTGGGGCTAACACGGGCAGGGGCAGTGGGGGTCCTGGAGCCTGCGGGAAACCCCTTACTGCCCCCTCACTCCCTGCCCGACTCTGGGTGAGGCGGTGGACTTGCCCCCGTGTCTGGGGCACCTGGAGGGCTGAACCCCCCACCTTGCCCCAACTCCCTTTGTTTCTCGCTCTTCTGGGGGGGGGGTGGCTCCCTCCTCCCACCCACCCCGGACCGACACATGAGCTGACCAAAGGCTACTGACTTGTCTTCCCGCACCTCGGGTCAGTGGGAATCTCTGTGGGGGGCTCTGCTAACCAAGACCCCCCACCTCCGGGCGTGAGATGGGAGTGTCTGCTTTTCCTTTGCCCTCCAGTACAGACCCTTGCTGCCTTTGGGGACCCTCCGGGGCTCGGAGAGGCAGCCCTGACATCTGCTCCACCTGACTCTGCAGACACCAACTGCCCAAGGCCTGAGCTCTCACCCACTTGGCCATGGCTGCAGGTGTAATCCGGCCCCTCTGCGACTTCCGGCTGCCTCTGCCCTCACGGGGGCCCTTCCTGCCCTCTGACCCTGAGCCCCTGGACACTTCGGAGGAAGAGGAGGAGGAGGAGGAGGAGGAGGAGGAGGAGGAGGAGGAGGAGGAGGAGGAAGAGGAGGGGCAGCAGCCCGGTGTGCTGGCCTCGGTCCCACGGAGCAGCCCTGAGCCGCCACCCATGCAGCTGCTGCGTTTCTCTGAGCTCATCAGTGGGGACATCCAGCGCTACTTTGGCCGCAGGGACACGGGCTGGGAACCTGGTGCTAGTGACGGCCATGTGGACAGCAGCGCGGGCCCTGGGCTTCGGGTTCGAGCCCTGGCGCTGGGGGAGAGCGAGGCGGCAGAGCCAGGGCTCCACTCTCCGGGGGGTCCTGAGGGGCAGCCCCTGGGGCCTCTGGCGGAGCTCTTCGACTTCGGGCTGCGAGGGTGTGCTGGGCCCAGGGCAGCTGGCCGCTGGCTGCGGTTGCAGCGCAAATACGGCCACATCACACCCATGGCCCAGCGCAGGCTGCCCCCATCTTTCTGGAAGGAGCCAGAGCCCAGCACCCTGGGCCTGCTGAACCCACACCCGCCCGACTTCAGTGATCTGCTGGCCAGCTGGTCCACCGAGGCCGGCCCGGAGCCGTCAGCTGGGGGCACCCAGGCGTTGGAGGCTGAGCACTAGGCGAGGGACAGTGTGCCACCTCAGACCCCCTCCCCACCCCCGGGGGCTGACACACGACATGCCCATGAAGGCCTCCGAGCAGCGAGAGCCTGGGACCAGTGCGCCGAGGAACGTCTGCCCACAGGAGCTGTTGTTTTATTTGGGGGGCGGCGGCAGTGACCTGGGCTGGTGGAAGGGTTGCCGGTGGTGCAGCTTGTGCTGGACGGTGCAGCGGCACCTCGCCAGCAAGCCCAGGAGCTCCGCCTTCCACTGCAACCACCTGCAGGACACAACACACGGCTACCTGGGCGCCCTAAGCCCCGCCCCACCCCAAGCCCCGCCCACGACTGCACCCCTCTAAGCCCCGCCCCACAACCGAACCCCGCCTCTAAGCCCCGCCCCAAGATGGCACCCCGCCCTCACAACAGCACAGGTCCCAAATCCCCACCCTGAGCCCCGCCCCACAACGGCACCCCACCTCTAAGCCTCGCCCCTCTCCTAAGCCCTGCCCTCATCCCACCCCCATCCCCCTACCCCCAGCCCCCTAGAGAAAGAGGCAGCTACCGCCCACCTCAGGGCCTGATAGATGCCCCAGCGGTTCAGGGAGACCACAACGCTGGGGGCCGTGTCCTTGATGAAGAGACGTTGCCACGCTGGTGCTCCCCGGCCCTGCTCACCCCACAGACGCATGAGGCTCTCCTGCAGGGCTGCCATGGCCTCTGAGCGCTGCCAACACAAGGATAGATGGCGGACAGAGTGACGGACAGAGGGGTGGAGAATGGGGGGGGGAGGAGAATGCGTGTGGGGGGGGGAGCGGGCAGTCTCTGGGCTTGATCTCCCGGGATCAGCCTGGTCTTAGCTGCTGGGAAATGCAACCTGGGCAGCTGGACAAGGACACACCCGCACAGTGGGAGGGATGTGGGTCTCACCAGCTTGGTCTCCGTATTAAACTTGAGGTTCTGGATGGCCCTGTGGTCCTGCATGCTATTCTCCAATCTCATCATTTGGTTCTGAAACTAAACACATGGCCCTCTGCCCCGCCTGTCCGCAGGCATGGAGCAGGAGCTGGGCATCTGGGAGTTGAGAAGGGGCCCCAAGATGCCTTGTGAGGCTGAGCTGAGGTCCTGTGATCACAACCAGGCTCTCTGGGGTTCAGACCTGGCCCGCTGTGGGGGGACGGCCTGGGTACCGTGGTCAGCTTGCCCTGGATCTCAGCGATCTTGCGTCCAGAGTTGTCCTCCTTGAGCAGCTGCACGGCAGTCAGCAGTGCTGCAAACTCCTGCCGCAGGGCCCCTACCGCCATCTCTCTGTGGGAACAGGAGGCCTGGACTGGGCCCTGCGTCGGGCAGGGATGCGGGTGCCTGGACAGGCTGGAGTGGTATGGGCAGAGACGGGGGCTTGCAGGTGACAGAGAGGACAGGAGGGGCGCAGCTGCCAGGTTGGGGGAGGTTCCCTGAAGTTCACCATCATAGGTTGGTTTTGAGGTAGCCATACCCACCGGTGCCCTCCCTAGCCAGGTCCACACCACCTCACCTGGCTCGGCCTTCAGCAGAGATCTTGAGGTCCAAGTCACTCTTGTGAAGGACACACTTGTCCCAGAAAGCCTCTATCTGCAAGGCCAGTGGGCAGTGCACTGAGGCCAGCACGTGCACACATGTGTGTGATCATGTGTGTATCTGCATGCACACAACACAAATGAGTGTGCTGTGTGCATGGCTGATTGTGTGTGAATGTATGCATGTGAGTGGCTGTATTTGCAAGGCTGTGTGGATGCATGTACATCTATGTGTGGCTCAGTGTATGTGCATGTATGGCTGAGTGTGAACATGTGTGGCTCAGTGTATGTGCCTGTGTGTGGCTGAGCATATGTGTAGCTGAGTGTATGAGCATGTGTGGTTGAGTGTATGTGCATGTGTGTGGCTGACTGTATGCACTATGTACATGCATGTGGCTGACCGGACATGAGTGAGGCTGTGTATGTGCATGTATGAGTTTGTGTCTGCATGTGTGTATGAGTGAATGGACATGCACATGTGTGGCTTCTTTGTGTGTGGGGGGTTGGACATGTGCAAGTGTGTACAGCTGGGTGGACATGAAAGCATATCTGTCTGCATGTGTGCGTGGGGCAGGGAGGCAGCTGACCCACATACCTGCCGGGGCAGGCTGCCCACAGTTTCCTGCACTTCCCTCAGCTGTGCCTCGACCTCCTGCTGGCCCTGGGCCAGGCTTGCCAGGGAGTCCTGCTCCAGGTGTTCCCACTCGCACCTTGCCTGGGACGGGGAAAGGCCACGTAGCCATGGGGAGCGAGGTCAGAGCCCTCATGCTCATGCCTGGTAGCAGGGAGCCTCGGTGGGCACCCGGGGCAGCCCCTGCCCCTCACCCCAGGCACCGAAGAAGAGCCTCATTGGGGAAGGGGTGGGGGTGGGCAGGGCAGTGGTGCCCAGCGGGGTAGGGGCAGTGTGGGCAGCCCTCTCCAATGCTCAGATGCCCCCAGGTACATGGTGGCAAGGAACATTCTAGTGGGGGTGGTGGGTGCCCCACGAGCAGCCCATTGGGTCCCTTCTGAGAGATTCACAGAGAGCCAAAGGAGAGCCTGGTGGAAGGTCCAGGGTTTCCTTGGGCAGCGAGGAGAGCTGGAGAGAGGGGGCCTCAGGGTCCCTATCCAGCGTGCCCTGGTCCCTGGCCTTACCTCGCTCAGCCGCAGGCTCAGTGTCCGTTCCTGCAGGTCCAGCCTCCAGTTGAGGGCCAGGAAGTGGTCGCTCAGATCCTTCACCTGCTGGGCCAGCTGGGCCAAGGACAGGTCCAGGGCCCGGTTCTTCTCCTGGAGCTGCAGGGACAGGTGGCATGGGGATGACTCCTGGTTCTTCTCTCTGAGCTGATGGGATGAGCCTCAGGGCACTCCCCCACCTCTGCCCCCCGCCCCTCCCTCACCAGCTCCAGGGCATCCTGAGTTTCCTGCTGAGCCAGGGTCCCTGCCAGCCGCATGGCCTCCAGGCTGTCCTGACTCTCCTGGAGGTAGAAGGCCACCTCCTCCGCCTGGCTCTCCTCCAGGCGCCCCTTGGTGTCCCTGGCAGGGCCCCAAGAGCGTCCTTCAGCTGGTGGGTCTGGGACTGCCAGGGAAGTCTGGCAGTGGTGCCCCAACTTCCCAGGAAATCCCAGCAGGTTGAGAACACTGTGTGGCACAGGGTCTTACAAGCTGCAACTCCCGCGTCCAAAGACACTCACTGGGCCTTCTTCTGGGTTACCAGGATGTGGTTCAGGGACTCCTGGTTCTGCCGCACGAATGTGGTCAACCGGACTACGGCGTCATCCAGGCCCTGGCACCGCTGTACTACCCGCTGCTCCTCCTGCTGCAGGCAAAGCTCAGCGGTGGCCCCGCCCCTCCTCGACACCCCGCCCACATATATCCAGACGCCCCGCCCACGCCCCCCTCCCCAACGCCCCGCCTACTCTCTCTCCCGACACCCCAAGTCTCTCTCGATGTCCCGCCCCTTCACCCGAGGCCCCACCCACGTCCCTCCCGAGGCCCCGCCCCTTATCCTGAGGTACCGCCCACGTCCCCGAGGTCCCGCCCCTTCCCAAAGCCCCACCCCTCTCCACGACTCCCCGCCTCCAATCCCTTCCAGCTCCACTTCCAGCCCGTCTGCTCCCCATCCACACGCACCCCCATCCCCCCGCGATCCCGCGGCTGCCGCTTACCTGGCACTGCTCAAGTATGGCCTGCACGCGAGCCTCGTCCAGCTCCTGCAGCTTCTGCCATCGGACGTCCAGCTCTTCCCGCAGACTGCCCTCGGCCTTGAGCCGTGTACTCTCCGAGGCCTTCATCCTCTGCAGGGGGCGCTCGGTCCGCGGGAGCAGGGAGGGGCAACCCGGATCCCCCAATCCCGCGCCCGCCCCCAGGCCCCACCTTCTCCAGCGCCCGAAAGCTCTTCTGCAGGAAGCCGCACAGCTTGGCCTCTCTCTTGAGGAACCGCAGGCTCATATCCTCCCCCAGCTTGGTGACCTGGGCCTGCGGGGAGTCAGCCCCCGGCAGCGCGGGGCTCCTGGTCTGCGCTGTGCTTCTGCAGCAGTGGCACGCCTCGGGTACCTGTGCCCCGCCGCGCTGCCAGTGCTGGGGACGCGCCTGTCTCCAGGGTCTAGAACCAGGCCCATCTGGTACCTGGGGAGCCCCCATGGCTCCTAGAAGGGGCACCGCAGCAGGAGCTCCTGCAGATGTGTTTGTGGCCTTGGTTGGTGAGGATCAGGACCCCTATGTGGTGCCCGTGCAGGGCATGGCCTGGCCTCCCTACACTATCTGAAATCCTTTTTGTGGAGCAGGAAGGAGGCAGGGGAGGGGGCACACTGCAGCTCAAGATTCTGCCTGGTCCCAGCGTCCCGACCCTAGCTGGCTCCTTGGATAGAGACAGCACTGTGGCACAGAGCCCCGCCCACTCGACGGGCGCCATGTGTCTGCCCAGCAGGTGCTGGTGGCTGTCACATTTCCCTGGCAAATGTGGTGGATGCGATTGCCTGAGGAAGGGCCGGCCCAGTCCCACAGCCCCAGGCCTCCAACTCAGCAAAGGCAATGCAGGTGGCAGTGGGCCACTGCCCACTGTCCCGGCCTTGTGTAGTGCAGCCCTGGACCTGTGGCAGAAGCTTTGGTGGGGTCCGTGTCTGGGAAGCCTGAATGGACACGTTAAAGGAAGTGTCTTAGGAAAGCTCCTGGGCTCCAGTAAAGAGGGGTGCAGGCAGGGGAGAGGCTCTGAACTGTCTAGAAGGTTCCACTCCCAGCCACAGCACCAGGCCACGCAGGATCTCACCAGGCAGGAGGGGGTGTGAGGAAAGAGTGTGGATGCAGGTACCTGCATCCGGGCCATGTCCTGCTCCACCCGCAGGCTGGCCTCCTCCTGGTCCCTCCGCAGGGAGCCACAGGCCGCCTCCCTGGCCTGGCCCTCCTGCTTCAGCTCTCCGGACAGCTGGGCGAACCTGGGGGCCAAGGCAGGCTGTGGCCACAAGACTGCACCCACAGGCCTCCTTGGTCACCTGTGTCTGGGCAACAGGAAGCTGACTTCCGTGGCCCCTTTGGGACAAGGGCTGCAGGGGAGAGCCAGGCGGGGCCCGCATCTGTTCCTCACCACCCAGCCGTGTGGGACTGGGGCGTGTGGCTGCGAGGGGTCTGTGGGTGCCCGTGGTGGGGAGCACCTGAGTGAGACCTCCTGCTGGGCTCCCTTCCGCTCCGAGTCCTGCAGAGCCTGCTGCCTCCGGATGCGGCCCAGGGCATCCCGGACCTCCAGCAGCCTGCAGCAGCGCACAGCCAGACGAGTGCCAGGGGTCGCACGGCCCCCCAAGGCCCGCCCACCGGGCCTGCCCCCTGCTGGTACCTCTTGTCCAGAGCCTGCATCTGCTTCTGGTTCTGCAAGGAAGCATGGGGGCTGCGGCGGATGCCAGCAGGGGCTCAACTTGGGGAGCCCCGCCTGGCCCCACCCCGCTCACCTCCTGCGGCTCCTCCAGGCCCCTGGCCGCCCGCTGCACCTCCTGCTGCAGCGCCCCCAGCTCTGCCTCCTGCCGCTGCAGGCGAGTGCGCACCTGGAGCAGCTCCCGCAGCAGCCCCAGCATGGCGCGCTCACAGTGGTCCCGGTGCGTGCCCAGGGCCGCCACCTCCGCCTGCAGCTCGGCCACCCTGCAGGGCCAGACAGCGCTGGGACCACACCCCGGAGCTCAGCGCCCCCAGGCTCCTGGCTGCTCACCTCTCTTCCATCTGCTCCCAGCCCCGAGGGGTGTTTGGCTCCAGGACGGTGGTGGAGGCCAGGTCGCTGGACTCCAGTGGGTCTGAGGACTCCACCGCGCTCAGGGGTTCGGGGCTGCGGTCCCCTTCTTGCAGGAGTACCTCCAGGTCCTCCAGGGAGATGGGGCTGGGCTGGGAGGGGACCAACGGGGCCGGGGGCCCCAGGGAGCAGGGGGTCTCAGCCATGCCTGCGGGCGACAGCCCAGCCCGAGGGCGCCACCGGACACTCCTCAGGATGGGCAGAGGAAGTGAAGCACTGGGTGCTGGGGCCGGCCGTGGCCTGGCCACTCCCCACCTGGGCAGGAACACAACAGAGTGGCCTGGGAAGGGGGCTCAGTGCTCAGGGATCGGAGGGAGCAGGGGCGGTCAGGGCTGAGGCCAGGCCTGCGAGGACTGGGCTGTAAAGGGGCCGCTGTCCTCACACCTCTCCTTCCTAGGCACGACTGAGGCAGGGCCCCAGGCACCTGTGGAACTTCCTCTGCTGACCAGAACCTTGTGGTGTCATGGCCAACTGCCGGTGGAACTCGAGCCCTTTGCCCTCTGCCCTCACAAGGCCTCTCCAACTGCCAGCTTCCACCCCAGGTAAGAGCTGGGGTGGTGTGCTCTGATCCCACAGTCTGACACAGCTGCCACTAGGTGAGGACTCAGGCTCCCCACATGCTTTCTGTGCGTCTGCCTTGGCACCGACACCCAGGGTTGCTGGGGCTTCCCGGGCGGCTGAGGGCATCCTTCCTGGGGCCTCCCACACAGGTGAAGGGGTCCGGGAAGCCCTGGGGACTTCCTGAGCTGCTGCCTTAGTAGCAAAGTGGGTCAGGAGCAAGACAGACTTGCAGACGAACAGCCCCCAGGAAGAAGACCCACAGTGCTGTATGTCTGCTTAGAGGGCACGGAGAGAAATGGATGGTCGAGGAGAGGGGACAGGGGAGCAGAGATGAGGTTGGGGGGAGACAGGAGAGGTGAGGACATGGGAGACAGAGGCTAGGGCACAGGAGAGAAGTGGATGTGGGGTCCAGCCTGCGCGTCTAATGACCCCTGTGGCCCCTTACCAGCTTCCCAGGGCTCTGTCCCCCCCAACACTCGTCCAGCAACCTGGCTGGAAAAAGCCAGAGCAGCCGTCAGGGCAAAGGCCTTTATTATGTCCCACTCGGACCCACTTCCCCCCGGAGACACCCCAGACAGGGAAGCGTTGGCCCATGCTCCCCTGACACGAGAGTCAGTTGGCTGAGGTCCAGTCTGTGCTGCCTGTGGGCACAGCGTCCTGCTTCCACTGACCAGAGCTGGCATCAGAGCCCAGGAAGGCACCGGGTGGGGAGACCGCGTGTCCGCAGAACCAGCGGTGGCCCTGTGCCGAGTCTCCGAGTCCTGCTCCCACGCTGGCCGGAATCCAGCTCTGAAGGCACAGCCCCTACCGTGGCGCAGGCACGCGGCTCTCCGGACGCAGCTGCAGAGTAGCAATGCTAGTCCCCACCGTGTCTGGCGGGGCCCGGGCCAGGTGGCTCCTGCCTAGGGCTGCCCCCGATCTCGGGGCTGGGACAGAAGCCAGAGAAAGAATGCAGGTGTGCACATGGACACACATGTACGCACACGTGTACACACACAGGAGGGAGCAGCTGGGAGGTGTCCAGGGTGCAGGGCAGGGAGGGCTGGGGCAGGCCCCGCTCACGTCTGGGCCAAAGAGAGCTCCTCCAGGCCGCCCTTCCCGAGCCGGTACCGGGCCAGGTCCTTCCTGGTCACGAGTCCCACCACCTGCAGGAGCAAAGGGGCTGTGTGCAGGCCGGGCGGGGGTGGGGCTGCGGCGGGGGCGGGGCTGCGGGAGGCCCCTCACCTGATTGAGGTTGTCCACCACCACCAGGTGCCGGAGGCCCAGGGCCCGAAAGAGCTTGAAGACCCTGGGCAGAGACGCCTCCTGTAGGGGAAGCTCAGTCAGCCCAGCCCCGTGCCTCCTCAGGCCCCCCACAGGACTCCCCCCTCCGCACACCTGGGGCACGGTGTAAGGAGAGGGGTTCATAAACTCAGACAGGTCCATGGTGCATTCGCGCTCGTCCTGGGACACGTGGATGGACTGGATGGGCGGGAAGCGCGGGTACGCGTCCCTGAAGTCCTTCAGCCGCAGCCGCCGCCGCATCAGGTTGGACCTCTGCATGAACACCTGTGTGGCGACAGCAGTGACGCCGTGAGCCAGCGGCCCCGTGAACCAGGGAAGGGGTTCCGTGCTCCGGCCGGCACCCACCTTGTGCTTGAGCAGCACGATGAGCTGCGAGCGCAGGATCAGGCCCTCGAGCCGGGCGGGCTGCAGAGGAGAGTCTGTCAGGGCCCTGCGTGTGCACTCGGCAGAGTGGCCACACTCGGGAGAACGTCCCAGCAGCGGGTACCTGGGCGTCACCGGCGGGTGCCACCACGGGGAAGCCGTTGTGGTTGGAGGTTGTGTCACTGAGCACGTCCACAATGACGCCCACCTTCTCCCTCCTGCGCAGACACGTGACTGGCGTGCTCATCACCTCCCTGCGGGACAATGGGTGAGGCCCCATGCCCGTCAGCCCCCTGCGGGACACAGCGAGCCCCTGCCCAGACCCAGGCACCCCTACCTGGCAGTGAGTGCATGGGAAGTGACAGGGGCCTCCCAGTGGAGAAAGGGCACGCTCTGCAGCTGGATGTGCATGTCGTACAGGCCCTGCGGGAGGGGAGTCGGAGTTCACGGGGGTCGCGCAGAATCCCAGGACCACCCGCCCACGCGTAGGCAGAGCCAGCTGACCTCGATGAAGACGTCGCCCACGATCTTGGCGGTCATGAGCACCAGCATGATGGGGAAGCCGTAGGTCACGCTGCTTGTGGCCTCCATCATGATGACCGTCAGGCTCAGCGTCATCCGCACGATCCCACCTGCGGTGCAGCATAGCTGCTGCTGGGGCCCTGGGGCCGCGCTCTCCCTCTCTGCCCCCCGCAGCCCCCTGGCAGGCTGGACTCACCGAGCTGAGCTGCTGCTCCCATCAGGGCGTATTTGCCTGGGTCCGCCCAGATCTGTGGGTGACACAGGATCTGCAGCTGACAGACATGTACCCAGGCACACGCGTACACACATGCACACACACACGTGCACACACAGGCACTAGGCACACAATGTGTGCAGACGTGGCATGAGCAGGTGGACAGACACGTGTGGCACACCCCGTGCACACACAGGTTCCTACACATAGCACATGCACGTACACAAGCTGAGTGGAACAGCAGCGAGGCAGGCGGAAGGGAGAGGGACCCCACAGGAGGGGCATCTCTGGGGTCTCCCTGCACGCCTACTGCCGGCCCCCAGCCCCTTCACATTGTAGGTGGGCCCTCACCGCAGCACCCGTGAGGTAGGACAGGGAGATGCCGAACAGCCGGCCCCAGGCGGCGCCGATGAGCAGGGAGGGGATGAAGACGCCGGCTGACACGGTCAGCCCGTAGGTCCAGCAGGCCAGGAAGAAGTAGACCAGGGTGAAGAGCCCGAGCGTGAGGGGGTTGTAGGAACCTGCGGGGAGGGCCGTGCCCACAGAGGCCTGATACGAGGACCGAGCACACAGCAGCAAAGGGGCAGAGCCTTAAGAGACATCCCGAGCCCCACCTCTACCCACAGGGCCACTGTGCCTGCAGGGGCAGGTACCTGGGGGGTCATGGAAGAGGCTGACCACACTCTTCTCTGGGGTGTTGAAGAAGGCAGCTGCCATCGAGTTGTACTCGCCATCTGCGCAGAAAAGCTGGGGAGTGGACACAACAGGGACAGCCCAAGTCAGGGCCCAGTGCAGGGCGTCGGGGCCGGCACAGGCCCTATTGGGGCACCCCAGCCACCCTGGGCTGGAGAGAGGGCTGAGCACTGGGCCGCTGCAGGCGAGTGGAGGGACGTGTCTGCATGCACGCAGGGCCAGGTCCCACCTGCAGCGGGTAGGACACGGAGCTTCCCCGCAGAGGCTGGCAGTCCCGGGATGAGTAGATGAGCACAAAGGCGACCGTGGCTGTGACGGCGGCCACCAGCATGGCCTCGACCACCTGCAGGCAGGGCCGGTGGATGTACCTGCAGCGAATAAGCAGGCACCAGCGGTTACTGCCTGGACCTCTCTGTGGGCACTCACTCCCTGACCCCCAGGAGGTGCAAGGGGTGGGGCCGGGCCTCATGTGTAGGGAGAGATGGGTCCTGGCATTGGTCCTCGGTTGCGCCACCCCACACGCTTGTCCTACCACACCATCCCAGCTCTTCACCTGATTCGGAACATCGTCAGCCAGTAGTTCAGGGCGTTGAACACGGCTCCAAGCACGCCACCTGGGCATAAGGCACGCGTGAGGCACGGGAGGGTCGTCAGGGTCCATTCGCCCGCCCGCCTGTCCGCCCAAAGGCGTCCAGCCAGTATCTGCTGCTCGGGGTGTGTGCGCCCGTGCCCCAGCCCTGGGCCCTTACCCAGCACGCCCATGGCGATGAAGATGGGGATCTCGTGGATGGTGTACACCATAGTCTGGGAAGAGACGAGCGTGCCTCAGCCCTCTGCTGGACGCAGAGCATCTGTCAGATGCCCACAGGGTCCTGCTCCTCCGCACCTGGTTGGCCCCTGGGGGCGTGGGCCATAGGGCACAAGGGAGGGCACCCCGGGGCACAGCTCAGACCCCCCCATGGCTGCTTGCAAGTTCATAGGTGAGATCTAGTCCACCCCTGCGCAGGGAGAGAAGTAGGGGGTTACCTCGCTGTCGAACCTGCCGAAGTTGATGAGGCCAGGGCTGGAGAGGTCCCACATGTTCCCGTGGTAGATGCTCAGGACGAAGTTCAAGGTGAAGGTAGAGATCATGGATGCAAAGAACTGGGGGCAAGAAACAGTCAAGTGGATTGTGGGGGTACAGAGCAGAGGGGCTGCGGGGTCGCTTGCGCAGGAGGGCAGAGTAGGGGAGAGCTGCAGGGAAGGGCAGAGCTGCAGGGGAGGAGGCAGCGCCAAGTCCCCAAATTCGGGGTTCCCACTGGCACTCACGATTCTCCACGTGAGGAACTGGTTCCAGAAAGAAGCACCTTCCTCCAGACTGAACAGGACCCCGCCTGCAAGAGGCGCAGCGGCCCATGGCATCTACCCACATGGTCTGGCCATGCTCGGGGGCTGGGGAGGCAGGGGGGGCCCTTACCCACAGGGGCGCCAAATGCAGCGGACACTCCAGCGGCAGCTCCCGCCGAGACAAAGTCCCGCTTCTCTGTGTCCCTGCGGAAGTACTCGAAGATCTGGTCCGGGGACAGAGGGGACAGAGTCTGGCTCGGCTCGGGGGGGCGGGGTGCAGACCAAAATCTCAAGCGTCTGTAGAACAGCAGCTGGGAGGCGCGTGGACAGCGCCAGGATAGGAGGAACTCTGGGCTAGAGGGCAGCCGGCAGACGCCAGGCCCAGCTAGTTGTGGGCGGGCACAGCTGCCTGGGCCGGGCCAAGCGCAGGCTTCACAGTCAGGAGTCCAGGGTCCGGCCTCAGCTGGCGGGTCCAGCAGCATTGCCAGGGACGGCCCCACAAAGATACTACTCCAAGAAGCGCCCGCAGCACCGGCTGAGGAGCACAAGGCTGGCGTGGGGACGCGCCCCCTCCCTGAGCCCGGCCAGACTCCCCTCGCCCTCAGGCAGCACGCACCCTGAAATCCCGCTTCAGGGACGTCGATCTCCCCTGCGAGACGCCGGCAGCGATGACAGAGCCAGAGTGGATCATTGGCCCCTCCTGAGGGAGGCATGGGAGCGGCTCAGCGCGGGCAGGACCAGCGGGCGGGTGTGCCGGCCACTCGCGGTTACCTTGCCCACAGCCAGGCCGCCCACCACGGACAGGATCACACCGGACACCTTGATCACCAGAGTCTGGAACACAGGGCATGGCAGGGACCCGCGGGTGGGCACAGTCTCCTGTGCAGAGTCCGCCAAGGGCACCCCCACCAAGCAGCCAGAGCCCATCCACTCGCCCCAAACTCCCTCCACACTGGAAACTGGGAAACCCCAGACCCTGCCCCTAGGAGCCGGAGTGTCACCCGCAGACGCAGGAGCCTCAGGTGGAGGTAACACTGAGGGGAGATGCTGCACAGCGAGCCGGGGGTGCCCTTGCCGGACACATGCGGAGAAGCCGAGAGCCACGCGCGGCCTCACCTTCAGACGCACCACGTGGGGGATTTTCACTCCGTTCAGGAAACACTTGATCTGCGGGATCCCACTCCCTGCGGCCACAGGCTGGAGAAGAGGGCCGGGCTGAGGTGTGTGAGGGACGCGCTGAGGCGGGCTGAGGGGTGTGAGGGCCAGGCTGAGGGAGGCTGAGGCGCACGTGAGGGCCAGGCTGAGGCTGAGTGTGTCAGGGGGAGCCCGGACACCTCGGATTTGCCTTTTCTGCTTGTTTTTGCGGCCACGCTCAGCAGTGCTGGGGTCACCCGTGGAGGTGTGTGGGGACGCGATAGGGCGCAGGGACAGAACCCGGCTCCGCTGTGTGCAAGGCAAGCACTGACAGCTTGTGTCTGGACCGACGCCCGGACAGCTGCCCAGGCTTACCTCTATGAAGGCGACGATGGCGGAGCCAACGAGCACGAAGGCGGAGTTGAGGGCAGCCCAGAGCAGGAGCGAGAAGGACAGACCCCCCTTCTCCGTGAACTTGTCGATGTCTGCACTTGTCAAGGGCTACTCAGGCTTCCTGGATGCCCCACACCACCCCCGGGGTGGCCAAGGACAAGGATACTGCCCTTGACCAGCATGTACTTGAGGCCGGCCAGCTTTTCCACCATGATGTCGATGAAACAGGCCACCAGGCCCGTGAGGACACCGATGACGGCGCAGATGAACCAGCGCTTGATCTCCACTGTCCGGAAGGCCTGCAGGCACCAGAGACGAGTGTGGGGAGCATGGTGAGCACAGGGAGCATAGGCAGCACGGGGAGCACAGGGAGCACAGGGAGCATGGGCAGCGCGGGGAGCACGGGGAGCACAGGGAGCATGGGCAGCGCGGGGAGCACAGGAAGGACAGGGAGCATAGGGAGCACGGAGAGCACAGGGAGCATGGGCAGCGCAGGGAGAACGGGGAGGACAGAGTATGGGGAGGACAGAGTATGGGCAGCGCGGGGAGCACAGGGAGCATGGGCAGCGCGGGGAGCACGGGGAGGACAGAGTATGGGCAGCGCGGGGAGCACAGGGAGCATGGGCAGCGCGGGGAGCACGGGGAGGACAGAGTATGGGCAGCGCGGGGAGCACGGGGAGGACAGGGAGCATGGGCAGTGCGGGGAGCACAGGGAGGACAGGGAGCATGGGCAGCGTGGGGAGCACGAGGAGCACAGGGAGCATAGGGAGCACGGGGAGCACAGGGAGCATGGGCAGCGCGGGGAGCACAGGGAGGACAGGGAGCATGGGCAGCGTGGGGAGCACGAGGAGCACAGGGAGCACGGGGAGCACAGGGAGCATGGGCAGCGCGGGGAGCACGGGGAGGACAGGGAGCATGGGCAGCATGGGGAGCACGAGGAGCACAGGGAGCATAGGGAGCACGGAGAGCATGGGCAGCGCAGGGAGCATGGGGAGGACAGAGAGTATGGGCAGCGCGGGGAGCACAGGGAGCATGGGCAGTGTGGGGAGCACGGGGAGCACAGGGAGCGGAGCGTGGGGAGCATGTGCTCGCCCCACCTACCCCCGCGCATTCAGCCCGCTCACCGCGTGGTTGATGCGTCGCTCCTCCTCCAGGAACAGCTGGTTCTCACTGTTGTCATAGTCCAGACTCTGCGGGTGTGGGGCGAGGGGAGACTCATGGGGAGGCTGGGGAGGGGGGAGAGGAGGGGGGGGAGGGGAGGAGAAGGGGGGCCTACCTCGTACTTGAGCGACAGCAGCTTCTCGTTGTGCGGGATCTCCTTAGGCAGCGGGGACGGGGGCGCCGCCTGTTGGGGGGGGCAGAGCGATGAGGACACCCCACAAGGAGATAGGCCCAAGGTCCCCCCAACCCCTGCCTGCCAGAGCCATCACCGACAGCCCCTGGGCGATGGGCAGTACCCGTGGGGCAGCTGGAGAGCTTGGCGCAGTGACCAGGCGGGGTGCTGGCAGGGGGCGGCCCGCTGACCCCTCCAACATCAGGAAGCAGGCAGGCCCTGGCACCCTCCTGATGGTGGGGCAGCTCCCAGCCCATGGACTCACATCCCTGAGGAGGTGAGTGGGGTCCCAGGCACACTGGTAGCTGCTGGCAGGACAGGTGCTCCCCACGGTGGGATGAGCCAACACAGTAGGCCCTGGGCCCTGGGCCCTGAGCCCCACACCCTCTGCCCTATGCCCTGAGCCCCGCACCCTCTACCCTACGCCCTGTGCCCCGAACCCTCTGCCCTACGTCCTGAGCCCTGCACCCTCTGTCCTACACGGCTCTTTGGACGCAGCTGCAGAGCAGCAATGCTAGTCCCCACCATGTCTAGCGGGGCCCGGGCGAGGACAGCGGCGCCCATGTCTAGAGGGGCGAGGAGAGTGGGGACGCCGGGGGCGGGGCTTGGGCGCCGGGTGGGAGGGGGCGCGGCGGCGTGGGGCGGTGGGGCACCCGGGGATGGATCTCGCGGGTCTCGGGCCGGGCGCTCCTGCCCGCGTCGCCGGCTGGCCCTCGCGCCCAGCTTTGTGTCCCCCTAAGCACAGACCCGGGACTGGCCTGACCCGCCGGACCACGTGAGCGCTGTGTGCTCTGCCCTGTGCCCTGTACCCTGCACCCTCTGCCCTGCTCCATGTCCAGAGTTGGGTGGCAACTCACTGGGTCCAGCAGCTCATCATCCAGCTCCACGGTGCTCATGTGCCCAGCGCAAACAGACCCTGGTGCAGGAGTCTGGGAAGGAGAGAAGCAGCTCAGACTCTGGCCAACGGGTGCCACCTGCTGTGTGGACAACCTAGAGGGGGCCCCAGCCCCCACTGGGCTCCAGGCCGAGCAAGGCGTGCAGGGGTAGCCAGGCCGGCAGGCACAGGGGTCTACAGCGTCCGAGGCCCCTGGCCCCATCGGGGGGGTGGGAGGATGCTGCCCACATGCTCCGCAGTTCTGCTGCATCTGGGAAGAGGACCAGGCTTGGCGAAATCAGAAGAGGGGGATGGACACGCTCTGGCAGTCCCCTACGGGAAGCCCAGGCCACGGTTCAGCGGGCTCTGGTCCATGCCTCCTGATTTCACTCTCTAGACCTGGAAAAGGCTCCCTCCCATCGTGGTCAAGTCCAGCAGTCCAAGGGGTGTCTGTCCCCCAGCAGAAGCCTGGTGCCTTGAGGCATGACAGGGTGGGCATGGCACCAGCTGGCAGATCTGCACAGGAGGAAACGGGCCAGCGTGTCGCCCTCTGTGGCTTCACAAGTCCCTGTAAGTCTGTGACTTTCTGAGACCCATAAACACAGCGAGCGGGGAGCTAGCATCCACACTGGATGTTGTACCATTTGGTGAGGAAGCAACCACAGCCTCAACACGGGAAAAAGACCGTCATGTGCAAATGCACTAAAGACCCCAGAGACAGCAGAGGAGAAGGCGGCCCAGGCGTGCAGACAGACTGCAGGTCAGGGCCCTGGGAGAGCACGGCAGGTGGGCACTGGCCCCGCCCAGGCTCCATCTCTGGCACGCCGAGTCCCGGCAGGAGTGGGCTGCTAGCACCAACGAGCAGTCAGGTGTGGGCTCTAGACGGGGCCCTGAGGGGGCACATACCCACCCACCAGAGCCGAGGCCCCGTCTTTGGCAACCACCCAAACTAGAGAGCAGTCAGTCTCTTACCAAGCCCAGAGCCACAGCACTGAAGGCCACCTCCTGCCCAAGAAGCATGGCACAGGGTAAGGCCAAGTGCTGGTACTCACAGGGCCTTCCTGGGGGAGAGGCGCAGGGGGTGGAAGATGAGACAGGCACACGGGGGGGGGGGGGGGGGGGGGGGGGGAAGGGGGCTGTGGGCTGGCCACACTGGTCACTGGCCTTCACACGGTCCACACTGGGTCCCAAAGACTCAGCACTGCCCAGCTACATCCCACCAGGCCCAAGCTGGGCTCACTACTCCGTACCACAAGTTGGCTGGCTTAAGTCAAGAGTGGAAGTGAGCCCGGATCAGAAGAATTGGCAGGGAATTGGTGGGATCTGGAGGTGCCATTCCGGGTGCCCCCCCCCACCCCGAGATGGGCGGACCGGCTCCTGCAGCTGCCCTGCGCCCCCCACCCCACCGCAGACCGCGGCCGGCCAGGAAAGCGAGTCACACACGGCGGGCAGCCACAGGCCAGCGGAGATTTACGGAACTCTCCGCAGAAAGAGGAAACGCAGCAATCCGGGATAAGCAGCAGTCGGCAGCGGCGCGGCTCAGCGGTCAGCGCTCCCGAGCCCGGCGGCGCATGGCCAGTCCCGGGTCCGCGCTTAGGGGGACACAAAGCCGGGCGCGAGGGCCAGCCGGCGACGCGGCAGGAGCGCCCGGCCCCGGGACCCGCGAGACCCATCCCCGGGTGCCCCACCGCCCCACGCCGCAGCGTCCCGCAGCCGCGCCCCCTCCCACCCGGCGACCGGGCCCCGCCCCCGGCGTCCCCGCTCTCCTCGCCCCCGGCCCCCCGCAACCCTCGCCCCCGCCCACGGCGGCCCCGCCCCCGGCCCCGGCCCGACCTGGCGGGCGGCGGGCCCCGTCCCGTTCAGCAGCGGCGCGTCCTCTCCGGCAGGCTCCGCGGGCCGCCCCGCATTCCTCAGCAGCGGCGCCGCCTCGTCGTCGTCCTGGTCGCGGCCGGACCAAGACACCTTTTTGGAAACGTTGGCCATGCCCGCCGCCTCCGGGACCGGGCCGGGCGGCTCTTGACCGCACCGGACCACGTGACCCGCCGGGGCACGTGACCCGCCGGCGCCGCCGCGGGACCGGCGCGCGGGGCCTTCCGGGAGGCGTGGCCTCGCGAAGGGCCTTCTGGGAGGCGTGTCCTGCGCCCGTCTGCGCACGCGCACTGGCGGGGCCGGGGGCCGCGACCCGGGCTAGACCTTCGGCTGTTACCTTGCGGGTGCGTTGGCCGTGACCGAGCAGCCGGGACTGGCGGCAGCGGCGCCAGGGCCCGGGATCAGCCCCCGCCACGGCTCGGGTTGACTGGGAGGGGCCGAGAGTGCCCGGGGAGAGGGTCTCGCACCGCCGGGAGTTCCCAGCCAAACTGTCTCTAGGGCCCTAGTGCGGATCCCCAGCTTGCTTCGACTCCCGGCACGGAGCCAGGGGTGACTCTTGAGTACTATCGTTAGTGCGACCCCCCAGCTAAAACAGTTGTGCCCAGGGTTTGGAAAGGTCTGCTGAGTCTCCCACAGTTTTCTACCTGTACTGTCTCCATCCTAGGAAAAACATTAACAATCAGGGAACCCCACCTCCCATCACAACTGGGAATAAAACCAAAACTGAACTCGAAGTCACGGGAAGTCGCCCGAGGTCTTCGGTTTCTCCCATGAATACCCTGCAAGCTCTTGGAAGGACGAACGGACACATTCTTCCTAGTGTCAGTGCAATCCTGCACTTGGGGTGCAGCACGGGGGACCCCACTGAGACAGCGACAAGGGAGGCTGGCATGGCCCAGAGCTGAGGAGGGCGAGCTGGGCCCCAGGGCCACTGCCGGCCCCCGGGCTGGAGGAACTGACGTTTCAGGGGTCCCAGTGGCCAGGGCAGGCAGTGCAGGACAGAGGGGGTTGCAGTTTCACAGTCTGTGCTCCCCAGATTGGGTCAAAGGCAGGACATGACTCAAGTGCAGGAGGCTGTGATCCCGTGGGCCCCCAACAGCTGGATGTGCATTCACGAGTCCCTGACAGTTTCCTGAACCCTGTCCCCCCCATCCCCAGCACACTGATGGCCATGCCACTGACAGCACAGCCCACCTGAGCACCTGGGTCCATGTCACCATCAGCTGTGCTAGGACCTACCTGTCCCCCAGGGGTCCTCTGGCCAGGTCCACAGAGGTGGGACCCTCCCTCCTCACCATCACAGCACACCGAGGTTGCCAGGAAGAGCAGCCAGGACGTGACTCAGGGAGCCGGTGTCACATGTTTCCCTGCCACGAGTTCTCCCTGATCTTGACTCATGGACAGGCACAGTGTGAGGCGGGGACTGCACAGTGAGCCTTGCTGTCTGGGTCTCACTGCTGGAGCCCAGTTCTGAGCCTGCTCCACACTTCATGCCCATCTGCGCCAGTTGGATGGGGCGGGGTGCTTGCCTGGCATGCAGCTCACTAGTTCCATCCCCAGCACCCCGTATGATCCCCAGCCTCACCAGGAGTGACCCCTCAATACAGACCAGGAGTAAGAGCTGAGCATTGCCAGGGGTGGCCCCAAAACAAAGGGAGGGGAAAAAAAGATGGAGGGGCTTCTCACTACCCACCATACACACACATATAGTAACAGAGACACACTTACACACTCATTCTCACTACCCACCATACACACACATTTAGTAACAGAGACACACTCACACACTCATTCTCACGTTGACAGTCCCACACACACAGACACTCATATTCACAGACACACACACCCATACATGCCATTTTCCTCTCTGTTCCCCTTGATTTTCCAAGTCCCATATCTGCCTTTGGGCCCTGGCAAATGTGCAGCTGTGATGTGAGTTTACATTGCACCGAGGTTTGGAAACAGACTCTTCTATTGCAATTACATCTAACTGTCCATGCATTTTAATTGTCACAATCCAGAATATTTTTTTGGGGGGGGGGTCCACACTGGCAATTTTTTTTATGTAGGAGTATTTCTATTCATTCAGTTGTTAGTTAGGCTGATTGAATTGGGCATGAACTCCACACCGGCAATTCTTAAGGGTTATTCCCTGCTCTGCACCCAGGAACTACTCCTGGCAGTACTCAGGGAACCATAAGGGTTGTCAGGGATCAAAATCGAGATGTCTGGCCCTGTGCAAGGCAAATGCCGTCCCCTCTGTACTATCACTCCAGCCCCCGGAATTTTGTTTTAATATGAAAAGGACACATGAAGACGCACATTGGCAAGGATGCAGGGACTCAGGTGGTTGGGCAGACACTGGGTATGAGAGCTGGGCAAGCATTTGGGGCCCCGACAAGGCAGGAGGAGAGTCAAGTGTGGCTTGGCCTGGCTGTCACAGCAGAAGGGCTGATGGTCCGCAGACAGCCAAACACCAGAAGTTCCCACACAGCAGCGGCAGCAGGTTGGGAGAGAACGCAGGACTCCCCTGGGGGACGTGGAGCCTCCTGACGCCCCTCCTGGTCCTGCCAACAGCTTGGGGGCCATCCCGGCCAGCCTAAGAAGGCGTCCATGAGATTCCCAGCTCTGCCTGTCAACTGTTCCTGCGTCCCTGCTTCCTTTTGTCTGGTTCTGATGTCCTGTGGAGCTGCTGGCTCTCTCTGGTCCTGCTTTGCTTCAGGGACAGAGTGGGAGGCAGGAACAACTGGCCCATCGTACCCCGCCCTCGAGTGTGGCGTTAGCTAGCGTGAGGATGGCGCCCTCAGGGAGCGCCTTTCCAGTGGCCAACTCTGACACTTCCCCAGGGACCAGCACACGGTCCCAGATGGCCAGGCCAGCCAGGCTCCCCACGAAGGATTCTGCACTGTCGAAGCCACCCCCCACCCTATCCTGCTCCTGGCCAAGCACCAGGGAGCCCCCGGCTGGGATCTCATAGCCCTTGCGGAAGCCAGAGCCAGTGGCCACGAGGCTGCGGTCCACGTGGAGCCAGTAGCTGCCCAGGACAGATGCCCACAGGACACACACGTGGTGCCAGTGGCCATCTAGCAGTGATTGGAGCGGCAGCTCTCGGAAGGCCGGGTCCCCTATGACCAGGTGGATGGAGCCAGGGCGCAGGGAGTCCCGACCGTGCAACACCAGCTTGTTGTCGTTGTCCTCCGTGGCATAGGACAGGAGGGTGCCCAGGCGGCCCAGGGCTGTGCGCACCCAGCTGCAGACAGACAGGGCCCGCAGGCCGGCCTGGAATCCAGGCTGGAGGAAGACGGCGTTCTCCGTGGAGGCAGTAGGGAAGGTGAGCACGGGCCCCATGTTGCAGTCTGGGGGTGAACAGGAGTGAGACGCGTCAGCTCTGTACCCACGTACACTGTACACAGCCCCCTAGCGGCTGTGGCATGACTGGCTGCCCAGCTGGGACTGGTCACTTCCTGCCCACCCCAAACACCAGCAGGGGCTCGCGGAGACGTGGGGTGAGCGCATGTGGGAGGGATATGTGGCACTTACTCTCCTGGTGGCTCTCAGGGGCCCTGGTCCCCTGGCTGCCAGGGCCCCTGGGTGCCTGTGTGTCCTCGAGACGGGCAGTGAAGTCCCGGAGCAGGTGTCCAGGCTCAGGAGGAACCACGGGTGTCTGTCTGCCCTGTGGTGGCTCTGGGCTATTTGGGTGTGCTGGCCACAGCAGGGCAGCCATGCCGGGCCCTGCCCGCTGCAGTGGCAGCTCCAGGGCAGCCAGCCTGGCCCCCTGGCTCTGCACGAGGCGCAGAAGGTGAGCCAGTGCATCCTGCTGGGCCCGCAGATCCCGCGCCAGGCTACTCAGGGCCTCCCTCCGTGCCTCCCGCTCCTGCATCTGCTGACTGTTTCCCCGGGTCAGGGCGGCACCCAGGGCCTGTAGCCGTGCATCCACCCGGCGGCCCCTGCGCTGCATCTTCCTCAGAGAGGCCCTCAGCTGGCCCAGGTCACCGTGCAGGGCGGCCCAGGAGTGGTTGAGTGCCTGGACTGCGGCCTGGCTGTGGAGGCTCAGGCTGCGGAATTGGACATCCATGCTGAGGGCGATGTCCTGGAGCTGGGCCACACTGGCCTCCTGAAGCCTCTGGACCTGTGGCAGGACACATGCTGTGCAGGGCTGACCCCGGAGGGCCCCACCGCACACCGGCATCCCTCCTGTCAGTGGGCAAGCTCCCACCAGCGGGGTCTCTCACTATGCCCATAGTTCTTGGGGTCTGGTTGGAAGTGGACAGGTGGCGAGGTGGGCTTCATTAGCCCTTTGTGGGAAGCCAATGGAGATCACCCATAATGGGACTCAGCCGGTTCTGACCACACAGGCACAGGCTGGTCATGGTGTCCCCGCATATTGCGGGCACCGTCCTCTCCTTCCTGACAACCCCGTAATAGGGGGTGGCCAGAGAGATAGTAGAGGACAAGGCTGGCCTTGCACACAGCTGACCCTGGCTCCATCCCTGGCATCCCACAGAGTCCCCAAGCCTGCCGAGAGTAACCCCCCTGAGCACAGCCAGGTGTGATCCAGAATCCCAGGACAAAACCCCAAACTGAAAACAGCTTCTGGGCATGGGGACGGAAGCTGACCTGTGCCTCCAGCCGATGCAGCCGCTCCAGTAAGGGCCTCCCGCGCCCAGCAGGGCTAGCTTCCTGTGATGGAGCCCTGTGGAAGCAGAGGGAGATGGATGCCAGGGAAAGCAGGAGTGTCCTGCCTGAGCAGATCATTCTTGCGGCCGGGCTGAGGGGCCCCTTGCTTGTCCTGTGGGCTTCTCCCTGCCGCCTGTGGCCTGACCTGACTCTCCAACCCCGTCCAACCCACGGGGCCTGCGGACGCAGGTTCCCAAGGAGACAGGCGTGAAACATGCAAACAGTGTTTCTGGAAAGCGGCTGTGTGGGCCCGGCTGTCAGCGGGCCGGAGCAGTGATGATCTTAGCAGATGCCACGGTCTCTGGTTCCTGCCAGGGGAGCCATGCGGGGGTGGCTGGGGCTGCTTATGGGATAAGAGAAATGGCACAGGAACCCTCCTGAACTTATGTGGGGTGCAGTGCTGTGGAGGCTCCCCAGGAGATAGGGCCTGGTCCTCTTGGGGTGACACGCCCCCACTCGCCTCCTCTGCTTCCAGCCCCTGGGGTTTGGCAACCCCAATTTTGCCATGGCCACACAGCTGCCTGCAGGTAGGAGGAGGGTCAGGGCAGAGTCTTAGGAATCCTGGGATGGACTGGCCTTAAGCCAGCGCGAACAAGAGTTCGGCTTCTTCACCCAGCAATGCACCGCCCCTGCACATGCAACTGCCAGTCGCGGCTCAGCCCACCCTAGACAGGAGACCATTGCCCAGTGCAATGGCAGCCATGGCAAGTGCAGTTAGCTGAGACTACAGGAAGGGCTGCTGGGACGGAGAGACATGAAGGATAGCACAGTGGGGATGGCACTTGTTTTGCACATGGCTGACCCAGGTTCAATCTCCAGCATCTTCTAGGGTCCCTCATGACTGCCAGGGGTGATCCCTGAGCGAAGAGCCAAGTCAGCCCTGAGCATTATACTAGGTGTGGCCCCCAAATGAAAAACAATAATTAAGGACAGCCAATAAATTATGAATTGAGAATAAGGAGAAGCTAGAGCACTTAGCCAGAGTAAGGAGATAATTCAGCAGCAAAGGGCTTGCCTTGTACATGTGAGGCCCTGGGCCCTTCTCTCTCCCTTCCTTCCTCCCTCTGTCTTTTGTGTTTTGGGGTCACACCCAGCAGTGCCCAGGATGACTCCTGGTTCTGCACTCAGGGACCATTCCTGACTGGGCTCCAGGCACTAGACGTTGGAATCCAAGCCGATTGCAAGGCAAGTGCCCTAACATCTGTACTATCACTCTGGCCCTTAGTTCTTCTTCTCTCTTTTTTTTTTTTTAAAGAGGACAACTTGCATTACAAATCATAATGCACAAAAACAGAGGAAGGCTGGGGGTGGGGGATGGTGGGAAGGAAATGCAGGACATTGGTGGTGGGAAATGTACACTGATGGAGGGATGGGTCAGTTGGATCATTGTATGACTGAAATCCAATCATGAACAGCATTGTAATGGTTTATCTCACGGATATTCAATAATAATAAAAACAGTAATGTGGAGTTCATTCCCTTTTCAGTCAATGACTGAATAAATAGAACTCATACATTAAAAAAAAGGGGGGGGGCTGGAGCAGTAGTACAGCGGGTAGGGTATTTGCCTTGCTTGCGGCTGACCCGGGTTCAATTCCCAGCATGCCATATGATCCCCGGAGCACCGCCAGAAGTAACCCTTGTGCATTGCCAGGTGTGACCCCCAAAAATAAGAAAAAAAAAAGAAGACAACTAAGGGCCACACTTGCAGTGTTCAGGGTCTACTCCTGGTGGTACCAGGAATCCCAGTGGGGTCAGCCACATGCCAGGCAAGCATCCTGCCCACTGTGCTCTCTCTAGTTTATTTTCCTTCCTGTTAGATGGACCTGTACACAGGGATGGGATCTGCTTTAACCTATCATGGAATTCAATGAGGTTTATTGTGGGAACAGGGAATCTTAAATTTTCCCACAACTCTGGTCCAGACTAGAAGAGTCGGGGGCGGGGAGGGAGAGGTTCCCAGCGCCTGCAGGCTAAACTGTCCAGTGCACTGTCCGTCAAACCAGGAACCCGAGATGTGACGGGCTTGATCATTTATTTGGGCCGGCCCACACACCCACGTGGACGCGGTCTGCCCCCAGAAACAGGCGGCGCTGGGTCTGGATCACTGCAGCCACTGACTTCCCATCACGGCAAAGGTCCTTCTCCAAGGAAGCCAGGTGGGAGGGAGGGTCCGAACCAGGGATGCACCGCGGTCGGCCCGGCCTGGCCCACGCCCCCACGACTCACCGCTCAGACCACGCCCCCGCCCCGCCCCCGCGGCGCAGCTGTTCCGGCCCCGCCTCCACGGCTCAGCCCGCCCAGCCCCGCCCCCCGACGCAGGCGCACGGCTGCTGCGGGCCCGGCGCCTCTTCCGGTTCCCCGGCTTCCTCGGCCGATTGGTCTGGAGCCGCGCGGTCCCGCCCACTTCGGAGCTTCCGGAAGTCGGCGGCCGCCCCGGCACGACTGTGGCAGACCTGAGCAGTCAATGGCGGTTTTCTAGCCCTGAAGGGGGACCCCCCCATTACCCTGAGCCCCTCCCACCCTGCCCCGCATCCTGCCCCCGCGGCCCACTCCACTGCGAGTCCCGGGGCACCGCGCGCGGCGCCCCACTGACCCCTGCGTGGTGCCGGTCCCGGGGGATCCCGGGCGCTACCTTTCACGGCGCCCCCGGGATGGAGCGGGTCGGCGCCGTCCGCCTGGCCGTCCAGGAGGCCCTGCGTGCCCTCTCCTCTTCTGAGGACGGCGACCACATCGCTAGCACTCTGGGGGCCCTGAAGCGGTACCTGGGCGGGACGGAGTGCCCGGCGCCCCCTGAGGAGCAGCAGGAGTTTGCCCGTGCCCATTTTGCAGCCGTTCTCCGAGGCCTGCTGGGCGCGATGAGGCCGGACTGGCCGCAGCTGAAGCCTGGAGACCAGCTGGAGGGACTGTGTACCAGCTTCTTTTTGGAGGGCCCGGCTAGCCAAGCCTTCCTGGTGCTGATGGAGGGCATTGAGAGCGCCGAGGGGTGAGCTGAGGGGAGCAGCATCTTGGAGGCACAGATCTGAAGGCCCCCTGGTATAACACTGCAATGTGGCGGGGAGGCTGCTGCTTCTTCCTGGGGGGCGCTCCTGGCCCAGGGTGCTGCCCATTACCCAGCTGGCATTGAGTGAGTGCAATGCAGCTAGGGCTGCCCTGGAGGGGGGAGGAGGTGTGTGTGTGCGTGAGCCCTGGCCCTGCAGTCACCCTGTTGTTGCCTCAGCCCCAGCGCTCGTCTGATGAAAACAGCACACCTGCTGGCTGGGTTTCTGGGCGCCGGCCGGCTGGCAGCAGTACTGAAAGAGCAGTGTGGGCAGCAGCTGGAGCCAGCCTTCCCCGTGCTGCAGGAGACACTCCTGGGCCTAGTGGTCAGCTTGCCTGACCGCCTAGCCAACCGGCTGCAGCGTGAGAACTTGCCGGAGTTCTTGCCCCAGAACTACTTCCCGCTGCTGGGAGAGGCGGCTGTGCGGGCCCTGCAGGCTGTCGTGGGCTCCCTGCGAGGTGAGTCCTCCAGGGCACCTGTCACCGCCCTTGATGCTGTGTGGGGGGCCAGCGCCCATGGTCTGGAGCGTCACTGCTGCAGTGGCGAGGAACTTGGTTGTGGCGTTGCAGCCTGTGGTGCCCCGTGCCTTGGACTCTTACCCCCCAGGCTCTGAGCAGCTGGGGAAGGGGGCTACCCTGCCTGACCCTGCGGCCCTCAGCTTTCCACTCCTGTCCAGGTGGCACCCACTGCTCCGTGTCCTTCGTGTCCCAGGCTGTCGGGAAGGCCTGTGTCCTGGGGCGGCACCGTGAGTCTTGGCTCCTGCGTGGGCGGCGGGGGTGGCCGTGGGCTGGCAGGGCAACGTGGCTGACACCGCATCTTTCCCAGGGGAGGTCCTTGGAGTGCTGGTGCCCCAGCTGACGGCGCTCACGGACGGCAGCTGCCTGTGGCAGCGGGTGTGCTGGCGGCTGGCAGAGCAAGTGCCTGACCGTGCTGTGGAGGCCGTGCTGACGGGGCTGGTGGACGCTGCCGCGGGGTGAGCATTTGTGACCTGCTTGGGGGAGGGCCTCAGTGAGCTGGGCCATTTTCCCCTCCCACCTGGTCCCACTGCTCCCATGCCTTCTCATGCTTTTGCACCTGGGCCCTGGGTGGAGTCCGCCCCACCTGGGCTGCCTCACAGAAATGGCTCAGCTTCCTGCCGAGCTTCGGGTGTGAGGCCCCTGACCCCAGCTCAGGAAGTTGGCACAGAGCTGGAGCTTGGACCAGGGTTCGTGACCTTTCCCCCACAGCCCCGACGTCCTGTCTCGACTCTTGGGGAACCTGGTGGTGAAAAGCCCAAAGGCCCGCTTTGTGGTTACTCAGAAACTGCTCCTCCTTCAGTACAGACTCACGGTGAGCAGGGGTGGGGTGTGGGGAGCTGGCCCATGGCAGGGTGCTGCCTGCCCGGCGCCACTGCCTACTGTCCTGTGTCCTTGCAGACAGCTGCACTGCAGAACCTGCTGGGGTACCTTGCCATGGACAGCCAGCGACGGCTGCTCCTGGTCCAGGTGAGCACAATCCCAGGAGCTGCGGGGGGGAGGGAGGAGCAGGCGAATATCTGATGGCGGTGCTCCCTTAGGCCCTCAAGGACCTCCTGGAGACTTGGGGCAGCAGCAGTGCCATCCGCCACACGCCCCTGGCCCAGCAGCGCTACGTCAGCAAGGCCTTGCTCCTGTGCCTGCTGCAGCTGCAGGAGGGGGAGCTCAGCCTTGACCGCGAAGGTGAGCAGGGCTGCTGTGGCGCAGTCCTTCAGCCCCGGCCCCCGTGGGGCCCTCTTGCAATCTCCTGTCCTTGCAGAGCTGATGGCCAGCCTGATGGCAGGTGTGAAGTGCCGCCTGGACAGCAGCCTCCCTGCCGTGCGCCGCCTGGGCATGGTTGTGGCTGAGGTAGCCAGTGCCCGGATCCACCCCGAGGGCCCACCCCTGAAGTTCCAGGTGGGTGGGGAGGTGAGGGGGCAGCATGCCCAGCTGCCAGTGTGGCTCTTAACGGGGTCATTGCCTGCATGTGGTGGGGGTGTGACCCTGGCATCTCTGCATTTTCAGTACGAGGAGGACGAGCTCAGCCGGGAGCTACTGGCCTTGGTAGTGCCCGGGCCAGCCAGTGACGGCCCCACAGAGACTGGGTGAGGCACCACTGCCCCCGCCCGGTCCCTGCTCCACATACTCATTCTCCCCCACCTGTGGCAAGCCTGCCAGAACCTCCCTCTCGCTCCTTCCCAGAAGTCCTGCTGCCGAGACTGCCACGGATGTGGGCGAGGATCGGGTGCCCCCAGCCTCTGCCCGGGGCTCTGACTCAGAGCTGGACAGGTGGGTGCTGGGCCCCTGGTGGCAGGAGTGAGGGCCAGCCCCTTGCCCCGGATGACAGCTGGCCCCTTTGACCCCAGTGATGACGAGTTCGCTCCCTACGACATGTCGGGGGATGGAGACCTGAGGAGCGGCAAGGCACCCCTGTACGTGCGCGACTGCATAGAAGGTGGGTCTGCGCGCAGATGGGGAAGCGGCTATGGCCCCAACCTGGCCAGCGGCTGTGGTCCCAACCTGACTGTGGCCCCAGTGCTGGCCCTGACGAGTCGCTCCTGTAGCCTTGACCACATCTGAGGACTGTGAGCGCTGGGAGGCAGCCCTGCGGGCGCTGCATGGACTCCTTACCCGGAACCCGGCTGCAGCCCGAGAGGTGAGTGTGGGTGCGGGGGGAGGTGCATGCCAGCTGACCCCCCTGGCTAACGGCTGCATGCAGGTGAGCGTGGAGCTGGCCACGGTGCTCCTGCACCTGGAGGAGAAGACGAGTGTGGCGGGCTTCGAGGGTCTGCGCCAGCGGGCCTTGGTGGCCGTGACGGTGGCGGACCCGGCGCGGGTGAGTCCTGAGCGGGGCCTGTCCCACTGGCCAGGGCTGTTGTGAGCAAGGTCCCAGCACCCCTCTTCTGCACAGGTGGCTGAGTATCTGACCACGCAGTTCTACGCACTCAACTATAGCCTTCGGCAGCGCATGGATATCCTGGATGTGAGTGCCTGGCTGTCCCTCGGGCATGGTCCATTCTCCACTATTGCTCATGCCACTTCATGGTCACTGCAACTTTCTGGTCCTGCCTGGGAGTGGCGCTGGGCCAGGTGGGGGTGGGGGCCCATATTTCCAGGGTCAGTGTCCATGGGAAGCTGAGAACCTTCTGGAGTCAGTGGTGGTGTCACCCCAACACCTGCTGAGCCCCAGCTCCGTCTGACCAGCCTTGAGTTTCCTGGCTGTGCCTGGCACTGCCCGACTGTCTCCCCTTCCATCACCATGAAGCAAGAGCCCTCAGAACCAGGGGTCCATTCCCTGGGGTCTCCGCCGCTGCCCTGGGAGCTATGGCCCAATGCTGTCTTCCCCCAGGTACTGACACTGGCGGCCCAGGAGCTGTCTCGGCCCGGGCGCCCCAGGGAGGCCCCACTGAGCTGCCCCCAGACCCCTGTGGCCCTGGCCCCAGCCTGGCGAGCAGTGGTGGATGAGCGTGTCCGAAGGAAGACCCGGCGGCTGTCCCAGGTTAGCAGGACTGGGCAGTGTGGTCTGCCTGCCGCTGAGGCCAAGACGGTCTCTGTGCCCTGGGTATTTGGCCAGTGAGTCGGGAGGGGCTGTGCCTGAATGCTGTCCACTTGGCAGGGCCCCACCCGGCACATCCCGGCCGTCGCCACCCCCAATCACTTCGGCCCGGTGGCCGGCTGCTTCTTCTTCCCCCTCATCCAGCGTTTTGACAGGTCAGCTGGGATTTGGGGGGGCCAGGATCCAGGCTTTGGTGGGTCTCAGGCAGGGGCTGCTGAGGAGACTGAGGACTCCTGCCTGAGGCGCCCCCCGCCCCGACCCTCTCCTGGCTCTGTTGCAGGCCCCTGGTGACCTTCGACCTCCTGGGGGATGACAGCTTGGTTCTCGGGCGGCTGGTTCACACCCTGGGGACCCTCATGTACCTGTCGGTGAACACAGCGGTGGGTGGACAGGGCTGTGGGCGGCGGGCAGGGGCAGGGCGGGGGGCCAGCTCTGAGCCATGCTGTTGCAGGCTGCCGCGGCCATGGGTAAGGTGCTGCTGGAGCTCGTGTGGGCACTGCGCTTCCACAGTGACACGTGAGTGTGGGCTGGCACCGCGGGGGCTCCCTGGGGCCCTCCTGGCCGGGCCTCTGGGCTCAACTGTTCCCATCCGCAGCTACGTGCGCCGGGGGCTGCTGTCCTCCGTCTCCTCGGTGCTTCTGAGCGTGCCTGCCGAGCGCCTTCTGGGGGACCTTCCTGAGGAGCTGCTGGAGGCTGGGGCCTGGTTGGCAGGTGAGCGGCCCCGCGCCCGCTGCACCCCCACTGCCCTCCTTTCTCAGGGCCCCCAGGACCTTGGCCAGCCTGCCCTTGCCCAGTGGGCTGGAGGCACTGCATCACCCTGACTGCACCTGGACGGGATCCTTGCTGGGGGGTTATCGTGGGGCGGGGGACACTGGCCGCTTAGTCTCAAGTTCGTCCCTTGCTTCTTCTGGCAGATGTGGCCAAGCAGGACCCGGATGAGGACTGCAGGCTGCTGGCCACAAAGGCACTGCTGCTTCTGCAGAAACTACAGGACAAGCTGCCCGAACTGTGGGCGTGAGGCTGCTCTGCCTTGCCCCCGCCCGAGTGAGATTAAAGGACGGCTGTGCTGCCAGCTGTGCGCAGGGAGGGAGACCTCTGAGATGTGCTTTATTGGGGCACACGCCTATGGGCTGGGAGCAGGTGGGGGCCCGTGTTGCCTCCCTCTCCCTCGTATCCCTGCTCTGCTAACCGTGTCCTCACGCCCGTGGGTCCAGAAAGGCACTGGCTGCCGGCAGGTCTTACCTCGCTTGGGCTCGGGGCCAGAGTGGAGGTGTTTGTGCCTGCGGCCCCTCTGACAAGCCTGTCTCTCAACAGCAAAGTTCACCCCTGGCCACTACAGCTCCTGGGAAGCTCTGGCTTCAGGGGCCACTGTCCACCTCCTCCAGCACCTCCTCGGCCATCTCCCTGGGGTCCTCCATGCTGTTGTGGCGGACACGCTCGCCTGGGGTGCGGGCCAGTGGGAGGCCGAGGCCCAGGTGGATGGCGTCCACGGTGCGCTGGCTCACGTAGTAGGGAATATTGGCGGCAGGGAGCCGCTTCCGCATCTCCTCCAGGTACCTGGAGGCCTGAGTGGGTGGACAGGGTGCCAGCGGTCAGGGTCACGGGGTGGGAGGAGCTGTGGGTGCTCCCAGCTGCCTTATGGGCCGGGTCCCTGCACGCAGCCCACAGCAGGGCACCCAGAGCAGCAGCACGTGGCAAGGACTGGGCTGCAAAGGCTCTTCTGGAAGGGAAGAGCCCTCAGTCAGCTAAGCAAGGCCCCCATGCTGCCTCTTCACCGGGGAGGCCGTCTGAGTGGCAGGTGGATGTGGGGAGGCCGCACAGAGCCTGGGAACCATGGCAAGGGCTGTCTGGCTGGGACAGGAAGGAGGAGCCTGCTGGCGGGTGCCCTCCCTGCAGGGCTCACCGTCTGGAGGTCGCCTCCCTGCAGGCAGTGCTCCACCAGGAAGCCGTACACGTCGCCCGCGCGGACGCTGCCGTCTAGCTCTGGCTCCTCCAGCAGCAGCTCGCACTGCCGGGCCGCCTCCTTGGGGTCTTCCGCGTACATCCTGTGGGCGGGATGAGCAGAGCCACGTGGTCAGCAAGGGCAACGGGCAGGGCGTAGGCCTTGATGTGGCTGGTCTGGGCTTGGTCCCCAACATCCCACAGGGTTCCTGGAGCCCACGGCGAGTGACTCCCGACAGCAGAGTCAGGAATAAGTCTGAGCACTGCTGGGTGTGGCCACAGAATGCCTGCTGAATGGGGATAGCGCCGCCCAATGGGCAGCCAGGGCCACTCCCGGGACGGTCGGGGTCTGAAGGACGCTGGAGCTGTGGAAGGTGGAGGCTCAGGTCCATCCAGGCTGCTGTAAGAGTGCAGCGCTGGGTGCCTGAGAGCTGCCCAGAGACGGAAGGGCAGGTCCACGCGGAGGCCCCTGGACTCGGGGAGGCCACCCTGAGCACACCTGCGGGCCTGGAGGAAGCGCTTCACCAGTGTCATCTTGTTCTGCAGCTGCGCCAGCTTAGCCTCCTGGTCCAGGGGGCTCTTGACCTTGGACATGGACATGCACTTGTAGGCCTCAGTGAGCGCCCCGTGTGCCTTGTCGTAGTTCTGGTACTCGTCGATCTCCACCTGCACGACAGTTGTCAGGAGCCTGCAACCTGCAGCCCCCCCACCCCGCCCCCACAGTGGTACCTGTGCACAGGCATCGTAGAAGCCAGCCAGTAGGTCCAGGGCACGGCCCTTGGTGTAGAAGCTGATAATGTTTTTCATGATCTCCGGTTCCTTGCGCCAGTCCAGTGACTGCAGGTAGTTGGCGGCCATGATGTAGATCTCCTTCTGCCGCGAGACGCCCGCAAAGAACACAATCTTCTCCGTATCCCCAGACTTGAGCAGTGCCCGCATGGCCTGGACACAGGGGAGGTCGGGGGTCAGTGGTGCCACCGGTGAGGGCAGGGGCAGTCCTGGACCCCGGCCTCGCACCTTCAGTTTGTTCCCGGCCTGTGTGTACTTCTTGGTGGCCAGGTGGTAGCTACCCTGGCGCATGCAGCAGTCGGCAATCTGCTCCAGCAGTTCACGCCGCACCGAGTCTGGCATGTCCCGGGACTCCTTGGGCACCGTCATCTTCTCGGCCATCTCCTCGGTGATGGTCATGTTCTGCTCCAGGCACAGCTGCAGGGCCTCATGGTACTGCCAAGGCCACCGCGGGGGCTGTGACAGCTGCCACACAGCACAGCCCTTCATGCCAGGGGCCAGAATGCTGCTCAGTCTGCTTATGGGAGAAGCCGCGTGCACACGCCTGTGTGCATGCACGTGTGTGCATGTGTGAGTGCACGTGTGTGTGGACACAAGACATATCTTTTCTGTTTGGTTGTGAGTTTTGTGCAACCACAGCCTGACCTTCCGCCTTCACTAACCTGAGCGTATAGGATGGGCTCGTGAGTTCTGGCCTGCGTGTTTCTCATGACCAGGCTAAGGCTTTCACATCTGACAACAGGTCTCACTTATCATTTTGGGGCCTCCGGAGTCGTGCCCAGGAGACTGGGGACTCTGCCAGGCCATGGGATTGATGTGAGCCCCCAAGGGCTGGGCCGCTGCGGCCCTGCGGGGTCACCCCAGGACAGACCTGGGCCCACTGTCTGCCAAACTGCACAACAGCCCTGGGCATTCTGACCAGGCCCTTGTGAATGCATGGTGCTGGGGTTAAATTGTGCCTTACACGTGGCTGGCAATGCAGTCTCCTGGACTGAGCACCTCTGGTGTGACCCCCAGTAAGTGAAGCGGAATTTCTGAGAGGTCCTTTCATCGCTGGGGACACAGTGGGCGGCACCCTGTCTGGTGGGAGCTATGCGCATCCTGGGCATCTTCCGCCACTTGGAGAATCCTCACTCGCCGAAGCTTAGGGGTAACTCCTGCCTCTGCACTTAGGGATTGGGGGACCATATGGGATGTTGGGGATCAAACCTGGGCAAGTGCTCTCCCTGCTGTACTATGGCTCAGGCCCTAGGGGTCTGACTTTGAAGGAAACAAGCTGTTTCCACTGCTAGTTGGGTGGTGTGTCTCCTGCAGCTCTGATGCATCTCTCCTTCTGGGCAGCCTTGGGTGGACTCTTCCTGGCTCTCCCAACCCCCACTCTGAACTGTGGCACCCCCTTCTCTGCCTGAGAGCCCAGCGGCTGCTGCCACTGCCCGAGCACACAGTCCCCGCCTGGTGGGTGCTGGGTGGCAACAGGGGTTGAGGGCAGACAGCACACTCTGGGCCTGCTGCCCCACATCCCCACCCCCACTCCCGGGGCCCCTGGGCCTATCCTGACCTTCTTGGCAGCCAGCAGCAGCCCCACAGCCTTCTCGTACTGGCTGTGCTCCAGGAAGAAGTCGGAGCATCGGGCCAGGAGGGCGGGGTCTGAATTCTCATCCAGATCCTCTGCGATGAGCTGCAGGGCCCCAAGCTGCTGTGAGGCGAAGGCCAGCTCCAGGGCCTTGGAGAAGTGACCAGCCTGTGGGTGGCACAGAGCTGAGCCATAGGGGGCGCGGGTCGGGGGTATGAGGGGAGGGGGCGGGGGGTTCCAGCCGCAGTCCCACCTTGTGGTATAGCATCACGGCCCTGTCCAGTTGCTTGTCCTTCTCCTCATAGTAACGGGCGGCCTCGATCATGTCCTCCGGGGAGCTGAGCAGGGCCAGGTTCATGAGCTGGTCATCCAGGCCATTCTCCTTGCACAGGCGGATGGCGTTGTTGAAGGCCTGCGCCCTCGTGTAGAAGTGCACGGCCTGCCGCACTTCCTCCTGGCTCTCATACTGGCGGGCCAGGTGGTATGAGGCAGCGCAGTTCCCCGTCTTATTGGCGATCTCGGCTGCCTGGAGAGAAGCAGAGGCCGTGCGCTGGCACCCAGTCGCAGGGCCCACGCAGGCACCCCCGTGCCATGCTCACCTTCTGGATGTCACCCTGGAAACAGTAGATGCGGACCAGGGAGAAGTGATCCTGGGCCAGCCCGTAGTAGTGCAGTGCAGCCTCCATCTCCGCCCGGCTCTCCAGGTACTGCGCCCACCACCGCCACAGGGCCCTGTGGGTGCCACGAGGGGTGGTCAGGGGACAGCGGGCCCCAGGGACGACCCCGAACACCTGCCTGGGCACCCGCACTTGTCCTTCATCTTGTCGATGTAGAGCGCCAGGGCTTGCAGGTCCTCCGAAAGCATCCGGGGCACCTCGAAGCGGTGGGTGTCGGACTTCTCGTAGCTGCGGAAAACCGGGGCCCCACCTGTGTCTCACGGAGGGTGCTATGGACAGGTGGGGTGCCAGCCAAGGCCCCCCGCAAGCCCTCCCGGGCCCCACACTCACTAGCTGAGCGCCAGGTTGCAGTCGGCGCTGGCCTCCAGGTGCTGTGCGTAGCTGTAGTAGGTGGTTCGCAGGTGCACGCGGTCCCGCAGCTCAGCCACCTCCACCGCCTTCTGCCACTGCCCGGACGCCTGGTACAGCTGGTTGAGCAGGTCGTAGCGCTGGCACTTCTTGTACAACTGCTCTGCGTCTTCCTGCTCCAGACACAGCCCCAGTGCAGAGGAAGGGCGAGGGTCTGTCTGGCAAGTCACACTCCCCCAAGAGTCCCCTCCCGGGCCACAGCCACCCACAGTTACTGCCTCCCGGGGGGGCCCCCCTCTGAGGCCCATGTCCCTGTACTGCCCAGCCCTGACTCAGGCCCACTCACCAGCATGCCCAGTTGGATGGCAAGTGTGGCCACTTGGGCCTCCAGCTCTGGCTCATGCTCTGCCTCACGCAGTGCTCGGGCGCCACGGGCGTGCCCCATGTTCCCCAGGCACACCTTGGCCACGTCCAGTCGCTTGGTCTTCACGCACATGCGCGCCATGTTCTCCCATACAGCCTCGCTGTGGGGACAAGCACTTGTCAGCCTCCTGCAGGCTTCCAGGGCCAGGGCCTGTCCAGGGAGACAGGTGACCCCTGCAGATGCACGAGGGAGGGCCTGGTGGATCTGACCTTGCGCTCTGGGCCACAGATGTGGGCCTCAGGGCAGAAGCCAGAAGCAACATAGCACCTGTGTGCGTGTGCATGCACACGTGTGTCACGATGCCTGTGTGTGCAATGCACTGTGGGAAAGGCCTGGGACGGGACTTCAGACTCTCAAGCTGGGCTGCTCTGTGGGAAAGGCCTGGGACGGGACTTCAGACTCTCAAGCTGGGCTGTGAACAGGGCCCTGGGCTCTGTTCTCTACATTCCCCCCGCCCTCGGCTCTGCAGTGTGTCTGGAACCCAGCAGGGGACACACAGACCTGCCACTTGGCCACACTCAGTCCCAGAGGGCAGCTGTGAACCCCCCCTCCCCCGGCAGCTGTGCTCAGCTCACGTCCCGCCCATCTCCAGTAAGGACCTGGGGGTCAGACAGCTGACACTGATTCCAAGAAGTAAACAGCCGAGTCCGGGGAACTTCCTGTTGTCCCTGCCAGCCAGGACAGCATCTGCATTTCATCAGGGAGGGCTCCCAGGCCCCTCCCCAGCAGAAAGGGCGGCTGGGCCATGCAGGATGTGCGCAGACCTCCTGCCACCCCAATCCCCAGTTCTCCCAGCTGAGCTCCCAAGTTGGAAACTGGGGGCACCTATCCTGGGGGCCCTGGGGGCCACTGAGGCTGTAGCAGAAGAACCCCTAGCTGGTCACTAGAGTCTGAAAATGAGGCAAACTCCCTCAGGGTGGTCTTGAACAAGGGGTTACTTGCTCTTGTCACAGAAGATATTTGGGGAACCATCCGAGGAATGTCACACCCCCTATCAGGCCGTCTGCCACACAGTGTGGTGAGGGAGCTACTGGAGTCCCGGCCAGTCCCTGGACCATAAGTGCCTCACCCCGAGTCATGCCACATGGAAGCTGGGGGAGTGGGCAGGAAATGGAGAGAGGGCCCTCCTAAGAGCCCCAAGGGCCCGGCTCCACTGCCCTGGGCACCAACGTGGTCTGCTGCCATGGGACCCAAAGGCCAGGCACATGGCCCAGAGTGCATGGTTGGGGCGGAGGGGGCAGGGTGGGGATGGAGCAGGCAGCCTCTGTCCTGGTTGCAGGCTCCTCCTACCCGTGGGGGTGTACCTGGTGCTGGGGGCTACAGTCGCAGGAGAGTTCAGGACCCTACCCCCAATCTGTCTATTTACTCCTTCCTGCCCCTCTGCCCCGCCCCCCAAGCCTGTAGCTGCAGGCTGGGGTGTGTCCAGAGGAACACAGGCCCTATAGCAAGTCTGTCTGTAGGCGCAGAAGGCCACTCTGCAAACCCGACAGCCTGCAGCAGGCCTGGCCTCTGGGCAGCTGTGCGGCTTCAGCTGGCAGCATCCCTGGAATTTCCCGTGTGTATGTTGTGTTGTGCGGCTGTGGTTCCCAGGGAGGCTGGGCTGGGGCTCCTGGTGGCCAGCTTCCTGGGATGATCGTCCCAGGGAGTCATCGTGGGGACGTTCAGTGCCGGACGTGGAAGGCAGGCAGGCGGGGGTCCAGGCTGGCTGCGGGGCGCTGGGCTCCAGCCAGGCTTCGCTGCAGGAGAGGAAGCTGGGGAGGGCGAGGAGGAGGGGCGTGCGGGCAGAGCAGCCCCCCTTCCTTTCCTTGCAGGAAGCACGTCCTGTCAGTGTCTGCCTGCCATTTGCTGCAGCTGGCTACGCCCTCCAGCTCACCAAAAACAGCCTCGAAAACAACCATTTCCTCTCCTCTCCGAAGAGGAGAGCGGGGAGCTGGTGCACACGCTTCCAGGGGCCGGCCAGGCGCTGTTCTCTGCACACGTCTGCAGCTCTGTGCCGAGCTGCCTGCTGTGGCCCCACGGGGAGACGCGTCACTCAGACCCCAGAGGGGAGAAGTGAACCTGCACGCCCGGGGCCTCAGGTGCCAGGAAGACGGCGCCGCTGGGCTCCTGTGGCCCCACTTCCTTTCGGGATGGGCCTGGCCATGGCTGTGGCCGTGCTGGCCCCACTCCAGGTGCCACAGGGCGGGGAGCGGGGCCCGTGAGGGGCGCCTGCTTGCACCCAAGCCCCCGAGCCCCCGAGGATGAGCGCCGATGTCCTCTAGCCCGTTGGGTGGCAGCGGCCGCGCAGCACTGGGACGTGCGCAGCCATCGGTGATGACGGTCCAGAAAGTGGTGGCGACGGCCGTGCTCGTGGCCCTCGTCTCCCTCGTCCTCAACAACGTGGCGGCCTTCACACCCGACTGGGTGTACCAGACGCTGGAGGATGGACGCAGGCGCAGCGTGGGGCTGTGGCGCGCCTGCTGGCTGGCCGACAGGGGCCGTGGGGCCCCCCCGACTGCCGGCGCCCGACCCCCTGGGCAGGACACTCGGGACTGTGAGGCCGTGGGCTGGGGCTCCGAGTCAGCTGGCTTCCAGGAGTCGCGTGGCACCGTCAAACGTGAGTCTTGGCTGGGGTGGGGCATGGCCTGTGTCTCCTTAGGCACACATGTGGAATGTGAAGTCCCAACACTGCCGCGGGGGCGGGCGAGGGCAGAGGAGAGGTTTGGTGATAGCAACCCTGACCCGGGTGCTGTGTCTACACTTGTGGTGGCCAACTGGATTTGGAAAGGGGGGTCTGGCCATGTGGGAGGGAGGGTCATGGCTGTGGGCCACTGTGCCATCTGAGGGCCCGAGGCCTAAGTTGCCAGATGGCCCCATACTGCCAAGGTGCCCCAGCCCCTGGGTCTGTCTGAATGACGTGGTGGGCTGCCTAGTGGAGAGCTGCTTCCAGGGAGCCGCCAAATCTCCCCACGGTGCCAGAGTCTCAGCCCCACTCAGTGCCCAGTGCCACCCTTCATCTCTGCCCACGACAGTCCCTTGCTGAGGCCTGGCTGCTCTGGGCCGGGGGACACTAAGCTCCAGGACACACTTTGCTGGGGATACTCCTGTGCTCTTCCCCCTCAGCTCCCTGAGCAGGCAGGACATCGCACTCCACTGCAACAGTGCTCCTCAGAGCACCAAACCTCTGCTTATAACTGGGTAGATATCACGAAAACTTCCTGCAAGTATGAGAGGGTTGTGAGGACATGAGCGAATGGGTGGCCACTGTGCTGTGCTCAGCATCACGTGAGGATGGGACCCAAGGGACGGCACCCACAGAACAGTATCCACAGGACAACTTCCATAGGATGACACTCACAGAACGTGCCACAGAACAGCAATCAAGGGACAGTGCCATGAACAACACTCACAGGACAGCACCAATGAAATGACAATCATGGGACAGTGCCACAAAACGGCACCCACAGAACAGCGATCACGGAACAGCACACAGGACAACATCCATGGGACAGCACCCATGGAACAACAGCCATAGAACAGCACCGACAAACATACATGGGACAGCACCCACAGCATGACATCCACGGTGCCACGGAACAGCATCCACGGGATAGCAACAATGGAATGAGACCAATGGGATGGCGCCATGCAATGAGACAGTGCCATGAAATAGCATCCATGGGATATCCATAGAACAGCATCACGCAATGAGGCAGTGCCATGAAGTAGCGTCCTCGGGATAATGTCCACAGGACAGTCCCCATGGAATGGCGTCCTTTGGGATGTGGTTATATCATCTGAGGAAAAAAGAGCATACGCCAACCCTGGCTGCTACTGCTGAATGGGCACTTGGACTGGCACCTTCAGGCCGGCCCAGCCTGTGGGCTCTCTGTTGCATGCCAACTCTCCACCTAGAAGCACTGGAGAGCAGCAACATGGCTCTTGCCACCACCCTACTCTGGGCCTGAGAAGCACTTCCAAAGATCTGGGTCACTACTGGGATATGACTCAGCGTGGTTTAACCTTACACCATTAGCCCTGCAACTGATCCATAGCACCCACGAAAGAAAGCCTGAGGACGGGGGGCAGGATGCTGGGCCCAAAGCACTTCCTGCCTTGTGAGGAGGTGGGAAATTTAGGGACTGACCCTGGGACGTCACGAGAGTTGGGCTTGGGCATATGTTCCCAGTCCCATTTGTATGCTCCACCTCCCCAGCTTCCAGGAACAGGCATTGGTGGTCACGTGGTACCCACTGGGGCTCCTGTCCTGTGTCTCATGGAAAAGGCAGGAGACATTCAACCGTTTGCCTCACACAGGTGGCAGAGCCAAAGATGTAGTGCAGAGACCGCATAGGTCATGCTCGGTGGCCAGGGGGAGGGTGCATCTGAGGCATGTCTGGGGTGCCACAGCCCAGAGCTGGTGCTCAGTACCTGGGAGAGGCCAGGCCATAGCTCTGCCAGCTGCCATATCAAGGATGTGCGTCCTGGTGCTCCCACCGGCCCCCCTCTCCAACTCTGAGCTGCAGCTTGTGGAAGGTACAAGACCAGTAGCCTTCCAAGTTGCTGGGCATTTGGGTGCCTTGTGGAGACCACCTGAACCAGCAACCCCGGCTACAGCAAGGGTGCCAATGACTCTGGACTGGAATGAGCCCGAGGTCCCCATGTGCCTACCAACATCCTGCAGCCAGTCTAGTGGCTCTTGCAGCTCCCCCGAACATCCTCTGCGGCAGCTGGGGCCAAGCACCACTCTGCTCCCCACGGGTAGCCCCTGCTCTTTGGGGCCCAGGTTGCAGGTGTGTGTAAGGTCTCTGCAGACAGCAAGTCGAGCACGTGGCTTTGGCTGTGCGACCTGCTAGGACTCAGGAAATGAGGATGACTGCCAGCGTCCCAGAGGCCCTCCTGCTGCGGGCAGTTGTGTGCCTGTGGACCGCACACACCCGGGAACTGCCTAGGCTGGCATGCGGGAAGGCCTAGGATCTGGATGGTGAGACCCCTCAGTCTTGGGGTGCAAGGGGGCAACACAACCCTGCCCACTGCTGGACATGCCCCCTACTCAGGGTCCAGGCCGGAGGTCTCTACCTCATTCTGCCAGTGGTGCTGCTGGAGTCTAAAGGAACTCAGCGCAGAGCCTGAAGAACAGCAGTGAGGAAGGCGGTCGCCTTGCACCTGGCAGCCCAGGGTCGATCTCCGGCATCCCTTATGCCCCCCTGAGCCTCACTGAGTGTGGCCCCAAACAAAATGAAAAAGCACCCCAGAGCAGAAAGATCCCTGCATGGTTTCTAGAAGAACCCGTAAAAGCCAGTGCCACCCCCCCCCCCCCCCCCGTGAAGCAGCTAGAAACCTGAGGGAGCTCAGACGGGGCGCAGGACCCTTCATGGTAGGTGTGATCTGGTGGTGTTGCTAAGGGCACGGGGGAGCACAGGAGCTGGGGTTGCACAAGGGCCAGTGCGAGGTGTCCAGTGCTGACCACCACTGCCCTCTTCTCCCTTGGCCCACAGTGCAGTTCGACATGATGCGCGCCTGCAACCTGGTGGCTACGGCGGCGCTAGCCGCAGGCCAGCTCACCTTCGTCCTGGGGCTTACCGGCCTGTCCCTGATGTCACCTGAGTCCCAGTGCTGGGAGGAGGCCATGGCTGCAGCCTTCCAGCTGGCGAGTAAGTAGCCTGTGCTGAATCTGTGTCCGCCACCTCTCCAGGGCAACCTGTATGCTGGTCACCAGGGAGCAGCAGGCTGGGGTATGCAACATGTCCTAGTCTGCAGAGGAAGGGGCTGGAGGGCTTGGGGAAGCTCCTGGACAGTGGCAGAGGCCCACAGGGCTGGGCAGAGACCCAACAACATGGGGACAGAGGCTGTGACAGCACCCCTGTGCTGATACATGGTCCTGGCCTGTCCCTTTGGGTGGTGGACAGAAGCCCCAGGCTGGAAGCACATGCCTGTCTACCGTTCTGCATTGCGGGGTTATCCCCCCACCCCACTTTGGGATTCTAAGGTGGTCACGCCCTCCAGTGTCGAGCAAGGACATGGGGCTGGTTGGTTTCTGGGCACTGCACCTGGGTTTTAGGTCTCCATCTGGAATGAGCTTGGGCGACCTTCCCAGGTGCAGCGAAGACCAACTGTCCTGCTAGCCTCTCCCTGAGGGCCACAGAGCACCCATGCCCCCTGTGCACACTGCTAGGGGTCAGGCTCCCAGAACGCTGGTGGCCACACCCCATGTCCGACCCATGGCCCCCACAGGGCTGTGTTGCCCAGAAAGGAAATGCATCTCGGCCCTGTTTAGACGTGCTCCATTGACAAACAGTCCCGAAGTGGCGCTGCGCGTTCTCCGGGCCCTGCTAATTTTAGACAGGCCTTTCCTGTGCCCCGGGCGCTCGGCAGCCGCAGAGACAGGAGGGCGCCAGGAAATCCTGCCCCAGCCAGAGGAAGGGCCCGAGTCACCTGTGATGCAAGTGCGGGCGGGGACAAGGTGCTGGGGTGGGAGGAAGGGGACAGGCTGGGAATCTGCCCCTGCACCTGTGCCTCCAGCCCAAGACCCCAGAGCAGCTCCATGCCCCTTCGTCCCACCTCAGTTGCTGTCCATCTCAACCTGGGTCGCATTTTTCCCCTTCTGGGGGTCCCTACACCCCCTTGCCTGGGGAAGAGCCTTACTTGTCTTGGGATCAGAATCCTTTGAGGGCTTGGCTTAGGGGCCCCGTGGTGGGGGACTGCTGGGTGGCCGCTCCTCTGGACTGCCACAGGCTGGCTCCTTGGCTGTCCCGTGCTTCCCCAGCTGCCCTCCTGAGCCCCCAGTCCATCATCGCACTGCCTGTGGATGCTGTAGTGTTATGCCGGGCAGCTCTTGGGGTGCAAGGTGGGGCTGCCAGGGGAGCTGTGCTTGGGTCGACCCGCTGCCCTTAGCATCTGTGCTTCGAAGCACTGGGGGGAGGCTTACTGAGGAGCACCTGCCCTGGGTGGGCACCTGTGGGTTCCTGAACTCTCATCATCACCTGCTGTGGTTCGACATTTCCAGAGGCCCCACGTGAGGCTCTGGGGCCATCACTGATGGCCAGCCAGTGCGTCTGGTGCACGCTGACATTTCTAGGGGATGATGGGCACTCCCCTGGGGCCAGAGGACTGGGCCCGAAAGCCACCAGCTGGAGGCTTTTCCTGGTCTCCTAGAGCCCTCAAGAACCCTTCAGCTGCTTGCAGGCGTAAACTCCTCTCAAGCCTTTGCAGTATCTTAGTCGCTGCCAGGGCCCCATTCTTACTCCCTTGCCCTGCCACCCCAGCCTGGCTGTGCTGTGTATCTCTCCTGTCCTCCTGACACCTGCTCGCCTGGGCAGCCCAGCGAGCACCTCTCAGGGAGCAGCGGAAATCCTAACTCTCAGCCGAGGTCTCCCCTGACTTGAGCTTGCGCCTCCAGACTGCCGTGTGCAGCCAGGGTCCCCACACCCTCTGAAGAGACCTTCCTCCCCTAGTTGCCACATGGGCCTGGCCCGGTCGCTGTCGCTGGCACTGTCCGCTGGACAGCTGCTGCAGAGGAGGCTTGTCCTAGACACCACAGCCAGCCCAAGAAGCCGCAGGAAGGAAGAGGGATGGGCTGGACGGGGCGGCAGATGGAGCTGTGACTCAGACCAGGCACCAGCTCTCAGGAAAGGGCTATTTGCCATGCACATAGGGAACTGAGCGGCATGGGGACTGTCAATGTCCAGAAAAGTATGCTCGGGACCCTAAGAAGCCCTGGGTCAATGGCAAGGACCACGGGCTGGGCCAGAGCAGGAGTCCAGAGCTTAGAGGCTCGGGGGGCAACCAGCAGGCACTGAGCCAGGACCTACGGGAGTCCCTGTAGCACAGGCTCGAGCAGATGGTGCCCTGGGCCCCAGGAGCCCTACAGGTTCACCTCGTCTGCCTCCTCCATCTGGGGAAGCAAGGCCTCGCTCAGCGTGGCTTCTTGGTGGCTCGAGAACAAGGCCAGCCCCATGGGTAGGCACGAGTGGCAAAGCCTTTCTGCAAACCACTTACTGTCCCCCCCCGAGGCTGGTGGCCCAGCATGGGCTGGGAATGTCTGCACAACTGCACTCGAGGGAGGTGGCGTGCCCTGTACAAGGCTGTCTTACTCTGCCAGGTGGGGCGAGGCCACGGCCAGCTGCACAGCGGGTTAATGGCAGGTCTGGCCCTTTTAGCTTGGCATGGCCCCGGATGCCCGTTCCTCGCTGGGTCCACTCTCCAGGGTTGTGGTGTCCCCTGGGGCAGCCTCTCAGGGAAGGGTCTGGAAGGCAGGCTGGTGCAGGCTACTGCATGGCCAAGTGGCGCCCAGTGCAAACTGGCCGTGGCCTTGGCCCATCCTTTCCACGCCTGCAGGGTTCTGGCTGCCCCCTGCTTCACTCTCTGGGCCGCTCTGAAGGCCTGATGTAAGTGTGTGGGGATGCACAGTGGGGACTCTGGGAGTGAGAGCCCTCTGAGAGCCCTCACTGGAGCAGCCCGGCTGCCGGACAGAGATCCTGTTTTGTTCTGGCCACAGCAGCGTGCTTGGGGGTACCACGAGGTGCTGGGGATGGAAGCAGGCTTTCCCCACGCGGCTGGGAGCAACCTGGGTTCCATCCCCGGCACACCATATGGTCTCCCGAGCCCACTAGGAGTGATTCCTGAGTGCAGAGCCCAGAGTTAACCCCTAAGCAATCCAAACCAGAAGATGTGATCATCCTAGCAGAAAGGATGTGCTGGAAGCCTTCCAGGAGAGCGCGACAGCCCTGGGAGCGGCTCACGTGTCCCTCCTTCACGCTAAGGACTGGCACTGGGTCATGCTCCAGAAGGTGTCTGTTTCTAGGAGTGTGAAGCCCAGCCACAGGGCCCACTGCGGACAGGGAGTTGACTGGACTCTAGGACACAGGGAAGAGCAGGCCTGGGGCTCCCGAGGGGAGAGGGAAGACCACAGATGACAAAGTCCTGTGTGAGCACAGTCTGGAGTCCTGAGGCAAGGCAGAGGAGGCAGGCCCAAGAGCTCCCTCACACCACCTGGGGTCAGAGTCTCTGTCCTGCTGAGTTCCTGGACTAGACCACCCAGGCCCAAGACGGTAGAAATTGGGGGAGCACACAGGTCCCCTTGGGGGCCAGACAGTATAGCAGGGAGAGCACTTGCCTTGCAGGTTGGACCCTCGGCATCCCATAGCGTCCCGAGTCCTGCCAGGAGTGATCCCTGAGTACTGTCAGTTACGGCCCCTGAGACAAAACAGCAAGATGGGTCCTTCTGCTCCTGCACCCCGCTTCTGGACCCCCACTTGCTTCAGCAGGGGACTGAGCATCCTGGGGTGGGACACATGGACCAGGTTCTCAGGGGGCATGTGTATCCATCCTGGCCAGGGGTTCCGGCAGGACTGGTGAGGGCCGAGGTGCTCTCCCACTGCCATCATGCATGCCACAGACCCATTTATCTGGAGTCTGTATGCCTTGGCCGAGGGAGTGACCGGAGAGGCAGGGACCACTGGGAGGGAGCAGGGCGGAGGTGGCAGCGAGGCTGGTGCTGGCCTGCTCCTGAGCACTCTTCTCTCACAGGCTTTGTCCTGGTCATTGGGCTGGTGACCTTCTACAGAATCGGCCCCTACACCAACCTATCTTGGTCTTGCTACCTGGACATCGGGGCCTGCCTGCTGGCCACCCTGGCTGCGGCCATGCTCATCTGGAACATTCTCCACCGGAGGGAGGACTGCATGGCTCCCCGCGTGATTGTCATCAGCCGTTCGCTGACTGCTCGCTTCCGCCGGGGGCTGGACAACGACTATGTGGAGTCGCCATGCTGAGGACTCTGCCCGTGAACTCCGGGAGGACGGAACAATCTAGAAACCAAGTGCTGTTCCCTCTTTGCACATCCCACAACACGCAGGGGTGCTGACCGTGCTCTGGGGGATTGTAGTCCCCCAACGCCATGGACCACAGCAGCAGAACGGCCCGCAGCCCATGGCCTCCCTATGGTGACAGACACGTGGATGCCTCCTGGACTCAGCACTGACCATCAGATGGTCATGGCTTTCCGATGGGCTTTGTATGGCCCGTCTGCTCCTATTCTCTAAGTTAAAATAAAACGCAGCCCCTGCTACCGCCTAGCCCTTGAGCTCTCCCCTCCCCCTCTCCTGCCTTGGGATAAAGACCCTGTCTGTTATTGCCGGGGGCCGGCGAGCACTGCTGGTCAGGGGCAAAGGGCTCGCCTGGGAAACCTGTGTGTGTCTGTTGGGCCACAGAAGTCCCTCGAGAGCTGCCAGAGGCAGAAGCGTTCTCACTGGCAGGCCGAGTCCCAGGAAGCAGCTCCCCACTGCCCTGCCAGCTCCCAAAAGTGACCCTGAAGCTAGCTGAGAACCAGGTCACCTACTGCCTAGCCCTGATATATGGGTGCTGCTGACTCCCAGCTTGGAGAAGCCCCCCAAAATCCAGGCAAGGGTGGTGAGTGAGAGCAAAACAGAGACGCCTGGGCAGCTACATACCCCAATAGCACATGGTCACTTGGTGGAGACTAGCAGATTGGAACCCAAAATGCCCCATCACCTGTCTCCTCCAGCCCTTTTCCACGTGAAGGGCTTTGCATTTGTGCTAAGTGATACGAAAGAACTGTTTGTATGTGTGTGTGTGTGTGTCTGTGTGTGTGAGAAGTTACACAGCCCACCCTGATGGTACCACATGGTCCTCCAAGCACAGAGCCAGGAAGAAACCTGAACACCTCCTGGTATGTCCCTATGCCCCAGTCCCCACTCCATACTCCCCTCAAAAATGGGCTCTCTGACACAATCTAGACAGAAAATAGTCCTGGCAGATCATATGGGGACCATATGGGATCCTGGGGATCAAATCTGGTTGGGCTGAGTGCAAGGGAAGCTCCCTCCTTGCTGGGATATTTCTCTGGCCCCTGGTCATAGATAATATTTTTTGTTTTTGGACCACACCCAGATCAGTGGCCCACATGTGGTGCTGAGGTGAGCCTGCAAGTGCCTCCCAGCTGTACTATCTCTTTAGCCTCTGGAATTAAATTTCTTTGAGAGAAATGTCAGGGTGTTTTGGTGATTGTTTTTGGGTTGCACCCGGCAATGCTTAGGGTGACTCCTGGCTCTGAACTCAGGAATCACCCCTAGTGGATGCCAGGGATAGAATGCAGGTTGGCCATAAGCAAGGAACATGCTCTACCTGCTAGACCATCAGTCAGTCAGTCAGACCCTAGGAAATTCCAGTTGTTTTTTTTTTTTTTTGCTTTTTGGGTCACACCCAGTGTTGCACAGGGTTTACTCCTGGTTCATGCACTCAAGAATTACTCCTGGCGGTGCTCAGGAATGCTGGGAATCGAACCATATGGGATGCTGGGAATCGAACCCGGGTTGACCGCATGTAAGGCAAACACCCTACCCTCTGTGCTATTGCTTTAGTCCCCAGGAAATTCCAGTTCTAAACCAGTAACTTAATTTTTCTCATTCTAGTGATTTTTTGGGGCTCTTGGGGGCTAGTATTCGGGCCTCACATGATGCCAGGTTTGGGCTCTTCCTTGGAGCTACCCCCAGCCCCAAGAACTCCAAACCTCAGTTCTCAAACTTCCTTGTGAGGCCGATAACTGCATTTTGTTAAACTGACTGACACACCTCCTTTGTTGCTTGGCAGCGTCTTTCCCAGGACAGGGATGACAAACATTTACCACTGTACTACAAGCCCAGGAGACGCTCAACAGTGTTTTCAACTCCTTTTGGCCCATGGCCTCCTTCCAGTGGTGCCCCCAGCTCTATCTACTAGCTGGCCACCCCCAGTTTTGTACTGCAGATGCCCATTTATGTGACTTTCCCTGTGGCCCCTTGGAATCTCTTGAGCACCCAATGTCCTCTCCAAGTTGAGAAACACTGGAGGGACAGTGTGGTCGGCAGCAGGGATGTTCCAAGTACAGCCCCATAAAGGCACTGCGTGGCCCGTCAGCCCCTCACCTTTTGATGAGCTTGATGGACCTGAAGGCCTCATCCATATCCCCCACAGTGACGAAGAAACTGAAGTTGAGCATGGCGTCCTGAGTGGGCTTGTCGCAGTCCTCCAGCCCCGTGAAGTCCCGGAGGGGCCTTCTGCCCACCATCTGGGGCGCACGGTGTGGCACTGAGAGCTCTTGGTCCTCATGGCGGTCAGCTTCTCCGGGCTGGGCAACAAGGGCGGGGGTGTGGTCAGGCCCCAGTGCCACCTGTCAGCCCCCAGTTGCAGGCCTGGGTGCAGACATGTACAGGCACGTGCAGACTTGTGTGCAGGCCCAGGTGCGGGGCCCGTGTGAGGGCTGGGGTTCAGGTGTGTGCAGGCCCATGTGTGCAGGCTTGTATTGTAGTCCTGCGCAGATACTGTGCTAGAACATGCAGGACCAAGCAAAAGGCACGGGGGTGGGATGAGGTGGGGATGTGGGAGAATCTGGCCTGATATCTGGTTAAGGAACATTCCAGAATGTGCCTGCATGCAAATGTGCCTGAGCCAGAGGCGGGGCAGGTTCCAATCACCCTCCTGTGGACTGATGCATGTGTAGTCAGGGTGCTGCATGGGGGCACACGGAGTGTCACACCAGAGCATGACTGTGGGCCTCAGCCCAGCCCTGGGTGGGAAGTAATGGTGGGGTTGCTGTCATGTGGGTGACACTGCAACACTGGGGTCAGGGTGTAGAACCCAATACACCGTGAGTGTTGAGTTAAAAACGGGGGGACGAAGGGCAGAGACAAAGTGGGGTGCTTGTACCTGGGCTACCTCAGACAAATCCCCCCAAAACAGGTAGAGAGAGCACGAGAAGAGAGGTGGGGAAGACGGGGCAGGGAGGGCACAAGGGATGGGGCTGGGGAGGGCAGCTCCAGCCTGGGAAGACCTTGGGGCCCGCTGCGTGACGCCCCACTCTCTCCTGAAGCTCCCATAGTGGAAGCCGGCCCGGGTGATGCAGAAAGAGCAGCTGGGCACAGATGGGACAGGAAAGCTGAGGGCGTGGTGCCCATAGGGGAAATGCAGGAAGTCTGGGACTTGGCCTCGGGACAGCTGTCCGCACCTCCCAACTGTCCCTATGCCAGTGGCCTCACGTCGGCTGGACTGTGGGTGAGTGTGGCGTGGGGACAAGAGGGCCAAGCCCACGCCCATCCCGAAGAGAGTGAGAACACAACGGTCGCACCTGCTTGGTGAAGTAATAATGAGGCACTTGGACGCCGAGAAGGCTCTGGAAGGCGGGAGGCCGGGGGAAGCTGTCCTGAAGCAGCAGGCCGTGCTCTTCAGAAACGAAGAAGGATAGGATCAGCACATCCGCCTGCAGGAGAGAGCGCGGCTTCAGTGTCAGGTGCAGGGCTGCACTCGCACCCTCAGCACGGCTGTCCTGACCAACAGCCTGGAGCACTCATGTTTGAGCCGCTGGGTAGGCAGGCACGGGTCCCCCTTGTGCAGAGATGGGGACACTGCCGCGTCCCTCCCTGCAGAAACTGGGGTGCTGCACCACTTCCTCCTCGTGTGCTGAGTCCCACCACTCGCAGACCCTGCTGCCTTGGGCAGTACCAGCCTCTCAATGGGAGAAAACCTCAGGTCCCTCGAGATGGAGGGGTGGGGATGGTCACTTTCCCGGGGAATGTGGGGTGCCCTGCAGGATACCAGGTGTGAGACGTGGCATTCAGGGTCGGCTGGGTAACGGGGGCAGCGCTTGAGGCCTGGGGAGTCAGCAGGTGGCACTGCCGTTTTCTGGGTCAGGCAGGGGTGCCACAATAGGGAAACTAGTGAGGGGCCTGGGTGGACAGTGACCACAGTGAGAGTGGGGCAACATGGCATGTGCCCCACATGAGGGGCTGGTAGGCCCCAGCAGCCTGGCCTGTGCTCAGGTACCATGGGGCCGGGGGCGCCCTCCGGCTGCGGCAGGGTTCCAGGCAGCTCCCGCACCGCCTCGCACACGAACAGCCGTGGCTCGCTCTGGTCCCAGAAGTGGTTTAGCGGCAGCAGGTTTAGTAGCCTCTCGTCCCCGAAGGTCTGCGTCCTGGACAAGAGGAAAGCCTGACCATCAAGAAGCTTTCCGAAGGCTCTCTCTCTCCTTCCAGGGAGGCTGAGTTATGGCTCAGAAGAAGGAGTGGGACGACCAGAGCGAGATGAGCATCCCACACCGGTGGCCCCCTGGGTGTCACCGTGCTGGGGTACCCCCGCCCGAGCCTGTTGGAACATAGCCGGCCAGGCACCAAAGCCCAGCGGCACTGCAGTGACGGTAGTGGAGACGCCACAGACCCAAGCCATGCCCAGGGTCCAAGCATCAGTCCTTCCGGGGATGCGGGACAGCAGAGTAGTGCCCCACGGTCCAGGCCCTCCACACTGTGCTCTTACTTCTTAGCCTCCTGCCCCTGGAAGGACAGCGCCTCCCTCTGGTCCACCTGTCCTGTTTTGAAGTCCACAATCGTCACTGCATCCGTATCAATGTCATAGAAGCAGATTCTGGAGTCGGGGCTGTTGTCAGCCTGGGGAAGGGAGAGCAGGAGCAGGGTGGGTGCTGTGAGCTGCTCCTGCGGGTCTCATGCACCAGCCACCCTCACTGCTTTCTGCTGGGTCACACACCCGGTGCATCCCCCATGGGAGAAGGTTCGAGGAGGCCACCTCCCACGCGAGCAGATGTGAAATCGCCCATCAACGCAAAGCTGGGCAAGGGGAAATGCCTGTGAGTCTGGAGTGCGGAGCTGGCGCAGAGCAGCACCCCAGCCCTGCCCATGCGGGGAGTGGGAGTTCGGCACTGTGTAGCCGCCCCAGGGAGCCCCAGTGTTGTGGGCAGAGGAGCCTGTGGCCTGCACGCACTCTTGCCATATAAGGCAGCACAGCGTGAGCCAAGGAGGCTGCGGGTCATGGTGTGTCTTGGTGCCACTGTGCCGTGTGGGGGCCTGGACCGAGGGTGCACCCACCTTGCGCAGAAGCATGCTGATCTTGCTGCCGTCGGCACTGCAACGGAGAGATGCCAGGCCGCCCGCGCGGGGGACCAACTCGGCCAGGCTCTTGCAGTCACAGTGTGCTTTGGCCTCTCTGCAGGGACAAGGGGCCAGTGTGGGCGGGCCTGTCTCTCCCTGTGACGTGGCCGTATGGAAGGAGGCGAA